ACCACTCATTGCGTGCGTCTGTCGTGGCGCGTCTTCGTTGGTTGATATGATGGCCTATATCAACCAATTAGGAACTACTCGTAAGTGCTACAGAAAATTTGTCCTTATTACAATATATCTGAGAATATAACTCTTATAGTTATATTCTATTGACAATTTCTTATAAATTGTACGTAACGATTCACTGCGTCAAATCACCCCCCTTTACCATCAGTCACTTTAGTGACTGATTGACTAAATGGATACTCGTCCCAAATCAGTTGGTACAGGGTTTGTACTTGTAGGTTCGAGTCCACTTTCCAACATCTCATCGCATGGTTAACAAGCCCATGCGATGCGCGAGCAAGGCCGCCGAGAGCGCGTCCGCACGTCTCTGTGCGGACGCCGAAGCAGGAACAACAGCAACTGATGTCTCATCGGTTGCCGAAGCGACCCAGCCTGTGTCACTTGGTGATGCAGGCGCTGGTCATGAAGACACTCATGTCTTCACAGAGTATGAGCTCGGTGTCTCATACTCTCCTGATACGGATGACGGATCCGTATCGACGGCGATCGAATCCAAGCCGCCTGCCAAGCGTGGCATGGATGATGCTATGCGTCGTAGCATCTTTGGTTCATCTGATTCATCAGATGAACCATCGCCGAAGCGAAGGCGCTCGAGGTCGCAAGACTCGGGCGCTAATAGTGGTGTCGGTTCTCCTATGGACACCACTTCGCAACGAGGTGCCAGTACTTCTGTCGGCACGTCGCAAGAAGAGCGGGACCGCAATGTCTTGCGTCTCGCTCCAGAAAAGAAAGCATGGATGCCTCCAAAATCCGTCATGGATCACTTGTCGGCGACGACGAGTGATCTTTATCGAACATGGTTGTTCGATTCGTCAAGGATCCATCACCTTGACCCCAGCGCGAAAAACTATCGTGCTGAGAATGAGTTCTTCATCGATGCTTTCTTTAGACATCGATGGTACAGTGGGAATCACAAGCGTGATGGTCCCTCACTGCTTCAGGCGTGGAACGCCTACATCCATAACATTGAGGATGTAGGTGGTGACGCTTGGAACGACAAACTTATCAAAGCTCGTGATAAGTTTGAAAAGCGAACCCCGACAGGTGCACGCTACAAGCTGCATCGTCTGTCAAGGGAGAAAGGATTACCCTGCCTCTCTTGGGGAGACTCGTGCCCGTGTTGTGTGAACAACTCTGCACGAGCACCTAAGGAGGCTTACCTCCATAATAGCCCGTGGTGGCGCGTACGTATCTCTAGTAAGATGTACGAAGGGATTGACAACCTGAAATCCCTTTACGACCGTGCCGGGAAGACTTTCTCCGGAGTTCCTTCTGCGGCACAGGATGTGCCGCGTCGTACTGCTCAACCAGACCCAGTACGTCAACCATCAGTTGGGAGCGGGGCTCCCAAGTATTCCAGGACGGGGGATAGCCGCGCCACCGGACGAGATAACTCTTCCGACGTCCGTTCACGTCGCGGTGGTTCAACAGCTGCTCAACTAGATAGCGCTGGCCACCGCTAGAGTCCTCTAATGGAGGTGGAGGAGGAGAGAAGACGCTCTACAAACTATCATGACAGAGCGTGTGTCTCCGAGAGCCTCTTTGATCGCGTAACGCAAGGGTTACGCGGCGATCTCGAACATTAGCGGAATAGGCGTCTCCAAATGGCGGACACTGCCTCGAAGCATCGAGCTGAGTTTGCCTTAGCTCAGCTCGAGAACGAGGGATCTCTGACATCTCTTCGTGACGAGCTAAGGGTAGCCGTGGGATTGTTGATCGGTCTCGGGCTGAGATAACTGCTCTTCAGACCCTTGTTGATGCCCACCATCAGGAGCACAAGGCTCTCTGCGAGATGCTTGAGCGCAAGGGCGTTCTTCATCGGAAGAAGCAGCGTACTGATGGTACAGCTTAAGCCGACCAACGTAAAACGTGGGATGCGTTCGCATCTTACGTGGTAATTCGATCGTGTATGCATTGCCTAGGCGGTGCAATACACGAAATGGGCCGATGTTCTTGGGTAGTAGTTTACTGCTACCCAAGTTAGTCACTACATGCTTTGGTAGATTAACCGTAGACAGTAGGACTAAGTCACCTTTATTAAATAAAAGATTGTTTGCCCTTCCATTCTTGTCAGCGTTTTGCTTTTGCTTATCCACCGCTTCGGCGATGGAGTCTTGCACAAAACGGACTACCGTTTCACGAGCCAGTATGAACTCATCTGATGACTCGTTAGCTTCAGTGCGCTGTGAGCGCACTGAAGCAACATCAACCTTTTCTTCAGTGAGGGCTTCCGCACTCTCACTGGGATCATCTTCTTCAGTGAGGGCTTCCGCACTCTCACTGGCATCATCTTCTTCAGTGAGGGCTTCCCATCTCACTGCATCAACTTCTTTTACATCGATGTTGTCGATATCGGCATCAAACGCAACGACCTCTTCGTCAGAGCGTGATGAGCGTATGCCAAATCGGTTTTTGCTCGCGCGAGTCCCTCCCCCCCTTATACCAGAGTTACACTCTAGTAAGGTGGGTACACGCGGATGGCGTAAGCCATTCACGTAAAACGGTGTATGTGTCGTGGACGCATGCACCGAGTAGTTAATGACAAACTCTACCATTGGCAAAAACTCACTTTAACTCTTAAAGGAGTGTACGTATCCTCGAAGTATCTCTTTAAGGACACGATTGGCACGTTCCGTCTGACCATCTGACTCTGGATGATCAGATGTCGACATCTTCAAGCGCGTTCCGCGAGAACACGGAACGCCAGAAATCAGCAGTGAATCGTGGATCTCTGTCTGATACGAGTTCACGGGGCAACCCATGAAGTCGGAAGATGGTGTCAATAAAGACACAAGCACAGCCACTTGCCGTGATTGACTCTGGTACAGCCACAAGGTGTACCATTTTGCTGAATCTGTCAACAAATACGAGAATACCCGTATTCCCGCGTGCGTCTTTGGGTAACCCGAAGACAAAATCCATTGAGATGGATTCCCAGCACTCAGCCGGAACCGGTAGAGGCCGTAAAGGTGCACGGAGTGAAGGACTTAACTTCACTCGTTGACAGACTTCGCATGCGCGAACATATTTTCGCACAAACTGATACTGGCGGGGCCAGTAGAAGTCTCGACTCACCATGAGATATGTTTTCTCCCGGCCACGATGTCCTCCTATAGGAGCATCGTGATACTCAAACATGATCCGCAAACGCAGATCAGTATCATCTGGAATGACAACACGTGGTGTGTCACCAGAAACGGCTGTATAATACAGTAAACCGTTGCGAGTAGTGTATCGATCTGATGCAGATCGACACGCAGACGACAATCGTTTCAACGATTCTCGAGATGGCTGTGAGAGATGTGTCAACAACTTCACAATCTCACCATCTTGGGCGTATGCCCGCCTCACATCATCATTCAACGTTGTAGATGGGACTGAGGACGTCATAACCGCAACAGTGACTGTCTCACTGTTGGGTTTCACGACTGGTTCAAAGTCGGGACGACGTGACAGTGCATCAGCGACGACATTAAGTCGTCCTGGTTTGTACTCGACCGTATAGTTATATTCTGCAAAGAATGACAACCACCGCGCCATTCGTTGTGAAAGGTGCGGGCTGTTCACTGCCGTGCGTAACGACGCATGGTCAGTGTAAACAATGAAGGTTCTATCTCCTAATAGATAGACTCTGAACTTCGCGAGTGCATACTTCATGGCAAGGAATTCCTTTTCATGCACTGGATAGTTCCGCTCAGCTGGTTGCAGCTGACGCGACTGATAGCAGACGACGCGTTCAACGCCGTCAAGATCGTACTGCATTAATGCACAGCCGATTGCGAAATCGCTGGCATCACAGACCACATGAAATGGCCTGTCCTGATCGGCAATTGCTAGGACTGGGGATTGTATCAAGCTCTGATTGATACCATCAAAGGAGCGCTGACATTCAGCGTTCCATAACCACCTCTCGTTCTTTTTCAACAAACGAGAGAGGTGCACAGTCATTTCGGCGTAATTGCGTGAATACTTATGCAAATACGCCGCTAGCCCAAGGAATTTTCGAAGACCTTTGACATCAACCGGCACAGGCCAGTCGGTGATCGCCTTGATCTTTTCGAGATCAGGACGTACACCGTTCTTACCAAAGATGCACCCAAGAAGTGGTATTTCGCTTGCTGCAAATATACACTTCTTGAGGTCTGCATACAATTGATGCTTTCGCATGATTGTAAGAACCTGTCGGAAGTGGTACCTGTGAACCTCAACGTCCGACTTTCCATCCATAGCCCGACTATGGATGAATACGTCATCCAAATGACTCGGCGCGAATTCTCGTACTGGTCTCAACAGATGTGATACACATCTGTTGAACGTGGCAGGGGCATTACTAAGCCCTTGTGGTATTATAAGCCATTCCCAGAGCATGCCGCTAGGCGTGCTAACTGCGGTATAGGGTATATCCCGTTCCCGCATAAGGATTTGATAGAAGCCATCCATCAAAGCCATGGACGAAAAGATGGTACTCTTTGACATACCATCAATGATTACGTCCTTCCTCGGTATCGGCGTCTGAGCCGGTACCGTTGCAGCGTTCAATTTGTTGAACGCATGCACTATCCGCCACCCTCCTGTTGCTTTTCGCACACAGAAAGTCGGAGAGCTATGTGGGGAAGTCGATTCCCTCACATGGCCCGCAGCTAAACTGTAACGGGGTGAATCGTTACATAACAATTTATAAGAAATTGTTAATAGAATATAACTATAAGATTTATATTCTCAGAATATTGTCATAAGGACAAATATTCTGCAGCACTTTCGAGTAGTTCCTAATTGGTTGATATAGGCCATTATGTCAACCAACGAAGACGCGCCACGACAGACGCACGCAATGAGTGGTGAGTAGATAATTGATTTACACATTTGTATTTAGACATAGTTAGATGAAGATAAATAGTGATTTATTGCAGACATTAACTTTTATAAATACAGTTCTACTTTTTACTTAAACTAAGTACTCGCTTCTTCTTACCGTCTTCCTCTGCACGTACCAGTGTACGTGAAGTTACGAGGCACCGCCTTATTCTGTCATCAGAATAAGTAGCCTGTAATGTCACCAGTACAAGCTTCAGGGTGCTGTTACATAAACGATCGGCAAAGAACTTGTCGATAGCAAGTGCTTGTTCACGAGGCAGTGGACACTGCTTCATGACACAGTACTTCGAGCCTGGTTTAAGCTCGACCTCGTGTCGAATACCTTTATCCTTCGGTAGTTCGCACGGAACAGTTTCAGGGAATACATCCTTGAATTCAACCAAATCTTCATAGAGAGGATTTGTCTTGAGCGATTCCCACGATTGGGAGTCATATCGCTCAACTCGTGTCTTTTCATCGAGGACACTCTCGTCCATCGATGAACTACTGAGAACTCTCTCATTCTCAGTAAACATTGTGGCTGACCTTATGTCGGCTACACACTCGTCGTCAGCGACGAGTACGCAGATCTGCTTGACTTTGCCACTACGCAGATCACGCAAGAACCTTTTATGTTCGAGCGTTGGCAACTGAGTGATCTCCGAAGTCAACTTCGGAGGCGCAATCAGATCAAGTGTATAAGCGCCTACGCTTGATCCGTTATTGACTAGGACATTCAACGTCTCTGTCATTTCCTGGGGACTTATTCCCTCAGGCTTCGAAGGACTTATTCCTTCGGCTTCCCGGGGACTTATTCCCTCGGGTTTCGGGGAACTTATTTCCGCCGTATTTGTAATCTTGGGACTTATTCCCTTTACTTCCTCTAGCTGTGGTTGCGCAACCACAGCGAGATCCTCTACGAAAGACTCTCCAGTCGATCTAGGATTATCGTTTCGATTAACCTGAGCGATCGATTGTTTCTCTTCTAGATGTTCCCCGCTAGGGATACATCTTTGTCCCGGTTCAATCGACTGATTCGAGTGGTGGACCTTCGGCGCAGCCTGTGTTTCCTCACAGCCGCCGGAACTTTGCTCCGAAATGTAACCGTTTGTTACACTAAGGTTTTGTGCAGTCGTACTAACGACCGTACCACAAGTGAGGCCATCGCACTCACTCGTAGTATACCCACACGCTTGTGGACGCTCCAAAACGTTCATCAGATGGCCATCTGATGAACAAGCGGCAGGCATCGTTACTGTTCGATGTTGCCAGTTTACCCGTGCTTCGTACCTTCTGAGCCACGGTATTCCAAGGATGACATCAAATTTGTCATCCAAATCCAATACGATAAAGTCATCGTCATATTGGGTATCTTCTAGCGTATAGTGGATCTTCACTATACGCTTCATGACGGTTACGGATGCGCCTGTCGCAAGACGTACCGTCATCCTCGTAGGAGGTGTGTCACATTCACTGAATTTAAAGTGACCATCTTCTAGCGATTGGCGTTGCACAAAATTGTTGGACGCCCCACAATCGACCAGAGCCCGAAGGGACAACTTATTTGTCACTTCGAGTTTCAAGGCAATGAGTGAGACCTCATTACCTAGAGCAGCAACGCACAACGTTTGTGTGTTGGGAGCAACCTTCATCAAGAGGCCTACAAATTCTCTTGACGTTGCTGGATCAGTAGGGTGCTCCGCACCTACTGATCCTGTCCGTTTTTTGACGGTCCATCCCGTTGTTGCGTCTTTGCACCAACAGCGGACCCGCGTCCCTGCCCCTTTCTCATGGGTGGACGGTCACTACGCCCAGTGTTGCGAGACACTGGACGTCCCAGTTTGGGACACTGGACGAGGGGCACTACACTCGTAAGCGTAGTGTCCTGTCTTCTGACATCTGTTGCATTTCTGCAACTTCTTGTAGTCTGTAGAGCGAGCCTTCTCGCTCTCTACATAACAGAGTTCCATCGGCTCTGGACCTCCGTTGTCATATCGTCTCGGTTGATGATATGATGTCGAGCTGGCGCGAGCCTGTCTCAGTCTGAAGTCTTCCTGTTCCGCAATGGAAATGGCTTGTTCTAGTGAATCTAGTTCAAGCCGGAACAGGTGAGTCTTGACGGGACCATCCGCAAGACCCTGCATGAACACCGAAACCAACGTGTGTTCATCAACCGGATTGGAACTTATACAACTCGTGAGATATCGTATATGTTGTGCGTAAGCGTGCACATCACGCTCACCCTGTTTGAGCTTCAAGAGTTCGGTTCGAGCTCTGAACTCAGCTCTAGGCGGTTCAAACGTTTGTCTGAGCCGCGACTTGAAGACTTCCAACGACCCAAACGCATATGGTTCGTGCAACTTGAGCCCCAGTGCCCAAGTCTTGGCACGTCCTGCCAGATTTGACTGGGCAAATGCAACTTGCATATACCCGTCGTCGATGCGACGCGCCCTTATGGCGTCATCCAACTCGACGAACCATCTCAGAAGGGAGTCCTCTTCGACTCCCCTATACTTGGAGATGTTAATCTTCAAGGTTTCGGGTCGACGCGAGTGCATCGACCCACCAGCAGCAGCCTGCTACTGTCTCAACAGTTCAAACTGTTGAGCACCCTGTTCTCTCAACAACTCTGCTTGTTAAGAACCTTGTTGGTGAATCAAGGCCACTTTCTCGCGTTCTGCGTCAAGTTCATTTTGAATGAACTTGGCGATAGTAGCATGTTGGGCATCTCTATTGAGAGCCTCTAGCACGACGCTAACAGCATGGATGCCCATGGTTGAACCCATTCGTTCAACCGCATCCCATTCGACATCGCTCAAATGGTAGTAGCCGTCACGCGTAGCGTGAAAGCTTTGGTCATCTTCATCATCCAACACATTCATGTTAGATGTGAACGTGGTCCTTGGACGGACTACAAAGTGCTACCAGGTGTAACGGGGCACCCTGAAGCTTGTACTGGTGACAGTACAAGCTACTTATTCTGATGACAGAATAAGGCGGTGCCTCGTAACTTCACGTACACTCGTACGTGCAGAGGAAGACGGTAAGAAGAAGCGAGTACTTAGTTTAAGTAAAAAGTAGAACTGTATTTATAAAAGTTAATGTCTGCAATAAATCACTATTTATCTTCATCTAACTATGTCTAAATACAAATGTGTAAATCAGTTATCTACTCACCACTCATTGCGTGCGTCTGTCGTGGCGCGTCTTCTTTGGTTGATATGATGGCCTATATCAACCAATTAGGAACTACTCGTAAGTGCTACAGGATATTTGTCCTTATGACAATATTCTGAGAATATAACTCTTATAGTTATATTCTATTAACAATTTCTTATAAATTGTTATGTAACGATTCACCCCGTTACAGTTTAGCTGCGGGCCATGTGAGGGAATCGACTTCCCCACATAGCTCTCCGACTTTCTGTGTGCGAAAAGCAACAGGAGGGTGGCGGGTAGTGCATGCGTTCAACAAGTTGAATGCTGCAACGGTACCGGCTCAGACGCCGATACCAAGGAAGGACGTAATCATTGATGGTATGTCAAAGAGTACCATCTTTTCGTCCATGGCTTTGATGGATGGCTTCTATCAAATCCTTATGCGAGAACGGGATATACCCTATACCGCAGTTAGCACGCCTAGCGGCATGCTCTGGGAATGGCTTATAATGCCACAAGGGCTTAGTAATGCCCCTACCACGTTCAACAGATGTGTATCACATCTGTTGAGACTAGTACGAGAATTCGCGCCGAGTCATTTGGATGACGTATTCATCCATAGTCGGGCTATGGATGGAAAGTCGGACGTTGAGGTTCACAGGTACCACTTCCGACAGGTTCTTACAATCATGCGAAAGCATCAATTGTATGCAGACCTCAAGAAGTGTATATTTGCAGCAAGCGAAATACCACTTCTTGGGTGCATCTTTGGTAAGAACGGTGTACGTCCTGATCCCGAAAAGATCAAGGCGATCACCGACTGGCCTGTGCCGGTTGATGTCAAAGGTCTTCGAAAATTCCTTGGGCTAGCGGCGTATTTGCATAAGTATTCACGCAATTACGCCGAGATGACTGTACACCTCTCTCGTTTGTTGAAAATGAACGAGAGGTGGTTATGGAACGCTGAATGTCAGCGCTCCTTTGATGGTATCAATCAGAGCTTGATACAATCCCCAGTCCTAGCAATTGCCGATCAGGACAGGCCATTTCATGTGGTCTGTGATGCCAGCGATTTCGCAATCGGCTGTGCATTAATGCAGCACGATCTTGACGGCGTTGAACGCGTCGTCTGCTATCAGTCGCGTCAGCTGCAACCGGCTGAGCGGAACTATCCAGTGCATGAAAAGGAATTCCTTGCCATGAAGTATGCACTCGCGAAGTTCAGAGTCTATCTATTAGGAGATAGACCCTTCATTGTTTACACTGATCATGCGTCATTACGCACGGCAGTGAACAGCCCGCACCTTTCACAACGAATGGCGCGGTGGTTGTCATTCTTTGCAGAATACAACTTTACGGTCGAGTACAAACCAGGACGACTTAATGTCGTCGCTGATGCACTGTCACGTCGTCCCGACTTTGAACCAGTCGTGAAACCCAACAGTGAGACAGTCACTGTTGCGGTTATGACGTCCTCAGTCCCATCTACAACGTTGAATGATGATGTGAGGCGGGCATACGCCCAAGATGGTGAGATTGTGAAGTTGTTGACACATCTCTCACAGCCATCCCGAGAATCGTTGAAACGATTGTCGCCTGCGTATCGATCTGCATCAGATCGATACACTACTCGTAACGGTTTACTGTATTATACAGCCGTTTCTGGTGACACACCACGTGTTGTCATTCCAGATGATACTGATCTGCGTTTGCGGATCATGTTCGAGTATCACGATGCTCCTATAGGAGGACATCGTGGCCGAGAGAAAACATATCTCACGGTAAGTCGAGACTTTTACTGGCCCCGCCAGTATCAGTTTGTGCGAAAGTATGTTCGCGCATGCGAAGTCTGCCAACGAGTGAATTCAAGTCCTTCACTGCGTGCACCTTTACAGCCTCTACCGGTTCCGGCTGAGTGCTGGGAATCCATCTCAATGGATTTTGTCTTCGGGTTACCCAAAGACGCACGCGGGAATACGGGTATTCTCGTATTTGTTGACAGATTCAGCAAAATGGTACACCTTGTGGCTGTACCAGAGTCAATCACGGCAAGTGGCTGTGCTTGTGTCTTTATTGACACCATCTTCCGACTTCATGGGTTGCCCCGTGAACTCGTATCAGACAGAGATCCACGATTCACTGCTGATTTCTGGCGTTCCGTGTTCTCGCGGAACGCGCTTGAAGATGTCGACATCTGATCATCCAGAGTCAGATGGTCAGACGGAACGTGCCAATCGTGTCCTTAAAGAGATACTTCGAGGATACGTACACTCCTTTAAGAGTTAAAGTGAGTTTTTGCCAATGGTAGAGTTTGTCATTAACTACTCGGTGCATGCGTCCACGACACATACACCGTTTTACGTGAATGGCTTACGCCATCCGCGTGTACCCACCTTACTAGAGTGTAACTCTGGTTTAAGGGGGGGAGGGACTCGCGCGAGCAAAAACCGATTTGGCATACGCTCATCACGCTCTGACGAAGAGGTCATTGCGTTTGATGCCGATATCGATAACATCGATGTAAAAGAAGTTGATGCCAGTGAGAGTGCGGAAGCCCTCACTGAAGAAGATGATGCCAGTGAGAGTGCGGAAGCCCTCACTGAAGAAGATGATCCCAGTGAGAGTGCGGAAGCCCTCACTGAAGAAAAGGTTGATGTTGCTTCAGTGCGCTCACAGCGCACTGAAGCTAACGAGTCATCAGATGAGTTCATACTGGCTCGTGAAACGGTAGTCCGTTTTGTGCAAGACTCCATCGCCGAAGCGGTGGATAAGCAAAAGCAAAACGCTGACAAGAATGGAAGGGCAAAAAATCTTTTATTTAATAAAGGTGACTTAGTCCTACTGTCTACGGTTAATCTACCAAAGCATGTAGTGACTAACTTGGATAGCAGTAAACTACTACCCAAGAACATCGGCCCATTTCGTGTATTGCACCGCCTAGGCAATGCATACACGATCGAATTACCACGTAAGATGCGAACGCATCCCACGTTTTACGTTGGTCGGCTTAAGCTGTACCATCAGTACGCTGCTTCTTCCGATGAAGAACGCCCTTGCGCTCAAGCATCTCGCAGAGAGCCTTGTGCTCCCGATGGTGGGCATCAACAAGGGTCTGAAGAGCAGCTATATCATCCCGAGACCGATCAACAATCCCACGAGCTACCCTTAGCTCGTCACGAAGAGATGTCAGAGATCTCTCGTTCTCAAGCTGAGCAAAGGCAAACTCAGCTCGATGCTTCGAGGCAGTGTCCGCCATTTGGAGACGCCTATTCCGCTCATGTTCGAGATCGCCGCGTAAAGCTTGCGTTACGCGATCAAAGAGGCTCTCGGAGACACACGCTCTGTCATGATAGTTTGTAGAGCGTCTTCTCTCCTCCTCCACCTCCATTAGAGGACTCTCGCGGTGGCCAGCGCTATCTAGTTGAGCAGCTGTTGAACCACCGCGACGTGAACGGACGTCGGACGAGTTATCTCGTCCGGTGGCGCGGCTATCCCCCGTCCTGGAATACTTGGGAGCCCCGCTCCCAACTGATGGTTGACGTACTGGGTCTGGTTGAGCAGTACGACGCGGCACATCCTGTGCCGCAGAAGGACCTCCGGAGAAAGTCTTCCCGGCACGGTCGTAAAGGGATTTCAGGTTGTCAATCCCTTCGTACATCTTACTAGAGACACGTACGCGCCACCACGGGCTGGTAAGGAGGAAAGCCTCCTTAGGTGCTCGTGCAGAGTTGTTCACACAACATGGGCACGAGTCTCCCCAAGAGAGGCAGGGTAATCCTTTCTCCCTTGACAGACGATGCAGCTTGTAGCGTGCACCTGTCGGGGTTCGCTTTTCAAACTTATCACGAGCTTTGATAAGTTTGTCGTTCCAAGCGTCACCACCTACATCCTCAAGGTAATGGATGTGGGCGTTCCACGCCTGAAGTAGTGAGGGACCATCAGGTTTGTGATTCCCACTGTACCATCGATGTCTAAAGAAAGCATCGATGAAGAATTCATGTTCAGCGCGATAGTTTTTCGCGCTGGGGTCAAGGTGATGGATCCTTGACGAATCGAACAACCATGTTCGATAAAGATCACTCGTCGTCGCCGACAAGTGATACATGACGGATTTTGGAGGCATCCATGCTTTCTTTTCTGGAGCGAGACGCAAGACATTGCGGTCCCGCTCTTCCTGCGACGTGCCGACAGAAGTACTGGCACCTCGTTGCGAAGTGGTGTCCATAGGAGAACCGACACCACTATTAGCGCCCGAGTCTTGCGACCTCGAGCGCCTTCGCTTCGGCGATGGTTCATCTGATGAATCAGATGAACCAAAGATGCTACGACGCAAAGCATCGTCCATGCCACGCTTGGCAGGCGGCTTGGATTCAATCGCCGTCGATACGGATCCGTCATCCGTATCAGGAGAGTACGAGACACCGAGCTCGTACTCTGTGAAGACATGAGTGTCTTCATGACCAGCGCCTGCATCACCAAGTGACACAGGCTGGGTCGCTTCAGCAACCGATGAGACATCAGTTGCTGTTGTTTCTGCTTCAGCGTCCGCACAGAGACGTGCGGACGCGCTCTCGGCGGCCTTGCTCGCGCATCGCATGGGCTTGTTAACCATGCGATGAGATGTAGGAAAGTGGACGCGGACCAACAAGTGCAAATTCTGTCCCAAATGATTTGGGACGAGTATCCATTTAGTCGATCAGTCACTAAAGTGACTGATGGTTAAGGGGGGGTGATGTAACGGGGTGAATCGTTACATAACAATTTATAAGAAATTGTCAATAGAATATAACTGTAAGATTTATATTCTCAGAATATTGTCATAAGGACAATATTCTGCAGCACTTTCGAGTAGTTCCTAATTGGTTGATATAGGCCATTATATCAACCAACGAAGACGCGCCACGACAGACGCACGCAATGAGTGGTGAGCAGATAATTGATTTACACATTTGTATTTAGACATAGTTAGATGAAGATAAATAGTGATTTATTGCAGACATTAGCTATTATAAATACAGTTCTACTTTTACTTAAACTAAGTACTCGCTTCTTCTTACCGTCTTCCTCTGCACGTACCAGTGTACGTGAAGTTACGAGGCACCGCCTTATTCTGTCATCAGAATAAGTAGCCTGTAATGTCACCAGTACAAGCTTCAGGGTGCTGTTACATAAACGATCGGCAAAGAACTTGTCGATAGCAAGTGCTTGTTCACGAGGCAGTGGACACTGCTTCATGACACAGTACTTCGAGCCTGGTTTAAGCTCGACCTCGTGTCGAATACCTTTATCCTTCGGTAGTTCGCACGGAACAGTTTCAGGGAATACATCCTTGAATTCAACCAAATCTTCATAGAGAGGATTTGTCTTGAGCGATTCCCACGATTGGGAGTCATATCGCTCAACTCGTGTCTTTTCATCGAGAACACTCTCGTCCATCGATGAACTACTGAGAACTCTCTCATTCTCAGTAAACATTGTGGCTGACCTTATGTCGGCTACACACTCGTCGTCAGCGACGAGTACGCAGATCTGCTTGACTTTGCCACTACGCAGATCACGCAAGAACCTTTTTTGGTCGAGCGTTGGCAACTGAGTGATCTCCGAAGTCAACTTCGGAGGCGCAATCAGATCAAGTGTATAAGCGCCTACGCTTGATCCGTTATTGACTAGGACATTCAACGTCTCTGTCATTTCCTGGGGACTTATTCCCTCAGGCTTCGAAGGACTTAATCCTTCGGCTTCCCGGGGACTTATTCCCTCGGGTTTCGGGGAACTTATTCCCGCCGTATTTGTAATATCGGGCCTTATTCCCTTAACTTCCTCTAGCTGGGGTTGCGCAACCACAGCGAGATCCTCTACGAAAGACTCTCCAGTCGATCTAGGATTGTCGTTTTGCTTAACATGAGCGATCAATTGTTTCTCTTCTAGATGTTTCCCGCTAGGGATACATCTTTGTCCCAGTCCACCCGACTGATTCGAGTGGTGGACCTTCGGCGCAGCCTGTGTTTCCTCACAGCCGCCGGAACTTTGCTCCGAAATGTAACCGTTTGTTACACTAAGGTTTTGTGCAGTCGTACTAACGACCGTACCACAAGTGAGGCCATCGCACTCACTCGTAGTATATCCACACGCTTGTGGACGCTCCAAAACGTTCATCAGATGGCCATCTGATGAACAAGCGGCAGGCATCGTTACTGTTCGATGTTGCCAGTTTACCCGTGCTTCGTACCTTCTGAGCCACGGTATTCCAAGGATGACATCAAATTTGTCATCCAAATCCAATACGATAAAGTCATCGTCATATTGGGTATCTTCTAGCGTATAGTGGATCTTCACTATACGCTTCATGACGGTTACGGATGCGCCTGTCGCAAGACGTACCGTCATCCTCGTAGGAGGTGTGTCACATTCACTGAATTTAAAGTGACCATCTTCTAGCGATTGGCGTTGCACAAAATTGTTGGACGCCCCACAATCGACCAGAGCCCGAAGGGACAACTTATTTGTCACTTCGAGTTTCAAGGCAATGAGTGAGACCTCATTACCTAGAGCAGCAACGCACAACGTTTGTGTGTTGGGAGCAACCTTCATCAAGAGGCCTACAAATTCTCTTGACGTTGCTGGATCAGTAGGGTGCTCCGCACCTACTGATCCTGTCCGTTTTTTGACGGTCCATCCCGTTGTTGCGTCTTTGCACCAACAGCGGACCCGCGTCCCTGCCCCTTTCTCATGGGTGGACGGTCACTACGCCCAGTGTTGCGAGACACTGGACGGTCACTACGCCCAGTGTTGCGAGACACTGGACGAGGGGCACTACACTCGTAAGCGTAGTGTCCTGTCTTCTGACATCTGTTGCATTTCTGCAACTTCTTGTAGTCTGTAGAGCGAGCCTTCTCGCTCTCTACATAACAGAGTTCCATCGGCTCTGAGCCTCCGTTGTCATATCGTCTCGGTTGATGATATGATGTCGAGCTGGCGCGAGCCTGTCTCAGTCTGAAGTCTTCCTGTTCCGCAATGGAAATGGCTTGTTCTAGTGAATCTAGTTCAAGCCGGAACAGGTGAGTCTTGACGGGACCATCCGCAAGACCCTGCATGAACACCGAAACCAACGTGTGTTCATCCACCGGATTGGAACTTATACAACTCGTGAGATGTCGTATATGTTGCGCGTAAGCGTGCACATCACGCTTACCCTGCTTGAGATTCAAGAGTTTGGTTCGAGCTCTGAACTCAGCTCTAGGCGGTTCAAACGTTTGTCTGAGCCGCGAATTGAAGACTTCCAACGACCCAAACGCATATGGTTCGTGCAACTTGAGCCCCAGTGCCCAAGTCTTGGCACGTCCTGCCAGATTTGACTGGGCAAATGCAACTTGCATATACCCGTCGTCGATGCGACGCGCCCTTATGGCGTCATCCAACTCGACGAACCATCTCAGAAGGGAGTCCTCTTCGACTCCCCTATACTTGGAGATGTTAATCTTCAAGGTTTCGGGTCGACGCGAGTGCATCGGCCCACCAGCAGCAGCCTGCTACTGTCTCAACAGTTCAAACTGTTGAGCACCCTGTTCCCTCAACAACTCTGCTTGTTAAGAACCTTGTTGGTGAATCAAGGCCACTTTCTCGCGTTCTGCGTCAAGTTCATTTTGAATGAACTTGGCGATAGTAGCATGTTGGGCATCTCTATTGAGAGCCTCTAGCATGACGCTAACAGCATGGATGCCCATGGTTGAACCCATTCGTTCAACCGCATCCCATTCGACATCGCTCAAATGGTAGTAGCCGTCACGCGTAGCGTGAAAGCTTTGGTCATCTTCATCATCCAACACATTCATGTTAGATGTGAACGTGGTCCTTGGACGGACTACGAAGTGCTACCAGGTGTAACGGGGCACCCTGAAGCTTGTACTGTTGACAGTACAAGCTACTTATTCTGATGACAGAATAAGGCGGTGCCTCGTAACTTCACGTACACTCGTACGTGCAGAGGAAGACGGTAAGAAGAAGCGAGTACTTAGTTTAAGTAAAAGTAGAACTGTATTTATAAAAGCTAATGTCTGCAATAAATCACTATTTATCTTCATCTAACTATGTCTAAATACAAATGTGTAAATCAATTATCTGCTCACCACTCATTGCGTGCGTCTGTCGTGGCGCGTCTTCTTTGGTTGACATAATGGCATATATCAACCAATTAGGAACTACTCGAAAGTGCTGCAGAATATTGTCCTTATGACAATATTCTGAGAATATAAATCTTATAGTTATATTCTATTAACAATTTCTTATAAATTGTTATGTAACGATTCACCCCGTTACACTAGAGTTTGCCATTCTGTTTACCGTCTTGATCCGATCGATATATACCCTGGTGGTCTAGGTCCCAGGCCCGATGTCATCCTCAACGCTAACGAAGCACCATAATACATAATTATCTCACGATTGCTGAGGTTAGTGAGCTGCATATACTTCATCTGACCTGGCCCATTAGTGACCGTCGGCACCGTGTCACTCCCCGCCTCACCCAAAGCTTAGCCTAGGTAGGCCAAACCCAACACGGACCTCAGTCAATTTCCCAAATGGTATGACCACGTGTTGATCATTCAGGTTAATCGCCTGTTTGGTCGTCCGTAAGGCGGTTCTAGCCCTGCACTAATCCGCACCTCGTCCGGTAGACATAATATCCCGTCATCTAAGTCCAAACGGATACCCGCGGGAACCATGAAATCCAAACCCAGTATAATCTATTGGCCTACTTGATCGCCCACCCAAACATCGAATAATAAACCAAAGATCCGTCCAGAGTAATCTTGATCGTCGTCCGCCCCATCGTCACATACGTATTCTCTCCAATTCCGACACACTCTTGCGTTCGACTGCTATCGATCACTTACCCTACCTTACGAGCAAAGGTAGTAACGAGTATTGACACTTCAGCGCCGAAATCGAACAGCATCGTGCCTTCCTCATTTTAATCTTGCCAGCCGCCTTAGCTTGCTTAAACAATTTTTTTGGTAATGTGGTATTTCCAAAACCCGCGCGATTCCCCTGGTGCGATGTCGAGCTCCAACCTCACAGGAAATCGGGCGTAATCATCCACTCTTTTCAAACTTGATATTGGCGAGTCCAGTGTAGAATCATTTTGTATATTAGCGATCGAACAGACCCGATCGTTGACTTCTTGATCTCTCCGCGGAACTTCAACAAAAGCATAATGGCAGAGTCTAGAACGCTCGGCTCGTGCCAGAATTCAACCTGGCGAGCTCTTTCATATTAACATCTCCTCCACTTTGGGTGGATAAATTCCAGCGTTTTTCGTTGGCACATGTGACTTTCGAATCAAATTGTATGATTCCCCCATGGGACACTTGCCACTTTCATGTATCTCTCCGCAGGCTGCACACACAAAAACATTTGTTCGAGGGATGTCCCTTGCGAGCACACTTCTGGCCTGTCAACCGCTTCCAACACCCTCGATCATCGTGTCTGGTAGACCCACAATGGGTACACGCCTTCGATCGTCCACTTAGATTGCGTCCTTTTCCTTCACCAGTGTTCTTCTGCCAGGTACGACGATCCTTTTTCGGTTGATCTTGATCGGTTTAGTCGTTACACAAACAAGACGACGATCCAATTCGTCTTCGGGTCCAGTCGACTCCGATTATGATCCACTGTTCTAGACCTTCTCTCGGATCGCTCGCACTGCCGGAGTCGTCTTGGACGCCATTGGATTTGAAGGTGCGATCTCTCGCTGTTGAAATTTATCGATCCCATCGACCCCTTCATCTGACGAATCTCCATCCGTTGACACGCACGGATAGTTTCTTCCATATCCTCAATATCCATCAATCGCAGTAGGTTCAGTTGTTTCGCCAAGTCGCTACCGTTCAGCGTAGCAGTAAATATTCCACATGTTCGCGGCGCGTGGCGGCGGTAGCCGCTCTTTCTTCTTTAATCGCGATCTTGGCATTCTTGGCTGCGACATTAAGACGATGCAAGTATTCTACCGGGCTTTCATCGGATCGCTTCCGCGCGAGGTAATACTGCCTGACCACTGACACACCTTGTCCTCCATACTGTACCATACACAATCCAGCGAACGCTTCCACTTGTATCGTGTTGATCGGTTCAGCTGGTTGTACCATTTCGTGCGGGTCCCGTCAACAGGTCGTCGAACACCAAGCACTTTTCTTCATCTGGTGCCTGATCGCGCAAAAATGCCGACTTGACCTTGCTGATCCAGCTTCGATCTCGATCTTTTCCACTGAATCTCTTCAGCTCCGTCATTGCTGACACCCGAATACGCTGGGGAATTCCACCACCCTTCTTAAACGTTTCTGTATTGGCCACCATCGCACGTCGCCGCTCATCTTGGCCAGAATCGTCGGTATCAGCATCTTCAGGATCAACACAATCCGATAGACTGATATACGATCGCACCGATTCCATCTCGACATCCGGTGTATATGTTTCGCGGATTATTGCAGGCTTTATCCTCTGACTTGGGTAGATAGCTTGATACATTAGTTCCCGCTGATCTTGTTGAAAGCGTTCCATGGCTTCAGTGAGGTAGCTCTGCAGGTTTCCTTGCATCGGTGGCGTCATTTGTCCTTTTGCGCCGATGATCGTCGATCGCGGTTCGACGTTATTCCTCTCAACCCGGTCATGCAGATGTGCTACCGCACTTAGGCCCAGAGACATCCTCTAAGTATGGACCGAATCTTCCGATTCCATCTCGGATTGCGCCGAGGCGTACTGCGACGATCCGGTATGGTTTCCCCTTGGGACGTCGGCGATCGCATTGAAATCTTGATGTGTGGGTTCGTACCTCCCCGTCAGGGGAATCAACTTGTCATACAGCGATTGACACGCGTGGACCACTTGATCTTGATTGCAACGTAGCAGCTTTTTCACATCGAACACCCCAGCGACGTATTTAAAGTCATGTAGTAGCTTGACAATTGCGTTAATTTTATCCAGCGGGTTCGTTGCCGCCTTCAAAGGGGATATCGGGCCTCTAATTTTTCCGATTCTCTTGGGCTTCAGTATCTTGAGCACTGGGTCGTTCGATAGCAGATTCTCGAGCGCCTTCAAGAAATATCCCTGCGCCAATTGATCCAACTGCCAGCCTTCCATCTTCGTATCCAGAGCATGCATACGAACTTGATGGGTTGCTCGATCGATTTCGCGCTGCGATCGCGTTGATCCGATCTGATCTCGTCTTTCTTTTTCACGTGATCTGTCTTCCCAATTTTCTTCCTCGACATTGCCTGAGTGGTCTTGTGTAGTTTTTGTTCAGCTTTCGCTGAAGAGTTTTCACCCAGCGGATCGTGTTTTGCAGCACAATCCGCGGTGGTCCCCGGAGGGACTTCAAGAGGGGGTTGGGGTTTATCTCTCAGATTGTAAGATCGATCTTCCTCTTTTTTTCTTGTCATCAGAGCGCCTCCCAAAACTCTGACGATCTGGGGATCTTTAAAAATCACGCGTCCTTGGCGACCCCTCTGCCTCATCAGCTTCCATTCCAGGTTCAATCTTGACCTTCTCATCTTCACTCAGGGACTCACGGTGAAATCCCGAGTCACCAGAAGATCCGGGCACGCGCACCACTGTGGTGGAGTGGCGATCGCTCATTTTATGTGGTGATCCCGGCTCTCCACTGGTGCCCAGACGACCGACTATCGGAGGGGTTACTTTATTTCCGTGTCTTGCAAGTCCTTCCTCACCTTGTGTACCCGTCGGTAGGGCGGGTTGCACTCTTCTCGGTGGACTCTTGTCGATAGAAAACTTGACCGTGTTTGGAATGGGTTGGTGTGATCGGGCGGAAATCTTCGCGCGATCACGGGGTACTTGTAGTGTGTTTTATATAAGTCACTCAGATCTCAATGAGATCGCCTTGCCCACTGTGTGGATGCTTGATATGCGATCCTTCGGACCACTTGAGCCGTCTCGCGATCTTGCGTCTTATCCTTTTCGTTATCGCTGCATCCGATCGCAGTTGGGGGTGGGAATTCTTGATCCCCAGTCAATGATCTGGGGATATCAATTGTTTTAGTATACGTGACTTTCTTTACGTCGGGAGGCCAATATTCCAGCCCGGAAGAGAAGTCGACGCGTGTACTTAGAAGCAAATAGAATTCTGGTCAATGTCAACCAACCAAAAGCTAAGACTGTGACCATGCCTGTCTATATGCTAGGATGCTTTGCCAAGTGTTCCCTATCTGTCGGTGATTGATCTTAGCATGTGTGGTCCACTTCAGACAGATCGCCGACCTCTTTGGTCGCCATTCTCCCCGAATGCGATCTCTTCGATCGATTGACGATCTCCTTGGCCGATCACTGATCGTCGATCTCCTTGGCCAATCACTGATCGTCGATCTCCTTGGCCAATCACTGATCGTCGATCTCCTTTGCCGATCACTGATCGTCGATCTCCTTGGCCAATCGCTAATCGTCGATCTCCTTGGCCAATCGCTAATCGTAGATCTCTTTGGCCAATCGCTAATCGTCGATCTTCTTGGCCGATCGCTGATCGTCGATCTTCTTGGACGATCACAGATCGTTGATCTCCTTGATAGTCTATCTTCTTGATCAATTTGTCTTTTTGATCAATCTCGATTTCTTCGACCGGTTGTCGATCGCCTTCCAGGATCTTGATCTCTGCCGATCTGTCAGCCATATCCCGACCTCGAACATCTTGTACTTTCTCAACCTCGGTACCTTGGCTTGATCTTGGAAACTTGACATTCGATCCCATTGTCGTGATATTTAGTTGCGGTATTGCGATATCCACTCTCGGTATCGTGATATTCGAACTCAATGCTGTGATATTCGATCTTAGTATTGCGCCTCTTATCAGCCAATCAACCCTCTTAACGATTTGTCGCCGTTGGAGATCACTCCCTTAATCGATCGCTCTTTCTTCCAAAATCGCTCCACCACAGTTGCATGGTCGGATAGTCATTAGTGCCGGTTATGGACATCTTGACACGACATAATTGAAGCACAGCAGTTTGAGGGCAAGAATTCCAATGACCGACACTTGTCAATTAGCCAAGCAACAAACTGCCTGCACGGCAGTAAAGAGCACACATCTTTCAATCAAGCGTTGCTACTATACAAAACAGCTTATCCGACATTTATAATTATTTAAGAAAAAGTATTGGTACACAGCCACCCTTTGACGCGTACACACCCAGTCAAACTGTATCGATTATTCTTTACAACAAAATTAACGTAGTGACGTAAAAGTGTAAGATGGCTTGTCCTATATTAAACAGCACTGCGATCATACTTCTTCACTCAAGCATTGTTTCGAGGTGATGTTAAAGCATCCAATCTATGGTTAGGAGTTTAAAGCGTGCAGCAGGTTACGTTAGTTATCCAGCTTAACTAAACGATCGATATCGAAACGTGACGCAAAAGATTCGTGCGCCTTGATAAAAATGACAAGAGCAGCACAAGGACCCGTCAACTTGAGTTCTGGCATGGTGTTGCCGCCTTCCAGCGTACCCGAGAACGACTGATTCAGCTTTTATGCCTCTGTAGACTATGCGTATCCTTTCGGTGCTTCCATGGCTTCCGGATAGCTCTCGAACGATTGAACCACCCCGCCGTGTAATGTATGGGTGGCCTTCAAACCTCTCATCTATGCTATTTGTTACAAGCCGATTCGAATCAGGAACAGATTGCTAAAAATGGATTTACAAAATACGATGCATTCGTGTGGCATCTTTGCACACAAAATAACAATGAGTGCGCTGCTGGGGGATCTTTTCAACTTATAGGTGCTTCATCCTCAGTCGGGCGTGTTTCTAGACACTGGCGGTGGAGGTGCGGGCCTTGATCGGCGCATACGTTGTGCACGTATACTTTAACGGGGTACCCGTTACATGATATTGACACCAAACGGTGTCAATAGGGAGATTGTGTAGCTTGACAATCTTCCTTCAAAATTACCCGAGACAGGTAATATTGCAAAAATAGTATCCCCTTAGGATATTATATATGCGCTACTCAAAGATTGGTTGATAAAAGACATATCAGCCATAGATTACCGCCAATCGCTACTAGACGCGCGTAATGAGTGGAGAACAGGTTGTCGTCATACGACGACGTAGTTTATTATAGTTAGATAAAGACTATAGTTCTGTTGACAGCTTATCTACATTGAATACAGTTTTGTTTTTGCCGTTACTCAAGCTAGCTATTTGAGTAGACTAGCTTCCTCTGCACGTACGAGGGTACGTGAACTTTCGTGGCACTTTAAACAAAGGGTGCCCCTTTACATCAGGTTTTGCTCCCCTCTCTTTTGGCTTCAGCCACATTTTATGGTCGACGGCGTTGAGGGCACGATCACCCTCGTTTCCCTTTCATCGAATTGTCATTTATACTTTAATAACATCAACGAGGAGATTTAACACAGAATCCATCAGCATCTTTTTTTAATTTACACACAAAAACCTCACACCCTAGCCGCCAATCACCCGGATACGTACGTGAATACACAAAACTATATGTATTTCTCTTATCTATAACTATTAACTATAAATAATGGGCGAGCTCCTAAGATTGCCCTTTATCCAAATCGTAATTTTTATGCTTGTCTGTGTCCGTGCGTTTGTCGCCGGGTGCTGAATTTGGTTTTGCTTTTGAATTGTATCGTCAGCACAGAAACTGGGAATTTTAACACAAACAGAAAGATGAGTAGTAGTTTGCGCATAACGGTCTCAAACGTAGCGCCGAACACGTACTGGTTCTCGAAGGAAACAGTTAATCTCCCCTCAGTTCCTGGTAAAATCCCCTCAGTTTAATATAACGCTATATGATTGGCTGATAATGATTCGAGAATAGATAAAGCGATACCACATCTGTGGGTTTTCCAAAGTCAGTTTTTGTCGTAATTATATACAATTGAACCTTTTTGCGCAAAATTATCATGTGGTGGACGTCATTGTCGGCGTTCCAGCCGCAGTATGCGATGTCCTTAAATCAAAAAATGTGAGTGAGTAAGTGAGTGAGTGTAAAGCTATCATATGATCCAAAGCAACCAACAATTGGCGTCACTGATGCAATAAATGATCCAGAATTGTGATGAAGATGCGGCCATTGCATTGGGGTGGGTCACAGTGCACAATCATGTAGCAGTTCAATCGGATAAACTTCAACACCTGCAGAATTTAACGAAAATGATCTACAGACCAAAATAACTTTGACTGCATTCCTCAGTACAAGCCTATAAAATTGGTAGGCACTATCACTGGTGCATTACTGAAATAGAAGCTTACTTACACGAGCATACAGTTTCCTTGGCTTCATTGGCATTTTTATTGTTGTAAAGCAGAATATCACTTGTTGCGGGGCCTTAATACCTTCGTAATAACAGGGGCATCCGTTTGGGCTACGCATGCGCGCATTTAGAAGCTCTCTATGCACGACCATCTTCATACCCTCCTACATGCTCTGATGCGGACCAACATTGCACATTAACAGATCCGGAACAGCACAGAAAAATAGGAATCTACACAGTAGCAAAAAAGGAAAATTGAGTAATAACACACGTCGTGTGCACGCGACACGAACGATCCAAATACGCATAAAATTGATAATCAAGAAAGTATCAGTCTTATCATCGACTAGCGCAGAAACCTTTGCATGAAAGCGTGATGGGGATTTCTTGATGTTGTAGAGGCGTCGACTTTATAAAATAACGAGCGATTAAAAGCATCTACGGTGGTAAAAGCTTTGAGCTGGCAAGGTTTCAGGCAAAGAATGACAGAATCTTGCGCTAACGACCACATTAATCTTGTTTTTCTAAATTAATCTTTTTTAAAGGTGACAAAACTAACAATTTAGATTTAATCTATACTGTCTGAAAATTTTTGTTTTTTTATATTATTTCTTCTTTTAATTTTAGTTACATTTTATCATTTTAATTCATCAAGTTTTAAAAAGCTTTATTAGTGGTAAAAATAAGACCCGAAACTTAGTGATATAACCATGAACAGACTGAAAAATGGGTAAAACTGTTTGAAGGAAATCGAATAAATTTAAAAATTTAATTTACGTTTTTTTAAGCGCTTTCGAAGTATACCAATTAGGTCAATTAGATACTTAAAAACCGGATAAAGTGATATAAAATTCTCAAGGCATGCCTATAAATCAGCCAATCATGAAGCGTTATATCAAACTGAGGGAATTTTACCAGAAACTAAGGGGGGATTAACGGGCGAGTCTATTCCGTACTTTGAATTTTTGCTATTCCGTACTGCGAACAGCAGTAAACGTTTTTACGAACAACTAATTCGCTTAATGGTTAAATTTATCCTTATCATGCTCCCTATAGAAGGTCAGAGGTGCGGAGATTAAAGAGCTTCCGTTGAGTGGTTTAATTCCCTTTATGTCACCCTTTACACTAGCTTTGTATGACTCGTATAGTGCAGCTGACCACACCACATTCATTTGTTATCGTCCTTTGGTTCAAAATACCGACAAACAGTACAGGCAGTGCGCGCGCTGACCTGGAGCATACTGTACTAGGCGACATTCCCGTTTACACTGGAACTACCGACCCGCAGATACAAGTGTCTACATGGCGGCGGTTCATTCCGTAGGGGTTAACACGCGAGTTCCGACCGCACGTTGGTGTACCCCTTCGTAACCTCATCATACACCGGATGTTCAGGACAGTTGCCGAACACAAGCGAGACGAGGATCGGGAGAGAATAGCGCTGTAGAGTGACGTCATGGAGCCATTGGTAACGGTCCGGGATGGCAGCAGCAGGCGGGTTGAACCCAGCAAAGACCAGGAACATGACGTTCATGAGGACGCCCACAACAGCAACGACTTCGCCACTGGATAGCAAGCAGACTAGCAGCTGGCCCAGGAGCATCTGCATGAGGCCGGAGAGGGAGATGTTGAGATGTGGAGATGTTGAGCCAGTAGAGCACAGCCGTGCTGAAGGACCAAATGCCGAGGAGAGGAAAGAAGACAATGGTGAAGAGGAGACTGCTGCCAAAGACGAAGGGGATCTCGACGAACGTGATGCCGAGGAAGTACCAGAGAGTGTTGTACGTCTGCGCGTCACACTCGCGGTAGTAGACGGCTCGTTCCCGCATGGTGGAGGGTAGACAAGCAGCTCACGTATCCTCGAAACAGTGTTGTCATGAAATGTTACCCAAGGCTAATTTCAGCCTTGATACGTTGTGTAGTCGACGTTGACAAGCACGAGGCCGAAGATGATGGCCAGGATAAGTGCGAGCCAACACCGAGTCAAGTTGTACGATGGTGTTCGCCAGTACATTGACTGAAACCGCTGCATGATCAATCAGACTTGCATCCAGGACGTAGCAACTCGCTTGTGCTGGAACGCTAGCTTCGGTAGACTATCGGGTGCAGGTGTCGTCACACCAGGTTCAGCTAGACCAGTCAGCAACACTTATTGCTCTGAAGATAGATTTGGACATTGGTAATCTTCCAGTTGGAGATGTTCAACCCGTCCGTGAGGCTCAGCACTAATTCCAGTCAATGGAAGCTCTTTGATCTCCGCACCTCTGACCTTCTTTAGATAGCATAATACAGATAGAATCTAACTATTGAGCTAATCAGCTGTTCGTAAAAACGTTTGACGGCGTTTAGAGTACAGAATAGCAAAATCAAAGTACGGAATCGCCTCGCCCGAGATTAACGGTTCCCTTCTCGTAATACGAGTAAAAGGGGGTGCCGTATGTTTGAACACTGAAAAATAGATGCAGACTTGAACCGGCGTTACTTACACATGAGGAGGAGACAAGCTTCATCGCACTTCGTACGATGAGAGAGCTCACCTTGCGTTATACGCAGACACAGATAGACAGAAAGTGGGTATGATAAGTTCGGCATTCACTCTCAGGCAAAGTCTTCACCAACAGCTTCAGCCTTCGTGATCGCGATAAATCGATAACCGACCAAACGTGAGCACAAAGCGATACACGATAGACTTGAAAAAAAGGCGACGTGTTGCTAATCGCAAAGGGCTGAATGTGCATTCAAAACAAAAGTCTCTCCTGGTGTGAATTCTTCGCATTGTCCACTTACACAGGAGGCACCACATCATTGATGACGGGCGATGCGGGCACAGTGTTTGTCTGGTCGGGCGCTGCTTCATTGCTGGGCTTGACAGACGCTGGTCCACCGCTAGTGTCAATGCTGAACTCTGCACACAACGGGTTTGTGATGTTGTTGTACACGTCACAATTCGTATCGGGCTTGAAAGCCACGACATAGTCGCTGTCCTCGAACACGCGTTTCAAACCTTTGCCGATCTGCGGGTCATAGACGCTCAAGTCGTCCGTTGTCAGCGTGAACGAGACGTCCATCGACTGACCAGGCTGCAGCTCAATCTTCTTGAATTTCTTCAGCTGCTTTACCTCCGGCACTGAGATCAAGCGGTACGGTTGGATCACGAACATCATCACCGTCTCATTACCGGCACGGGCTCCCGTGTTCGTCACCGTCACTGTCGCAGTGGCGGTTGCGGATGCACTAGTCAGCCGAGTCGTGTCCAGACTCAAACCAGTGTAGTTGAACTGCGTGTAACTGAGACCCGTTCCGAATTCAAATTCCATCTCGCAGTTGTCGTTGGCACAGCGGGTACTGACGAGGTGGTTGTACGGAATGGCAATGTTTGCCGGGTTCTTCGGGTACGTGAGCGGCAGTCGACCGCTCGGGTTCACGTCACCATAAATGATCTCAGCCATTGCCTTGCCACCGAGCTCACAAGCTAGCATACCGTTAATGATGGCCATCGAGTTATCAGGGATCGAACCAAGTAGACGAGGGCGGCCTCCAAACAACACGACGATCATCTTGGTGTTGGTCGCTCGAAGAGCCTCAATGTACCTCACCTGGCCCGCAGGCAGTGCCAAGTCATTGATGTCCCCCGGTTTTTCAGTGTAGGATTCCTCACCGATCACAGCAACCGTGTACTCGTGCTCGCTAGCTTGCTTCACAGCCGTTGCCAAGTCCGCGTCCGAAATACTGCCGTTCGCTTGCAAGCCGTTGAAGTAAGTGAACGAGCTGTTACCAACAAGGCCTTCGAAGCCCTGGAGAACGCTCACGCCATTGGGAAACATCGCATTCCCCGAGTACCCTTGCCACGCCTTGCTCCATCCACCGCACTGGTAGCCAACATTGTCAGCAGAATGACCCGTGAGAAAGACGGAAGCTGTCTTTGGCAGCGGTAGAACATTTTCCGCATTCTTCATGAGCACAATTGATTCGCGAGCCATTGCCAACGCTGTCTGCACGTCGTCGTCGTTGCCCACCATCGAGACATACTGCTCACCAGGGATGGGGTTCTCGTACAAGCCCAGCTTCAACTTCGTCTTCACAACACGCTTCGCCGATTCTCGCAGACGAGCTTCCTGTTCCGGGTGCTTCTCCAGCACTCTCAGAGCTTGATCGATAAATTTCGCGTCGTTCGGCACCATGCTCATGTCGATCGATGTCTGCATCATCGCCATAGCTACAGCATCATCGTAGGTCTTGGCAACCCGGTGCCAGTCCTTGAGATTGTTAATCTCGGCATAGTCGGTCACGAGCAGGCCTTTGAACCCGAGGTCCGTTCGAAGCAGATCGTTCAGGATGCGAGAGCTAGCAACGATCGGCTTACCATTAATTGAGGTGTAAGCCTCCATCACCGTCATGACACCGGCGTCTACAGCTGCTTTGAACGACAGCATGTAGTAGTTGAGCAGGTCGTAGTCGGAGATGTGGGTGTTGTCACGGTCGTGGCCCCTCTCGGTCCTGGAGTATCCGATAAAGTGCTTCATGCAAGCTGCCGTTTGGTTGTAGCTCTGCAGACCGCGAATAATAGCGTCACCCATCACAGACACCACATAGGGGTCCTCACTGAAGGTCTCGTACGTGCGGGCCCACAACGGATTGTACGAGATCTCCAGAATCGGTCCGAAGATCCACGGAATACCGGCAGCTTCCGTATCGCGAGCAGTGATTTGTCCTGCTTTGTACACGAGCCCGGGATTGAAACTTGCACCCATGTTGATCTGCTGCGGAAACATGACGGCTCCATCGACGTAGTTGGCACCGTGCACCGAATCCAGACCGTACAGGATCGGGTGCCCACCATTCTCCTCCATGGTGATCTCTTGGATACGCTTAATCAAGGCACGGAACTCAGTAGCGTTCCACCCGTATGGGGCACTTCCTTGACGTCCAGCAAATATCGAGTCGAGGTACGACCCCACGTGCTGTCGGGCGTAGGCGCGGACGCTGGTCTCGTTCAGCGTCTTGGTGGTGGAATTTATGACAGTGCTGACTTCGACCTGGGTCATCTGTCCAAGCACTTGCGCAATGGTGAACTTGTCGACAATCGCCTGGGCTCTGGCGTCGAAGGCATCCTGGGCGACCGCTGCGCCGGGAAGACTCGCATACGTCACCGCAACAGCTAAGCTGATAGCAGCTGACCAGCTTGTCCACATTGGATGAGAGAGCAGGTAGTTGAGCTTGAGGTGGAGTGCTTCGGAGCTTGGTACTGCGCCGGTAGGCAGGAAGTTTGATAATGAACACTCTTGTCAAACCTCCGCTCGGCGAGGACTAGACGTGCCACCTCCTATCTTCAGGTACTAATTGTTGTACAATAGTCGAAGCCAACTTGTCGCATCGAAGCGGTGGGGTCTGTCCACGTGTGTTTTTGTATCGTCACAGGTACGGATGAATCAGAGGAAGTGGTCGCAGAGCAAATCGAGTAAGTGTTGATGCAGTCTACAGCTGGTCTGAATTTACATTCCACCAGACGGTATTCGGTGAGAACTGAACCCTTCCGAACAAAGTCTGTCCTGTCCAATTCGAGCAAAGATACATTTCGGAGGTGGAAAAACGAGCTCTGACTCTCATCTGAAGATTTCGAACAGTGTGTAACGCTACTGCTGAGGCTACACGCTCCTCAAACTTCCGTCTTGGTGCGAATTTGATCATGATTGCGTCATGATTGACACGGCAGGACAAGTGCAGCAAGCCTGCTACTTACAGAGCTTCGTAGCACGTGCGCAGCTACTCCGTTTGAGCTTCATGTTCTGCGTGCGAAGCGTCAAAGATTGAGATACGGTATATCAATGACGTGTGGTGCTTTGTCTCGTCTTCAGGGAATGCACGAGATTGTAAAGTTGACAGCGCTTCACCTGATCGGGATTTGTAGAAGGTGCATGTGCACCATTCTTAACAACAGACCAGAAGTCAGACTTAGCGACCTAGTCAGAAGACCCCATCGTTCGAGGAGGAGGTACAACTGTTGCTTGAAGAGCCAGACGACAGGCCTCGGCGGAATGGCTGCCAAGTGATACTCTTGCAAACTGCATACGTCTTTTGTTCTACACTTCGGCTTGCAAGACAAAGAACCCTTCGAAGCAAGAGGGAAGAGATATTAACGGTTTGCACGGCAAGAGAGACGTGATGTGTGTCGTTGTTGTCGCAGGGCGTATGGCGGTACGTCGCTGCGTGACAAATGAGCGAAGATCGTTACGATGTAGCAGTCGTGGGGTCTCCATACAATTTCACATCCAAGATGATGATGTGACCAGCTTTTTCAACCATCTGTTGCACCATTCTGCAAAGAATCGGGATATGTGTGTGGCTTGGCAAGGGTTGGTGGTCAAAGCGAGAAGGACGCGAAACCATCAGGTGGGACAGACTATTCAGCCGGTGTTGATGGCCGGTAGGGAGGTCTAGTCAAAATCCTGTTCTGAGTTTTTAGCTAATTTAGATCCTCTTTTATGCTCTTGTGCGCGATCAGAGTGGGAGAAAGGGGTGCATAGGCAGACAAAACAGTGATCACAGACACGATTAATATCAGTCGCATCTCAGGTGTTCTTGCGAGTCCGATGGGTGAAGCTGGCAGTACTGTGCGCAAGGTTGAATGCCAAACTTTTCAATCGTATTTATTTGTGTGTGTCTGCCCGTATGTCTGTAAATTACGCGGCTAAGTGTACCTCGCGCGAGCTAAGTACGATCTAGCTTGTTTCTCCCTCATAAGTATGCAGGCATATCCGAAGTCGCTCTTTGACTTAGTCACTCTTCTGGCACGCTTGTGATTGGCTCAAATCAATGAAAAGTGAACATGATTACATAAGCAAATGCTGAACGCTGATAAGCAGTGGCTGATCGCGTTGCTTGAATATACTGTAATGAATGTTGTTCATACATTAACAACATCATGCTCCTTCTTCAGTGACTGCTGTTGTGCAGTGTTTTGCAACTTGATTCAGCTCTCCCAACTGAATTACTAATACCAAAGGGCGAGCTCCAGAGCTTGCGCCCCCATCTTATATTATTTCAGAGAGGGGTGAACTATGAACTACACAGACGATAGCCATCATTCTTCCACTTTTTTATGGAAGAAGTAGGCGTTCGAGTTAGTCAGTCCAAAACAAATCAAAAGAATACGATCCGCATGATTTCAAGTGATGCCAATATCGTCGGCGTCGACGCTCAGGTCAACGCTGCAATATCCAGGCGGCTCCAAGCATTATATGATGATCTACGACACCTTCAGGACTCATAACGTCCGTGCTCATACTAGGAGCTTGCTGATCTGGCATTCAGTCTGCTGTGATCATAAATCTAAGAGTTCGTAAATTCGTGAATTCTTTACTCCTCATCAGTTGAATTATGTACGTTAAAATCCATGTCATACTCCAGAGCGGTATCGGAAAATATTATCTTTTTCGTTTGTACAGAATGTTGGCGCTAACAGTTGATAAATTTACGGCAAGGTCATTGCTGCCCGGGTGATTGTGTAACGAGCCACCGGAGCAACACGCTGGAAAACCAGTGTGGTGTTGCTCTCATCGACAGCAGTGTGAGTGGTGCCTCGCTACCTTTGTAAAGTACGCAGACGAAGGTAAAGCAGCCAGGAACTGACTATTTGCTGGTAAAAGAAATACTGTATTACATGTAAATAAATCCTAATCATCATCCTATGTTTTAGTCCTGACTTAATTATACTTGGCTACACAAATGTATGCTACAGACTTGCTCACCGCTCATTGCGCGCGTCCATCGTTAATTAGACCGCTAGAGCTGGCTGATATGATGACCCATATCAGCCAATTGGTGTTTCTGAATATTACCCCTAGTGGTAATATTCACGAACATATTCAACCTTTATGATGATATTCTACTTGACAAGTATCAATGCTAATTACATGTAACAGGCTCACCCGTTACGAATTGGGTGAAGCTTCTGGTGATGCCATTGCAATCCCGTTTTCTTGGTAGAATGACTGGTTTTTACAATAGAGCACTCGTTAGTATGAACTATTCGGTTTACGTAGAATCAGGAATAGCTTCTTCTTTTCCCTTTGAACGAGGTAAAGAGTCTGGTTCTCCATTCTCGTTTATTGGTAAGCAATAGAATGTTTAGGTAGCGTGATCTGGCAAAAGTTCCACATCTCGTTGCCTTATCAGCATGAGCTAAGTCTGGTGACTAGTCATTAATCAATCATTGTAAAAGGTGGCTGGACGGTATATTACTATTCAATCTTTAGTCGAGTAAAGGCAAAATGACGAACCAGCACATGTGCAAATACTGAACGCGCACAAAACTATACACGGACAAATTGCATTCCTGTGCTTTGACTGACTAATCTGAACAACTTTATCTTTCATAAAAAGTGGAAGAATGATGGCGTTAGTTTGTTTGGTTCATGTTTAACCGCCCTCTGAAATAATATGTAACACCTGTGTGGCGGATGGAATCAATCATGTCTGTGATCAAGTTTTTGTCTGTCCTTGCACCCCTTTCTCCCACTCTGATTACTCTTCAATCAGCACTGAATAGGTAGGGGAGTATAAAAAGGCACTCACTGGCGCAAGCCAGCTTTTTTCGAATGACGGATACAAAGCTGTCACCAATCCCCCCCCCCTTCCCGATGGGGAGGGGAGTTTCAACCTCAGTCGAGCACACCCCTGAGAAGTGATGGCAGTATAGCACTACCTTCGGCACCAGTCACGGAAGAGCGTAGGCAGAGCATTCCGCCACATCCGATCGGCTACCTCGCACCAACCGTCGCCCCGGAGGCAGCTGTGGACATCGACATTGACTCTCACCTAAAGCGTGCCATGTTGACCAGATCCTCGCCACAAGACATGTCAGCTCATGCACGTATCACGGCTCCTTTTGTCTTCTCTAGAGATTCACCACCCGCTGAAGGAAAGAATCTGTCGTCGATTCCGACGCGAGCCCCGACACCTGGCCAATCGACTCAATCGGGAGCGTTGGCTTCCAACACCTTTCCCTTTCAGGCGCCCCCCCCGGGACATGTTTGGTGCCCTAGTATAAAGAGATGAAGGCATCACCCGGGCCGGGTTACGTCTATGTATAGCGTCAGACCGTTCAGGAGCTGTCCAAATACGAATTTTCTTGGCTTCCGGTTAGCTTGGAAGCTCTTCCGCAGAGCGGAAACTGTAACGGGGCACCCTGAAGCTTGTACTGGTGACAGTACAAGCTACTTATTCTGACGACAGAATAAGGCGGTGCCTCGGAACTTCACGTACACTCGTACGTGCAGAGGAAGACGGTAAGGAGAAGCGAGTACTTGGTTAAAGTAAAAAGTAGAACTGTATTTATAATAGTTAATGTCTGTTAATAAACCACTGTTTGTCCTCATCTCACAATGTCTAAATACAAATGTGTATATCAACTATCTGCTCACCGCTCATTGCGTGCGTCTGTCGTGGCGTGTCTTCGTTGGTTGATATAATGGCCTATATCAACCAATTAGGAACTACTCGTAAGTGCTGCAGAATATTTGTCCTTATGACAATATTCCGAGAATATAACTCTTATAGTTTTATTCTATTAGCAATTTCCTATAAATTGTTATGTAACGATTCACCCCGTTACATCACCCCCCCCTTAACCATCAGTCACTTTAGTGACTGATTGACTTAATAGATACTCGTCCCAAATCATTTGGGACAGAATTTGCACTTGTTGGTCCGAGTCCACTTTCCAACATCTCATCGCATGGTTAACAAGCCCATGCGATGCGCGAGCAAGGCCGCCGAGAGCGCGTCCGCACGTCTCTGTGCTGACGCCGAAGCAGAAACCACAGCAACTGATGTCTTATCGGTTGCTGAAGCGACCCAGCCTGTGTCACTTGGTGATGCAGGCGCTGGTCATGAAGACACTCGTGTCTTCACAGAGTACGAGCTCGGTGTCTCGTACTCTCCTGATAAGGAAGAAGGATCCGTATCGACGGCGATCGAATCCAAGCCGCCTGCCAAGCGTGGCATGGATGATGCTTTGCGTCGTAGCATCTTGGGTTCATCTGATGAATCAGATGAACCATCGCCGAAGCGTAGGCGCTCGAGGTGGCGAGACTCGGGCGCTAATAGTGGTGTCGGTTCTCCTGTTGACACCACTTCACAGCGAGGTGCCAGTACTTCTGTCGGCACATCGCAGGAAGAGCGGGACCGCAATGTCTTGCGTCCCGCTCCCGAAAAGAAGGCATGGATGCCTTTAAAATCAGTCATGGATCACTTGTCGGCGACGACGAGTGATCGTTATCGAACACGGTTGTTCGATTCGTCAAGGATCCATCACCTTGACCCCAGCGCGAAAAACTATCGCGCTGAGAATGAATTCTTCATCGATGCTTTCTTTAGACATCGATGGTACAGTGGGAATCACAAACCTGATGGTCCCTCACTGCTTCAAGCGTGGAACGCTTACATCCATAACCTTGAGGATGTAGGTCGTGACGCTTGGAACGACAAACTTATCAAAGCTCGTGATAAGTTTGAAAAGCGAACCCCGACAGGTGCACGCTACAAGCTGCATAGTCTGTAAAGGGAGGGTGGGTTACCCCGTCTTTCCTGGGGAGACCCGTGCCCTTGTTGTGTAAACAACTCTGCACGCGCACTTAAGGAGGCTTACCTCCTTACTAGCCCGTGGTGGCGCGTACGTATATCTACTGAGATGTACGAAGGGATTGACAACCTGAAATCCCATTACGACCGTGCCGGGAAGACTTTCTCCGGCGGTCTTTCTGTGGCACCGGATGTGCCGCGTCGTACTGCAACCAGACCCAGTACGTCAATCATCAGTTGGGGGCGGGGCTCCCAAGTATTCCAGGACAGGGGATAGCCGCGCCACCGGACGAGATAACTCGTCCGACGTCCGTTCACGTCGCGGTAGTTCAACAGCTGCTCAACTAGATAGCGCTGTCCACCGCGAGAGTCCTCTAATGGAGGTGGAGGAGGAGGAAAGACGCTCTCCACACGATCATGTGGATCGGTGTGTTCCCGAGAGCTTCTTTGATCGCGTAACGCAAGGGTTACGCGACGATCTCGAACATGAGCGGAATAGGCGTCTCCAAATGGTGGACACTGCCTCGAAGCATCGAGCTGAGTTTGCCTTTGCTCAGCTTGAGAACGAGAGAGCTCTGACATCTCTTCGTGGCGAGCTAAGGGTAGCTCGTGGGATTGTTGATCGGTCTCGGGATGAGATAGCTGCTCTTCAGACCCTTGTTGATGCCCACCATCAGGAGCACAAGGCTCTCTGCGAGATGCTTGACCGCAAGGGCGTTCTTCATCGGAAGAAGCAGCGTACTGATGGTACGGCTTAAGCCGACCAACGTAAAACGTAGGATGCGTTCGCATCTTACGTGGTAATTCGATCGTGTATGCATTGCCTAGGCGGTGCAATACACGAAAAGGGCCGATTTTCTTGGGTAGAAGTTTACTGCTACCCAAGTTAGTCACTACATGCTTTGGTAGATTAACCGTAGACAGTAGGACTAAGTCACCTTTATTAAATAAAAGAGTGTTTGCCCTTCCGTTCTTGTCAGCGTTTTGCTTTTGCTTATCCACCGCTTCGGCGATGGAGTCTTGCACAAAACGGACTACCGTTTCACGAGCCAGTATGAACTCATCTGATGACTCTTTAGCTTCAGTGTGCTGTGAGCGCACTGCAGCAACATCAACCTTTTCTTCAGTGAGGGCTTCCGCACTCTCACTGGGATCATCTTCTTCAGTGAGGGCTTCCGCACTCTCACTGGCATCATCTTCTTCGATATCGATGTTATCGATATCGGCATCAAACACAATGACTTCTTCGTCAGAGCGTGATGAGCGTGAACCAATTCGGTTTTTGCTCGCGCGAGTCCCTCCCCCCCTTAAACCAGAGTTACACTCTAGTAAGGTGGGTACACGCGGATGGCGTAAGCCATTCACGTAAAACGGTGTATGTGTCGTGGACGCATGCACCGAGTTGTTGATGGCAAACTCTACCATTGGCAAAAACTCACTCCAACTCTTAAAGGAGTGTACGTATCCTCGAAGTATCTCTTCAAGGACACGATTGGCACGTTTCGTCTGATCATCTGACTCTGGATGATCAGATGTTGACATCTTCAAGCGCGTTCCGAGTGATTTGAACACGGAACGCCAGAAATCAGCAGTGAATCGTGGATCTCTGTCTGATACGAGTTCACGGGGCAACCCATGAAGTCGGAAGATGGTGTCAATAAAGACACAAGCACAGCCACTTGCCGTGATTGACTCTGGTACAGCCACAAGGTGTACCATTTCGCTGAATCTGTCAACAAATACGAGAATACCCGTATTCCCGCGTGCGTCTTTGGGTAACCCGAAGACAAAATCCATTGAGATGGATTCCCAGCACTCAGCCGGAACCGGTAGAGGCTGTAAAGGTGCACGCAGTGAAGGACTTGACTTCACTTGTTGACAGACTTCGCATGCGCGAACATACTTTCGCACAAACTGATACTGGCGGGGCCAGTAAAAGTCTCGAATCACCGTGAGATATGTTTTCTCTCGGCCACGATGTCCTCCTATAGGAGCATCATGATACTCGAACATGATCCGCAAACGCAGATCAGTATCATCTGGAATGACAACACGTGGTGTGTCACCAGAAACGGCTGTATAGTACAGTAAACCGTTACGAGTAGTGTATCGATCTGATGCAGATCGATACGCAGACGACAATCGTTTCAACGATTATCGAGATGGTTGGGAGAGATGTGTCAACAACTTCACAATCTCACCATCTTGGGCGTATGCCCGCCTCACATCATCATACAACGTTGTAGATGGGACTGAGGACGTCATAACCGCAACAGTGACTGTCTCACTGTTGGGTTTCGCGACTGTTTCAAAGTCGGGCCGACGTGAGAGTGCATCAGCGACGACATTAAGTCGTCCTGGTTTGTACTCGACCGTAAAGTTGTATTCCGCAAAGAATGACAACCACCGCGCCATTCGTTGTGAAAGGTGCGGGCTGTTCACTGCCGTGCGTAATGACGCATGGTCAGTGTAAACAATGAAGGGTCTATCTCCTAATAGATAGACTCTGAACTTCGCGAGTGCATACTTCATGGCAAGGAGTTCCTTGTCATGCACTGGATAGTTCCGCTCAGCTGGTTGCAGCTGACGCGACTGATAGCAGACGACGCGTTCAACGCCTTCAAGATCGTACTGCATTAATGCACAGCCGATTGCGAAATCGCTGGCATCACAGATCACATGAAATGGCCTGTCCTGATCGGCAATTGCTAGGACTGGGAATTGTATCAAGCTCTGCTTGATACCATCAAAGGAGCGCTGACATTCAGCGTTCCATAACCAGCTCTCGTTCTTTTTCAACAAACGAGAGAGGTGCACAGTCATCTCGGCGTAATTGCGTGATTACTTATGCAAATACGCCGCTAGCCCAAGGAATTTTCGAAGACCTTCGACATCAACCGGCACAGGCCAGTCGATGATCGCCTTGATTTTTTTCGGGATCAGGACGTACACCGTTCTTACCAACGATGCACCCAAGAAGTGGCATTTCGCTTGCTGCAAATATACACTTCTTGAGGTTTGCATACAATTGATGCTTTCGCATGATTGTAAGAACCTGTCGGACGTGGTACCTGTGAACATCAACGTCCGACTTTCCATCAATAGCCCGACTATGGATGAATATGTCATCGAAATAACTCGGCGCGAATTCTCGTACTGGTCTCAACAGATGTGATACACATCTGTTGAACGTGGCAGTGGCATTACTAAGCCCTTGTGGCATTACTAGCCATTCCCAGAGCATGCCGCTAGGCGTGCTAACTGCGGTATAGGGTATATCCCGTTCTCTCATAAGGATTTGATAGAAGCTATCCATCAAATCCATGGACGAAAAGATGGTACTCTTTGACATACCATCAATGATTACGTCCTTCCTCGGTATCGGCGTCTGAGCCGGTACCGTTGCAGCATTCAACTTGTTAAATGCATGCACTATCCGCCACCCTCCTGTTTCTTTTCGCACACAGAAGGTCGGAGAGCTATGTGGGGAAGTTGATTCCCTCACTTGGCCCGCAGCTAAACGATCGGCAAAGAACTTGTCGATCGCAAGTACTTGTTCACGAGGCAGTGGCCACTGCTTCATGACACAGTACTTCGATCCTGGTTTAAGTTCGACCTCATTTCGAATACCTTTATCCTTCGGTAATTTGCACGGAACAGTTTCAGGGAATACATCCTTGAATTCAACCAAATCTTCATAGAGAGGATTTGTCTTGAGCGATTCCCACGATTGGGAGTCATATCGCTCAATTAGTGTCTTTTATATCTAGGACACTCTCGTCCATAGATGAACTACTGAGAACTTTCTCGTTCTCAGTAAACACTGTTGCTGACCTTATGTCGGTTACACACTCGTCGTCAGCGACAAGTACGCAGATCTGCTTGACTTTGCCACTACGCAGATCACGCAAGAACCTTTTTTGTTCGAGCGTTGGCAACTGAGTGATCTCCGAAGTTAACTTCGGAGGCGCAATCAGATCAAGTGTATAAGCGCCTACACTTGATCCGTCATTGACTATGACATTCAATGTCTCTGTCATTTCCTGGGGACTTATTCCCTCAGGCTTCGAAGGACTTATTCCTTCGGCTTCCCGGGGACTTATTCCCGCGGGTTTCGGGGAACTTATTTCCGCCGTATTTGTAATCTTGGGACTTATTCCCTTAACTTCCTCTATCTGGGGTTGCGCAACCACAGCGAGATCCTCTACGAAAGACTCTCCAGTCGATCTAGGATCTTGTCCCGGTCCACTCGACTTATCCGAGTGGTGGACCTTCGGCGCAGCCTGTGTTTCCTCACAGCCGCCGGAATCTTGCTCCGAAGTGTAACCGTTTGGTACACTAAGGTTTTGTGCAGTCGTACTAACGACCGTACCATAAGTGAGGCCATCGCACTCACTCGTAGTATATCCACACGCTTGTGGACGCTCCAAAACGTTCATCAGATGGCCATCTGATGAACAAGCGGCAGGCATCGTTACTGTTCGATGTTGCCAGTTTACCCGTGCTTCGTACCTTCTGAGCCACGGTATTCCAAGGATGACATCAAATTTGTCATCCAAATCCAATACGATAAAGTCATCGTCATATTGGGTATCTTCTAGCGTATAGTGGATCTTCACTATACGCTTCATGACGGTTACGGATGCGCCTGTCGCAAGACGTACCGTCATCCTCGTAGGAGGTGTGTCACATTCACTGAATTTAAAGTGACCATCTTCTAGCGATTGGCGTCGCACAAAATTGTTGGACGCCCCACAATCGACTAGAGCTCGAAGGGATAACTTATTCGTCACTTCGAGTTTCAAGGTAATGAGTGAGACCTCATTACCTAGAGCAGCAACGCACAACGTTTGTGTGTTGGGAGCAACCTTCATCAAGAGGCCTACAAATTCTCTTGACGTTGCTAGACCAGTAGGGTGCTCCGCACCTACTGATCCTGTCCGTTTTTTGACGGTCCATCCCGTTGTTGCGTCTTTGCACCAACAGCGGACCCTCGTCCCTGCCCCTTTCTCATGGGTGGACGGTCACTACGCCCAGTGTCGCGAGACACTGGACGAGGGGCACTACACTCGTAAGCGTAGTGTCCTGTCTTTTGGCATCTATTGCATTTCTGCAACTTCTTGTAGTCTGTAGAGCGAGCCTTCGCGCTCTCTACATAACAGAGTTCCATCGGCTCTGGACCTCCGTTGTCATATCGTCTCGGTTGACGATATGATGTCGAGCTGGCGCGAGCCTGTCTCAGACTGAAGTCTTCCTGCTCCGCAATGGAAATTGCTTGTTCTAGTGAATCTAGTTCAAGCCGGAACAGGTGAGTCTTGACGGGACCATCCGCAAGACCCTGCATGAACACCGAAACCAACGTGTGTTCATCCACCGGATTGGAACTTATACAACTCGTGAGATGTCGTATATGTTGAGCGTAAGCGTGCACATCACGCTTACCATGCTTGAGCTTCAAGAGTTCGGTTCGAGCCCTGAACTCAGCTCTAGGCGGTTCAAACGTTTGTCTGAGCCGCGACTTGAAGACTTCCAACGACCCAAACGCATATGGGTCGTGCAACTTGAGCCCCAGTGCCCAAGTCTTGGCACGTCCTGCCAGGTTTGACTGGGCAAATGCAACTTGCATATCCCCGTCGTCGATGCGACGCGCCCTTATGGCGTCATCTAATTCGACGAACCATCTCAAGAGGGAGTCTTCTTCGACCCCCCTATACTTTGAGATGTCAATCTTCAAAGTCTCGGGTCGACGCGAGTGCATCGACCCGCCAGCAGCAGCCTGCTGCTGTCTCAACAGTTCAAACTGTTGAGCACCCTGTTCTCTCAACAACTCTGCTTGTTGAGAACCTTGTTGGTGAAGCAAGGCTACTTTCTCGCGTTCTGCGTCAAGTTCATTTTGAATGAACTTGGCGATAGTAGCATGTTGGGCATCTCTATTGAGAGCCTCTAGCATGACGCTAACAGCATGGATGCCCATGGTCGAACCCATTCGTTCAACCGCATCCCATTCGACATCGCTCAAATGGGAGTAGCCGTCACGCGTAGCGTGAAAGCTTTGGTCATCTTCATCATCCAACATATTCATGTTAGATGTGAACGTGGTCCTTGGACGGACTACGAAGTGCTACCAGGTGTAACGGGGCACCCTGAAGCTTGTACTGGTGACAGTACAAGCTACTTATTCTGATGACAGAATGAGGCGGTGCCTCGTAACTTCACGTACACTCGTACGTGCAGAGGAAGACGGTAAGAAGAAGCGAGTACTTGGTTAAAGTAAAAAGTAGAACTGTATTTTGTATAGTTAATGTCTGCAATAAATCACTATTTATCTTCATCTAACTATGTCTAAATACAAATGTGTAAATCAGTTATCTGCTCACCACTCATTGCGTGCGTCTGTCGTGGCGCGTCTTCGTTGGTTGATATAATGGCCTATATCAACCAATTAGGAACTACTTGTAAGTGCTACAGAATATTTGTCCTTATGACAATATTCTGAGAATATAACTCTTATAGTTATATTCTATTAACAATTTCTTATAAATTGTTATGTAACGATTCACCCCGTTACACATGGTCAGTGTAAACAGATATCTCCTAATAGATAGACTCTGGACTTCGCGAGTGCATACTTCATGGCACGGAGTTCCTTGTCATGCACTGTATAGTTCCGCTCAGCTGGTTGCAGCTGACGCGACTGATAGAAGACGACGCGTTCAACGCCTTCAAGATCGTACTGCATTAATGCACAGCCGATTGCGAAATCGCTGGCATCACAGACCGCGTGAAATGGCCTGTCCTGATCGGCTATTGATAGGACTGGGAATTGTATCAAGCTCTGCTTGATACCATCAAAGGAGCGCTGACATTCAGCGTTCCATAACCAGCTCTCGTTCTTTTTCAACAAACGAGAGAGGTGTACAGTCATCTCGGCGTAATTGCGTGATTACTTATGCAAATACGCCGCTAGCCCAAGGAATTTTTGAAGACCTTCGACATCAACCGGCACAGGCCAGTCGATGATCGCCTTGATTTTTTTCGGGATCAGGACGTACACCGTTCTTACCAACGATGCACCCAAGAAGTGGCATTTCGCTTGCTGCAAATATACACTTCTTGAGGTTTGCATACAATTGATGCTTTCGCATGATTGTAAGAACCTGTCGGACGTGGTACCTGTGAACATCAACGTCCGACTTTCCATCAATAGCCCGACTATGGATGAATACGTCATCGAAATAACTCGGCGCGAATTCTCGTACTGGTCTCAACAGATGTGATACACATCTGTTGAACGTGGCAGGGGCATTACTAAGCCCTTGTGGCATTACTAGCCATTCCCAGAGCATGCCGCTAGGCGTGCTAACTGCGGTATAGGGTATATCCCGTTCTCTCATAAGGATTTGATAGAAGCTATCCATCAAATCCATGGACGAAAAGATGGTACTCTTTGACATACCATCAATGATTACGTCCTTCCTCGGTATCGGCGTCTGAGCCGGTACCGTTGCAGCATTCAACTTGTTAAATTCATGCACAATCCGCCACCCTCCTGTTTCTTTTCGCACACAGAACGTCGGAGAGCTGTGTGGGGATGTTGATTCCCTCACATGACCAGCCGCTAAACGATCGGCGAAGAATTTGTCGATCGTTGTGACCTGCTCACGAGGCAGTGGCCACTGCTTCATGACACAGTATTTTGAATCGGGTTTCAGTTCGATTTCATTTCGAGTGCCTTTGTCCTCAGGCAACTCGCATGGCACGGATTAATAAGAAAACATCCCTGAATTTTACCAAATCCTTATGCAAAGGATTTATCTTCAAAGACTCTTAAGATTGAGACGTTTATCGCTCAATCCGGGTCTTCTCATCGGGGAAGCTCTCGTCCATAGATGAGCTGCTGAGAACCCGTTCGTTCCCAGCAAACACTTGTGCCGACCGAATATCGGCGACGTACTCGTCCTCTGTGACGAGTACGCAGATCTGCTTGATCTTGTCACTACGCAAATCTCGCAAAAACTTTTAGATTCTAGCGGTGGCAACTTGACTATGTCCGAAGCTGGCTTCGGAGGTGTAACCAGATCAAGTGTATAAGCGCCTACACTTGATCTGTCATTCACCAAGACATTAACTGTCTCGGTGATGTCTTGGGAAAACACATCCTCAGGTGATTGGGGATACACACCTTCAACATAACTCTCTCGGGAGTGATCACTCTCAGGAACGCTGGAGCTTTGTTCCAATACGTGTACAGAATGTAAGTGTACTACTACAGTACGTACTCTTCGATCGACTCTCTTTCAGTCGATCGGGCTTGCTCTACGATCGACTCTCTGTTGGTCGATCTCGCTTTAACGTGTTGTTCATCCTGAACAACACTTATCTCTCTTCTTGGATGCACCCTTCTTGGTGTGCATCCGTGTTCCAGTCCACTCGATCTTTTCAAGTGGTGAACCTTCGGCGAAGACTGTGTCTCTACACAGATGCCGGAAGCTGGTTCCACAGTGCAGTGGCCTTCTACACTGTTATCTTGTGCAATCGTACTAACGACCGTACCACAGGTGAGGCCATCGCACTAACTCGTAGTACATCCAAACGCTTGGGACGCTCCAAGACGTTCATCAGATGGCCATCCGATGAACAAACGGCAGGCATCTTTACGGATCGATGCTGCCAGCTGACCCATGGCTGGTACTCTCTAAGCCATAGCAGACCAAAGATGACATCAAATTTGTCGTCCAAATCCAGTACGATGAAGTCACCATCGTACTGCTTTCCTTCTAGCGTGTAGTGGATTCTCACAACACGTTTGTTCACTGTTACGGATGCGCCTGTATCAAGGCACACCGTCATCCTCGTTCGAGAGATACATCGCTCAACATAGTTGAGCCTACTACCTATAGCGACTGGCGTCGAATAAAACTGTTCGACGCCCCACAGTCAACTAGGTCGCGAAGCGTCATCCCACCTGTCACTTCGATCTTCAAAGTAATGAGGGCCACACTAGGGGCAGTAGCATACAGCATCTGTGTGTTGGAAGCAATCTTCGTCATGAGTCCTGCAAATTCTCTTAACGTTGCTGGATCAGCAGGGTGCTCCGCCCCTACTGACCCTATCCGTTTTTTTACGGTCCGACATGCTGTCGCGGCTTAGCGACATGGTCAGATCGCACCTTGGACCTTTCCTCGACCAACGTCAGTCATCACGTCCTTTCTTCGGACGTGATGCGGTGCTTGGAAAACTACACTCATGAGCGTAGTGTTCGATCTTCTGACAGCGATGGCATCTTGCCGTTCGCTTGTGACTCAGAGAGCGAAAATTCTCGCTTTCGATGTAACATAGGTCCATTGGTTCGGGACCTCCTGTTTCCTGTCATCTCGTTGACTAGTAGCTTGACGAGTTAGCCTGAGACTGTCTCAGGCTGAAGTCTTTTTGTTCCACATACGCTATCGCCTTTTCCAGCGTACGTACGTCCTCTCGGAACATATAGGTCTTCACTGGTCCATCTGCAAGGCCGTAGATGAACATGTTGATGAGCGCGGCGCATCAACAGGGGTTTCCGTGACGCTACCTGCAAGGTAGCGTAGATGTTGTGGGTAAGCGTGCACATCACGATCACCTTGTTTGAGTCTCAAGAGTGCAGAGCGTGCTCTGCACTCGGCTCTTGGCGGCTCAAACGTTTCTCTGAGCCGAGGCTTCAAGATTCCTAACAACTCAAACATGCATGGGTCGTGAAGCTTGAGCCCCAAGGCCGAAGTATTTTCTCGTCCCGTCAAATTTGACAGGGCAAAGGTGACTTGCATCTCATCACCCTCGATGACGGGCCCTGATGGCATCGTCTAACTCGACGAACCACCTCAAAAGGGAATCTTCAGCGGTTCCTTTGTACCTTGGGGGGGAGATATCAATCTTCAAGGTTTCGGGTCGATGCATGTGCGCCAGCCCGCCCATCGACTGATGAGAGCCTTGCTGTTGTAGAAAGGCTATCTTTTGTCTTCGACGGCAAGTTCCCCTTGTAGGAGCTTGTTGATAGCAGCGTGTTGCTGGTCTCTGCTTAGAGACTCCAACATGCCACGAATGGCGGGTTTGCCCATGAGCACACTCATGCGGCCGAATGTCTCCCATTTTGAATCACTCAGATGGGAGTTGCCTTCACACGTGACGTGAAATCTGTCGTCTTCTACGTCCGACATGCTCATGTTAAACGGATACTAAGAATTCGTTGGACGGACTACGAAGTGCTACCAGGTGTAACGGGGCACCCTTTGTTCGGGGTGCCACGAAACTTCACGTACACCAGTACGTGCAGAGGAATCTAATCAACTTATATGACTCGTTCAAGTAAAGGTTAAACGAGAACTGCATTTAGTATTGTTAAGCTATCAATGTAAACCTAGTCTTTATCGAGCTATATTAATCTACATTGACGTATGACTAAAACCTGCTCACCACTCATTACGCGCGTCTGGCAGCGGTTGGTGGTAACCTTGGTTGGTATGTCTTTTATCAACTAATTTTTGAGCAGCGCATAAATATAATCCTACAAAGGGGATACTATTCCTTCAATATTATCCATCTCGGATAATATTGGTAGGGAATTGTCACGCTAGACAATCTCCCTATTGACACCGTTTGGTGTCAATATCGTGTAACCGGCTACCCCGTTACACTTCCCATCTGTCATTTAAAACATGATCAGCCAATCAGATGAGGTCGGACTCACCTGTGCTAGACCTTGCACTTGACCTCCAGTGTAACGGGGCACCCTGAAGCTTGTACTGGTGACAGTACAAGCTACTTATTCTGACGACAGAATAAGGCGGTGCCTCGGGACTTCACGTACACTCGTACGTGCAGAGGAAGACGGTAAGGAGAAGCGAGTACTTGGTTAAAGTAAAAAGTAGAACTGTATTTATAATAGTTAATGTCTGTTAATAAACCACTATTTATCTTCATCTAACAATGTCTAAATACAAATGTGTAAATCAGTTATCTGCTCACCACTCATTGCGTGCGTCTGTCGTGGCCCGTCTTCGTTGGTTGATACAATGGCCTATATCAACCAATTAGGAACTACTCGTAAGTGCTACAGAATATTTGTCCTTATGACAATATTCTGAGAATATAACTCTTATAGTTTTATTCTATTAACAATTTCTTATAAATTGTTATGTAACGATTCACCCCGTTACATCACCCCCCCTTAACCATCAGTCACTTTAGTGACTGATTGACTTAATAGATACTCGTCCCAAATCATTTGGGACAGAATTTGCACTTGTTGGTCCGAGTCCACTTTCCAACATCTCATCGCATGGTTAACAAGCCCATGCGATGCGCGAGCAAGGCCGCCGAGAGCGCGTCCGCACGTCTCTGTGCTGACGCCGAAGCAGAAACCACAGCAACTGATGTCTTATCGGTTGCTGAAGCGACCCAGCCTGTGTCACTTGGTGATGCAGGCGCTGGTCATGAAGACACTCGTGTCTTCACAGAGTACGAGCTCGGTGTCTCGTACTCTCCTGATAAGGAAGAAGGATCCGTATCGACGGCGATCGAATCCAAGCCGCCTGCCAAGCGTGGCATGGATGATGCTTTGCGTCGTAGCATCTTGGGTTCATCTGATTCATCAGATGAACCATCGCCGAAGCGTAGGCGCTCGAGGTGGCGAGACTCGGGCGCTAATAGTGGTGTCGGTTCTCCTGTTGACACCACTTCACAGCGAGGTGCCAGTACTTCTGTCGGCACATCGCAGGAAGAGCGGGACCGCAATGTCTTGCGTCCCGCTCCCGAAAAGAAGGCATGGATGCCTTTAAAATCAGTCATGGATCACTTGTCGGCGACGACGAGTGATCGTTATCGAACACGGTTGTTCGATTCGTCAAGGATCCATCACCTTGACCCCAGCGCGAAAAACTATCGCGCTGAGAATGAATTCTTCATCGATGCTTTCTTTAGACATCGATGGTACAGTGGGAATCACAAACCTGATGGTCCCTCACTGCTTCAAGCGTGGAACGCTTACATCCATAACCTTGAGGATGTAGGTCGTGACGCTTGGAACGACAAACTTATCAAAGCTCGTGATAAGTTTGAAAAGCGAACCCCGACAGGTGCACGCTACAAGCTGCATAGTCTGTAAAGGGAGGGTGGGTTACCCCGTCTTTCCTGGGGAGACCCGTGCCCTTGTTGTGTAAACAACTCTGCACGCGCACTTAAGGAGGCTTACCTCCTTACTAGCCCGTGGTGGCGCGTACGTATATCTACTGAGATGTAGGGAGGGATTGACAACCTGAAATCCCGTTACGACCGTGCCGGGAAGACTTTTTCCGGCGGTCTTTCTGTGGCACCGGATGTGCCGCGTCGTACTGCTCAACCAGACCCAGTACGTCAATCATCAGTTGGGGGCGGGGCTCCCAAGTATCCCAGGAAGGGGGACAACCGCGCCACTGGACGAGGTAGCTCGTCCGACGTCCGTTCACATCGCGGTAGCTCAACAGCCGCTCAACTAGATAGCGCTGTCCACCGCGAGAGTCCTCTAATGGAGGTGGAGGAGGAGGAAAGACGCTCTCCACACGATCATGTGGATCGGTGTGTTCCCGAGAGCTTCTTTGATCGCGTAACGCAAGGGTTACGCGACGATCTCGAACATGAGCGGAATAGGCGTCTCCAAATGGCGGACACTGCCTCGAAGCATCGAGCTGAGTTTGCCTTTGCTCAGCTTGAGAACGAGAGAGCTCTGACATCTCTTCGTGACGAGCTAAGGGTAGCTCGTGGGATTGTTGATCGGTCTCGGGATGAGATAGCTGCTCTTCAGACCCTTGTTGATGCCCACCATCGGGAGCACAAGGCTCTCTGCGAGATGCTTGACCGCAAGGGCGTTCTTCATCGGAAGAAGCAGCGTACTGATGGTACGGCTTAAGCCGACCAACGTAAAACGTAGGATGCGTTCGCATCTTACGTGGTAATTCGATCGTGTATGCATTGCCTAGGCGGTGCAATACACGAAAAGGGCCGATTTTCTTGGGTAGAAGTTTACTGCTACCCCAGTTAGTCACTACATGCTTTGGTAGATTAACCGTAGACAGTAGGACTAAGTCACCTTTATTAAATAAAAGAGTGTTTGCCCTTCCGTTCTTGTCAGCGTTTTGCTTTTGCTTATCCACCGCTTCGGCGATGGAGTCTTGCACAAAACGGACTACCGTTTCACGAGCCAGTATGAACTCATCTGATGACTCGTTAGCTTCAGTGCGCTGTGAGCGCACTGCAGCAACATCAACCTTTTCTTCAGTGAGGGCTTCCGCACTCTCACTGGGATCATCTTCTTCAGTGAGGGCTTCCGCACTCTCACTGGCATCATCTTCTTCGATATCGATGTTATCGATATCGGCATCAAACGCAATGACCTCTTCGTCAGAGCGTGATGAGCGTATGCCAAATCGGTTTTTGCTCGCGCGAGTCCCTCCCCCCCTTAAACCAGAGTTACACTCTAGTAAGGTGGGTACACGCGGATGGCGCAAGCCATTCACGTAAAACGGTGTATGTGTCGTGGACGCATGCAACGAGTTGTTAATGGCAAACTCTACCATGGGCAGGAACTCACCCCAACTCTTAAAGGAGTGTACGTATCCTCGAAGTATCTCTTCGAGGACACGATTGGCACGTTCCTTCTGACCATCTGACTCTGGATGATCAGATGTCGACATCTTCAAGCGCGTTCCGAGCGATTTGAACACGGAACGCCAGAAATCAGCAGTGAATCGTGGATCTCTGTCTGATACGAGTTCACGGGGCAACCCATGAAGTCGGAAGATGGTGTCAATAAAGACACAAGCACAGCCACTTGCCGTGATTGTCTCAGGTACAGCCACAAGGTGTACCATTTTGCTGAATCTGTCAACAAATACGAGCATACCCGTATTCCCGCGTGCGTCTTTGGGTAACCCGAAGACGAAATCCATGGAGATGGATTCCCAGCACTCAGCCGGAACCGGTAGAGGCTGTAAAGGTGCACGCAGTGAAGGACTTGACTTCACTCGTTGGCAGACTTCGCATGCGCGAACATACTTTCGCACAAACTGATACTGGCGGGGCCAGTAAAAGTCTCGAATCACCGTGAGATATGTTTTCTCCCGGCCACGATGTCCTCCTATAGGAGCATCGTGATACTCGAACATGATCCGCAAACGCAGATCAGTATCATCTGGGATGACAACACGTGGTGTGTCACCAGTAACGGCTGTATAATACAGTGAGCCGTTGCGAGTAGTGTATCGATCTGATGCAGATCGATACGCTGACGATGATCGTTTCAACGATTATCGAGATGGCTGTGAGAGATGTGTCAACAACTTCACAATCTCACCATCTTGGGCGTATGCCCGCCTCACATCATCATACAACGTTGTAGATGGGACTGAGGACGTCATAACCGCAACAGTGACTGTCTCACTGTTGGGTTTCGCGACTGTTTCAAAGTCGGGCCGACGTGAGAGTGCATCAGCGACGACATTAAGTCGTCCTGGTTTGTACTCGACCGTAAAGTTGTATTCCGCAAAGAATGACAACCACCGCGCCATTCGTTGTGAAAGGTGCGGGCTGTTCACTGCCGTGCGTAATGACGCATGGTCAGTGTAAACAATGAAGGGTCTATCTCCTAATAGATAGACTCTGAACTTCGCGAGTGCATACTTCATGGCAAGGAGTTCCTTGTCATGCACTGGATAGTTCCGCTCAGCTGGTTGCAGCTGACGCGACTGATAGCAGACGACGCGTTCAACGCCTTCAAGATCGTACTGCATTAATGCACAGCCGATTGCGAAATCGCTGGCATCACAGACCGCGTGAAATGGCCTGTCCTGATCGGCTATTGATAGGACTGGGAATTGTATCAAGCTCTGCTTGATACCATCAAAGGAGCGCTGACATTCAGCGTTCCATAACCAGCTCTCGTTCTTTTTCAACAAACGAGAGAGGTGTACAGTCATCTCGGCGTAATTGCGTGATTACTTATGCAAATACGCCGCTAGCCCAAGGAATTTTCGAAGACCTTCGACATCAACCGGCACAGGCCAGTCGATGATCGCCTTGATTTTTTCGGGATCAGGACGTACACCGTTCTTACCAACGATGCACCCAAGAAGTGGCATTTCGCTTGCTGCAAATATACACTTCTTGAGGTTTGCATACAATTGATGCTTTCGCATGATTGTAAGAACCTGTCGGACGTGGTACCTGTGAACATCAACGTCCGACTTTCCATCAATAGCCCGACTATGGATGAATATGTCATCGAAATAACTCGGCGCGAATTCTCGTACTGGTCTCAACAGATGTGATACACATCTGTTGAACGTGGCAGTGGCATTACTAAGCCCTTGTGGCATTACTAGCCATTCCCAGAGCATGCCGCTAGGCGTGCTAACTGCGGTATAGGGTATATCCCGTTCTCTCATAAGGATTTGATAGAAGCTATCCATCAAATCCATGGACGAAAAGATGGTACTCTTTGACATACCATCAATGATTACGTCCTTCCTCGGTATCGGCGTCTGAGCCGGTACCGATGCAGCATTAAACTTGTTAAATGCATGCACTATCCGCCACCCTCCTGTTTCTTTTCGCACACAGAAGGTCGGAGAGCTATGTGGGGAAGTTGATTCCCTCACTTGGCCCGCAGCTAAACGATCGGCAAAGAACTTGTCGATCGCAAGTACTTGTTCACGAGGCAGTGGCCACTGCTTCATGACACAGTACTTCGATCCTGGTTTAAGTTCGACCTCGTGTCGAATACGTTTATCCTTCGGTAATTTGCACGGAACAGTTTCAGGGAATACATCCTTGAATTCAACCAAATCTTCATAGAGAGGATTTGTCTTGAGCGATTCCCACGATTGGGAGTCATATCGCTCAATTCGTGTCTTTTCATCTAGGACACTCTCGTCCATAGATGAACTACTGAGAACTTTCTCGTTCTCAGTAAACACTGTTGCTGACCTTATGTCGGTTACACACTCGTCGTCAGCGACGAGTACGCAGATCTGCTTGACTTTGCCACTACGCAGATCACGCAAGAACCTTTTTTGTTCGAGCGTTGGCAACTGAGTGATCTCCGAAGTTAACTTCGGAGGCGCAATCAGATCAAGTGTATAAGCGCCTACACTTGATCCGTCATTGACTATGACATTCAATGTCTCTGTCATTTCCTGGGGACTTATTCCCTCAGGCTTCGAAGGACTTATTCCTTCGGCTTCCCGGGGACTTATTCCCGCGGGTTTCGGGGAACTTATTTCCGCCGTATTTGTAATCTTGGGACTTATTCCCTTAACTTCCTCTATCTGGGGTTGCGCAACCACAGCGAGATCCTCTACGAAAGACTCTCCAGTCGATCTAGGATCTTGTCCCGGTCCACTCGACTTATCCGAGTGGTGGACCTTCGGCGCAGCCTGTGTTTCCTCACAGCCGCCGGAACTTTGCTCCGAAGTGTAACCGTTTGGTACACTAAGGTTTTGTGCAGTCGTACTAACGACCGTACCACAAGTGAGACCATCGCACTCACTCGTAGTACATCCACACGCTTGTGGACGCTCCAAAACGTTCATCAGATGGCCATCTGATGAACAAGCGGCAGGCATCGTTACTGTTCGATGTTGCCAGTTTACTCGTGGTTCGTACCTTCTGAGCCACGGTATTCCAAGGATGACGTCAAATTTGTCATCCAAATCCAATACGATAAAGTCATCGTCATATTGGGTATCTTCTAGCGTATAGTGGATCTTCACTATACGCTTCATGACGGTTACGGATGCGCCTGTCGCAAGACGTACCGTCATCCTCGTAGGAGGTGTGTCACATTCACTGAATTTAAAGTGACCATCTTCTAGCGATTGGCGTCGCACAAAATTGTTGGACGCCCCACAATCGACTAGAGCTCGAAGGGATAACTTATTCGTCACTTCGAGTTTCAAGGTAATGAGTGAGACCTCATTACCTAGAGCAGCAACGCACAACGTTTGTGTGTTGGGAGCAACCTTCATCAAGAGGCCTACAAATTCTCTTGACGTTGCTGGACCAGTAGGGTGCTCCGCACCTACTGATCCTGTCCGTTTTTTGACGGTCCATCCCACCGTTGCGTCTTTGCACCAACAGCGGACCCGCGACCCTGCCCCTTTCTCATGGGTGGACGGTCACTACGCCCAGTGTCGCGAGAAACTGGACGAGGGGCACTACACTCGTAAGCGTAGTGTCCTGTCTTTTGGCATCTGTTGCATTTCTGCAACTTCTTGTAGTCTGTAGAGCGAGCCTTCGCGCTCTCTACATAACAGAGTTCCATCGGCTCTGGACCTCCGCTGTCATATCGTCTCGGTTGACGATACGATGTCGAGCTGGCGCGAGCCTGTCTCAGTATGAAGTCTTCCTGTTCCGCAATGGAAATGGCTCGTTCTAGTGAATCTAGTTCAAGCCGGAACAGGTGAGTCTTGACGGGACCATCCGCAAGACCCTGCATGAACACCGAAACCAACGTGTGTTCATCCACCGAATTGGAACTTATACAACTCGTGAGATGTCGTATATGTTGCGCGTAAGCGTGCACATCACGCTTACCCTGCTTGAGCTTCAAGAGTTCGGTTCGAGCTCTGAACTCAGCTCTAGGCGGTTCAAACGTTTGTCTGAGCCGCGACTTGAAGACTTCCAACGACCCAAACGCATATGGGTCGTGCAACTTGAGCCCCAGTGCCCAAGTCTTGGCACGTCCTGCCAGGTTTGACTGGGCAAGTGCAACTTGCATATCCCCGTCGTCGATGCGACGCGCCATTATGGCGTCATCCAATTCGACGAACCATCTCAAGAGGGAGTCCTCTTCGACTCCCCTATACTTGGAGATGTTAATCTTCAAGTTTTTGGGTCGACGCGAGTGCATCGACCCACCAGCAGCAGCCTGCTGCTGTCTCAACAGTTCAAACTGTTGAGCACCCTGTTCTCTCAACAACTCTGCTTGTTGAGAACCTTGTTGGTGAAGCAAGGCTACTTTCTCGCGTTCTGCGTCAAGTTCATTTTGAATGAACTTGGCGATAGTAGCATGTTGGGCATCTCTATTGAGAGCCTCTATCATGACGCTAACAGCATGGATGCCCATGGTTGAACCCATCCGTTCAACCGCATCCCATTCGACATCGCTCAAATGGGAGTAGCCGTCACGCGTAGCGTGAAAGCTTTGGTCATCTTCATCATCCAACATATTCATGTTAGATGTGAACGTGGTCCTTGGACGGACTACGAAGTGCTACCAGGTGTAACGGGGCACCCTGAAGCTTGTACTGGTGACAGTACAAGCTACTTATTCTGATGACAGAATGAGGCGGTGCCTCGTAACTTCGCGTATACTCGTACGTGCAGAGGAAGACGGTAAGAAGAAGCGAGTACTTGGTTAAAGTAAAAAGTAGAACTGTATTTATAATAGTTAATGTCTGTTAATAAATCACTATTTATCTTCATCTAACTATGTCTAAATACAAATGTGTAAATCAACTATCTGCTCACCACTCATTGCGTGCGTCTGTCGTGGCGCGTCTTCGTTGGTTGATACAATGGCCTATATCAACCAATTAGGAACTACTCGTAAGTGCTACAGAATATTTGTCCTTATGACAATATTCTGAGAATATAACTCTTATAGTTTTATTCTATTAACAATTTCTTATAAATTGTTATGTAACGATTCACCCCGTTACATCCAGAACCTTCTTGACCTGTCGGAAAGAGTATATTCTGACAGCCCGCTTGTAATTCACAACTGCACTACTCTTCGACATGTCTAATAAGCGCTATCTTCAGGCTTCTGGGTCTCGACAGCTACAAAATGCGCTCTCTTATACTGAATAGATGGCCTATCCGGTATTCCAAATTTGTAGCTATCATGGAATGGTCTATCCGGTATTTCAAATTTTGTAGTAACCATGGAACGACGTCGGTCAAAATGGATATTCCACAATGTAGCGGAGGATATTCCGTAGCAGACAATTCCTTCTAAGGGGGAAGTCTGCAATGAAAATGTAATAGAAACTATTGAGATCGGAGAAATGCGGCTGATCCGTTTCTAAATTACCTATTTGATCGAGAACAGCAGCTTAGGGCCGTGTGCCATGACAAAGCCAAGGATCATCTATAGCGGTGTAGAAGAACTTGCGACTCGTACCAGATTCGCGAGCTTCCAAAATACGTACAATAGCCGCATGTATCCACGGGTGGCGCTCCCACGACAAAGTAGGTGAATGCGGTGGGTAGCCATGACAAACGTCAGTTAGCCTACGCACATGGCGCCTCTTCATTGTTGCTGGAAATCGTTCACAAACACACCAATGAGCCGTAACAGCTCCTTCTGCAACCCGCTGTTTTTCTTCGCGACGAACGCCTGCACAGCGCTTTGCGCACTAGCTTGGCTGAGCTTGTCAGTCATCGTGCAGGATATCTAAAATGGTCGCATCACGAGCAGCAACACAATCTTAACTTACACACGCAAGCTGCCAAGTCGTCAAGACACCTTACCTCATAGTCCTCATCGTTCGAGATGTCGTTCATTTCGTACGACCCCTTGCAAATACCGCTGCCACTTACCGAGACTTCAAAGGGCAGCTTGAAGTTAAAGTCAAACAAATACCGCTTCTTGCCTCGGACGACACAGATACTCGCATCTCCCGTAAACTTCTCTGGTGCCTTCAACACTGCCTGCATACTGCCTTCCACATACGTCGCTCCTGTAATGATCTCGTTCCATTTGTTTTCCGCCCACTTGGTCACCACTCGCTCTTCAAATGTACCTGCTGTGTTCCACGCCGATCCATCATGTTGCCTCGACGACACCTACAGCAGACACGCACCCATTTAACACTATATCAGCACACCACTCCAAACCCTCCCTGCCTCCTCCTTCGAATTCCACCCACCGCCACGGGCGTCGTCTCAATCTTCTGCGGTGCAATGTCTCCAATCAGATTCTTCTCTTCCTTAGACAGCTCTCGATGGAAGTACGGCAAGCCGTTCTTGTACCCCCGCACATCGTTCGGCAGGTCCGGCTCTTCCGTCACCAGAACAGCGGACCCACCGCTTGTCTTGGTCTTGCTACCACTCGACGCAGTTGCTGCTGTCTTTGTCTTCGTCGAAGCAGCCACAGGAGCCTTCGCGCCACGAGGAGGTGGCGACGGTGGCGTCAGCGCTTTCTTTGCAAGCTCTGGAGTCTTGCAGATGCGCTTGTGGAACGGCCAGTCGCTCGCCTGGCACTTGCGCGCACAGTAGACGGCCTTCCTGCACACGCTGCACTTGAGCTTGGCCCCGTTTTTGCGGCAGTTGCGGCACTGGAGCGCGTCTGCAGCTTGCGGCTTCTCGGCAGCAGCTGCGCCGTTGGCCTCCGCGTCGTCCTCGTCCACGTCCGCGCCAATGGTTTTGAACCGTGAGTAGTCGTTCGCGTCGACTTTGACGGAGCGGGTGCGCTCGATAACCGCGTTGGCGTTTGAGTTGTCGTTGCTGGTGGGGGATAAACGAGACGGGTCGGACCAGCGCCCTACGTCCAGTTTAGAGGCGCTTGGGAGGGGAACCGACACCATGTTATCGGCTTTTGAGTGAGATTTGAGTATGTGGTTGTTTAATGGTCGGGGATGGGCGACGTTGACTCATGTTGGGACTTTCGTGACGGCACGAAGTGGTCGATGATCGAAGTTTCTCGAAATTTGGGGAAGTGGCACATCACATGAACATAGGAAGTGCGCGGGTATACGTCGGGCGGGAGGAGTCGGTATACGGTGTCATAAAAACTGCTGCGGTAAGGAGGGGTGTGTGTGGGACTGCTGCTGTACCCGATCGATTGAGCGAGTGGCTCGTCATTGTTCTTGGCTGCAGAGAGTGCGGTCATGTGGTCGGCAGTTGACCGACATATCAGTACATGATCTACATCCGAAGTCAATAATATTCGAAGAAAGTTACACTTTCTGAGAAATACACTTTGCAAAAGTACGCTTTCTGAAAGATGCACTCTTATCCGGTAGTTAACAGAGCAAGTTGTAAACGTGGTAAATGGGTAAAGTCTAATATCGTGCTACTGTACAAAAAGAGACCGTAATTCGCTGTTTCAAGGAGAGCGATAAGTTCAATTTCCTGCATCTGCGGCGACGTATATTCTGTCCTCCAGCCACAACTATACTAGATGGTAACTTCTCAGTAGTATACTGATGTAATTGGCTATGAACACATGTGCTGGCGATGAGTGTTAGCATAAATTATAATCTGCGATGTGTTGAGTATACTGGAGTCATGAGCTCTCTTGCAAAAGGCACTGTTAAAGTCAGTGCTGTGGAGGACCACACGACGGACTTTTCTTGAATCATAACTTCGATGAAGAGAAGTGTTGTAGCTTTAGGGTCGTTATCCGTTCATGGAGGAAGGGTTCGAGTGATTGCAAGCGCAACTTCAGTCATGCAGTCGGTGAGTGCAGGCGTCACGCCGTTTATGTGCCGCTGCCACAGACTTTAGCTGTAGGACGTCTTTGACAAGGAGAAGCAGCATGTCCGTGGTAGCTGCAAAGTAGGCCAGCTGACAGCAATGTCCTGCTATAAAAGGCTGCATGAAACGAGATTTTTTTCACGAAAATTCACAATTGCTGTAAGCACGATGGTATGCCCGAAGCAAAAGATTGCGCTGCATGATTGGATGGGAAACTATCGATACGCAACAGGAGCGCCTATCGGGCAGCGTCGCATCCAAGTCAAATTGTCACTTGACGCGTATGTCAATTCACATGTGGGTCAAAAGGTGGCACAAGAGAAGCTGAACGACGAGGACCTGATGGAATCGGCTAAGAAACCCTACAGCAAGATGCAGATACATCTGAAAAGGTTCACACCGTTCTTGTATCGACAAAGGAGAAGCCTCGAAGCACTTATAATGCAACACTGCTCGACTTGATCAACGTTACTCATGCTGCTGTAATTGATCGTCATGGAGTGAAAGGCGAAAATCGGGATTTTTCTTACGACCAAGCGAGCCCGGATTGCTCGATGTGCGATCAGAACTAAAGTGATTGATGGCGAGTCGCTTATGGTGGAGCTTCTTCTGGCAAACTTGCTTTATGCTCATTGTATCTGGTCGGTGGACGTAGTAAGTTTTAGTGCTTTGAAAAGGGTATAACTTTACTTAAGATGCATTTGGGGAGGTCAGACTGTATCGTCAAAAACGTGATAAACTGTTGTCAAAATAAGACGGTCAAAACATTTTAGCGTCGCGGCTTCGCTGAATAACGGTGATGACACTGTGTTTAGGGGTACACAATCAGTGTTGAAGTAAAGCACAATATGCGCGGTGGGGTCGCTTACGTTGCGGAGAATCGGAATACAAAAACCTTCGTCCTGTCCCTTATCGACCTGCAGTCTCTATGAGCTTAACTAGTCTCCATCGAGCAGTCAAAGATGCGGCAAACGGGTTTTGCCTTCCATGTCACGAAGTTGCTCCTTTAGTCAATGCGGGGGGGGGGGCGTTTTGATGCAAACAGCTGCCAGAGCAGCTGCTTTGGTTGAAGAGTGTGTAGACCAGAGCGAGACCGCAACGGAAGCAGCCAGAGGGAGCGATTGATGATAGGCGTCGTTTATTTGGAGCAACAATGAAGTGTGTCAACTTGGTATAGTCGTCAGTCGTGCGGTCTGCGTACCAGACGCGAGAATATGTCTAGCGTCAAAGTGCGAGTTCGCTCAGCCACTGTGCGCTGGTGACAGAGGCCAAAGCGATAGAGAGTTACTGACTTGCAAGCAATTTGTATTCACACAACTGGATGGTCAGGAAGTGACGTGGCCCGTCGAAGCACGCCCGCCTTTCAAAGCAGCAGTACGCTTTGTAGAACCCCAAGCAGTCAGTCAGTCGTACCCACCATCGAGAAGCTTTACGAGAGAGCAGCAGCATTCAATCATTGACACTATTTTTATTCTCAGGTGATCCCTCCGGTCATTCATTTCACAGCACTCGCGGAGATTCTGGCTCACCTCTCATCACGTCAGCAGGTTGGTCCCGCGTCCTAAGTCAAAAAGGTCCCGCCCGACACCACAAGCTCCTGATACTCGTCCATCTAAATTTAGCCCGGAGTCAGGTAGTAGCTCGTAATACTCGCCCATCTAAATTTCGCCTTAGCGTCAAGTACCGGCTGTCTAGGTAGCCCGTCGAGTCACAGGACCCGACGCTGTAATTCCCCAACTTCAATTGCGTCCGCCCTCTATCCTTTGATAATCAGGCTCCAAAGCACAAAGACAGACCGACAGTCAATCCGTTCCATACTAATATCGAGATATCTATCTATCCATCGGTCGAGTTCCAACCTCACGTCCATCCTGGAATGGCCTTCCTCGAGGACGACGACGCCGTCCGCACGTTCGAAGCGGCGCTCTCATTCGTCGAGCAGTACTCTACCGACCCGATACCTGTGGCTCCCACAGGCGCCTCGCCCGCCTCGTTCTCGTCGTCTCTCGCGTCCGCTCTCGTCGACGACATTGAGCTCTTATCGCCCAGTGTGACGCCCTTCGCATCGCCTTTACCAAGCGCTTGCGTCTCCCCTGAAGCTTTGAGTCATGATTCGCTATTGTCACCTACTGTCACAGTCAACGGGCTATCGAATGGCGCGAAAATGGAGAACCTCAGTCCACCGACGACGCCAGGACACAAGATAAAGGCTCTACTGGGTCGAGCACGGAGGAAAACATTCACCCCTAGCGGTCTGAAGAAGCCCGTGACAAGAGGAGACCCGAACCGAGCCAGGAACGAGCGGAAGATCGAGCTCGCGTTCTTGAGGGAGAAGGTGGCTCAGCTGGAGCTGGAATTGACCGCCTTGATGCTCCATCCAAGGTCGCAGACGAGAGCTCTTCGTCACGAAGGCGAGAAGCGACGGGTGACGAAACAGGAGGCAGTAGTGGACTCGACTGTGTCAGTGTATGACCCGGTGCAGATCCCGACAGTGTGGAAAGAGGTGGCTGGTCGACAACGCCGACGACGAGAAAAGGCCGAGCGGGAGAACGTCCGGCTCAAATTGATTCTCGAGCATCAAATCAAAATGGCCAAAGGGCTCGAGAGTTTACTCCAAAAGCGAGCAAAGCAGCAGGTGGGAGACCGTGAGCTGAGTGTGATTGGGGAACAAGAGCTGGTTCTGATGGAGGACGGGTGGGTGGTTTGTTTTTTGTTTTGTTCTGGTGCAGGTTACCGAGTGCTTGAACTTGTCCCAAACGAAAAAGTCCAAGTATTCGCAAGGACGCACGTTTGACTTTCGTGCGGACGTGAGTGATTTCGGGGACTTGCTGAAACATCTGGACAGGGCGTACAAGGAAGTTGACGAGGTGTTTGCTGCCAATGGGATGTCAAAAATGGAGACGACGCATCGCGACGCTCGGATGCGTGAAGGCGCTGACGGCATGTACCTTGACATTTTTGCGAACAAAGTCATGCCTTTTGGTATGCGCGCAACGGCACAAGCGGTGTGGAATCATTTCAAAGGAGCTGAGAAGCATCGTGGGAACATGTACGAAGGAAAGGTAGCAAAGGTACGAGCAGATTGCGTGTCAATGCCGAAGCTGGCTTTCGATAACACTGACACTGGTTTGTTCCTTTGTTTTTTGAAAGCACTTGGCAACACCAGATACACCGGAAACAATTATCGAGGACTTTGCAAAGGAGTTTTTTGCCGACAGCGCACGTGCAGATTTCCACGCCAAGCAGGTTCTAAGGAGACATGTAGAAGAAGATCGCGAGATCGTGATCTGGGTTGCAAGTGTTGTGCCGCTAGAGTTTGATGACAAGTGTGTCAAGGGTCTCGGGTTCCGACACCAAGGATACGCTCTCACCAAAAAAGCGAAGGCCTCTACGCCAAACCGGGAGTTTTCACTCTTACAGCTGTGCTCATTGGTATCACCGGAAAAGGAGGACCACACTGTATACGATTCCGCAGCTGTACGTGCGCTGACCGAATTTATGTTGGGAACGGTGGCGGGCAATATTACAGCTAGCCAGGAGCTCATTGAGAATGTGCTGATGGACCAATCTGTATAGTCTCGTTCGTTACCTATCGCCGTAGTCTGTGCGTTGCTGGATGCAGCATTCTTGCCAGGATGCAACAGTACAATATCCAAGTATCCATGCTGTAGTCGACGATCGTGTCTTGCGTATGGACCCCCGTTAACAACGTATCGTCAATGAAGGTTTTCTGTAACAACGGGTACGCCATTTTGGTTCCACAGCTCAAGTTCATGCATCTATTGATGAAGTCGTCTAGGAGGGAGTAGGTAGCTCTAACACGTTCAACCTTCCTGATCTTGCTGTGGTTGTTGCACAAAAAGCTGTACGAACCAGTGTATGGAGCCGAGTATAGCAGATATGCCAGGACCGACATTTGTTAGCAACTAGACAGTATAGCTGGATGAGGCAAATGGGCAAGGGAAGGAAGTAGTTCAAGAAGCTAAACATGCATTCAAGAACTCAAGCATTGCAGCGATCCATTCAAATGAGCAGTATCACACAAAGGTCAAGAGCGGTAAACCTCCGTCATCGCTGGCGTCAAAGAACCCTGGGCCATCGCCATCCTTCGTGTTGACGCGCGTTGCACGACCGCTAGTGTCAACGCTGAACTTGGCACACAACGGGTGCTTTGAGTTGTCGTTGTACACGTCACAATTCGTTTCCGGCTTGAAAGCCACGACATAGTCGCTGTCTTCGAACACGCGTTTCAAACCGTGGCCGATCTGCGGGTCATAGACGCTCAAGTCGTCCGTTGTCAGCGTGAACGAGACGTCCATCGACTGACCAGGCTGCAGCTCAATCTTCTTGAATTTCTTCAGAAGCTTCATCTCCGGCACTGAGATCAAGCGGTACGGTTGGATCACGAATAACATCACCGTCTCCTTACCGGCACGGCTTCCCGTGTTCGTCACCGTCACTGTCGCAGTGACGGTTGCGGATACACTAGTCAGCCGAGTCGCGTCCAGACTCAAACCAGTGTAGTTGAACTGCGTGTAGCTGAGACCCGTTCCGAATTCAAATTCCATCTCGCAGTTGTCGTTGGCACAGCGGGTACTGACGAGGTGGTTGTACGGAATGGCAATGTTTGCCGGGTCCTTCGGGTACGTGAGCGGTAGTCGACCGCTCGGGTTCACCTCACCAAAGATGATCTCAGCCATTGCTTGGCCCCCGAGCTCGCACGGCAATAAGCCATCAATGATAGCCACCGCGTTCGTCGGGATCGAACCAAGTAGACGAGGGCGGCCTTCAAACAAGACGACGATCACCTTGGTGCTCGTCTTACTGAGAGCCTCAATGTACCTCACCTGACCGGCAGGTAGTGCCAAGTCATTGATGTCCCCTGGCTTTTCAGTGTAAGTTGCCTCGCCGATCACAGCAACCGTGTACTCGTGCTCGCTAGCAAGCTTCACAGCTGTTGCCAAGTCCGCGTCCGAAATACTGCCGTTCGCTTGCAAACCGTTGAAGTGGGTGAACGAGTTGTTGCCAACCAAGTCTTCAAAGCCCTGGCGAACGCTGATGCCGTGAGGAAACAACTCGTTACCCGAGTATCCTTGCCAAGATCTGCTCCATCCACCACACTGGAAGCCAACATTGTCAGCAGAGTGGCCCGTGAGGAAGACTGACGCGTCTTTTTGCAGCGGAAGGACGTTGTCAGCATTCTTCAGGAGCACAATGGATTCACGAGCCATTGTCAGAGCTGCGTACAGGTCGTCGTCGCTGCCTACCATCGAGACGTACTGTTCACCAGGGACCGGGTTCTCGTACAACCCCAGCTGCAACTTCGTCCTCACAATCCGCGTCGCCGATTCTCGTAGACGAGCTTCCTCTTCCGGGTGCTTCTCCAGCATTTTCTTCACGTGGCCGATGAAGTTCGTGTCAGTGGGTACCATGCTCATGTCAATCGATGTCTGCATCATCGACAAAGCCACGGCTTCCTCTTGGGTTTTCACGACACGGTGAAAGTCCTTGAGATTGTTGATCTCAGCCCAATCCGTAACCAGCAAACCATCAAATCCAAGGTCCGTCCGAAGCAGGTCGTTCAGAATGCGGGAGCTTGCAGCAACTGGTTCACCATTGATCGAGACGTAATTCTCCATCATCGTCATGGCACCAGCGTCAATAGCTGCTTTGAACGGCGGCATGTAGTAGTTAAGAAGGTCAAAGTCCGACAGGCTGATGCCATCGCGGTCGTGGCCAGTACTGGTCTTGGAGTATCCGATAAAATGCTTCATGCAGGCTGCAGTTTGTTCATAGCTCTGGAGACCGCGAACGAGAGCGTCGCCCATCACCGAGACAACATAGGGGTCTTCACTGAAGGTCTCGTAGGTACGAGCCCACAACGGATTGTACGAGATCTCCAGGATCGGTCCGAAGATCCACGGGATGCCAGCAGCTTGCGTGTCACGAGCCGTGATTTGTCCTGCTTGGTACACGAGCTCGGGATTGAAACTTGCACCCATGTTGATCTGCTGCGGAAAGATGACGGCTCCACCGACGTAGTTGGCACCGTGCACCGAATCCAGACCGTACAGGATCGGGTGGCCACCATTCTCCTCCATGGAGATCTCTTGGATACGCTGGACCAGCTCCCGGAATTCCGTGGCGGTCCAACCAGTTCCGTTCCCCCGACGCTCGGAGAAGTACGAGTTGAGGTACGATCCGATGTAGAGTCGAGCGTGAGCACGAACTTTGGCCTCGTCCAGCGTGTTGTTTGCCGAGTTCATCACAGTGCTGATGTCGACTTGGGTCATCTGTCCGATCACTTCCTGGATCGAGAACTTGTCCACAATGGCTTGGGCTTGAGCGTCATAGGAATCAGAACGGACTGCTGCTGCTTCTGTACCGGGAAGTTGCGGAAGTATCACCGCAACAGCTACGCTGATAGCAGCTATCCAGTTTGCCCGCATTGGATGAGAGAGCAGGAAGTCGAGCTTGGGTGAGGTCAGGTGCTTGAAGGGTTGGTACTAGGCAGCAAGTTCGACAATGAAGGAACGAATGCCCGTACCGAACCTCTGGTTTGTTAAACCAGCACCAGCCTCATCCTCTGGCTCCGTCAGATCGCAGACGTTAGTTACACTGTGCGAGCACGAAGGGTTTAGTTACAGCTCTACGGTCGTGCCTGTCCACGAAAATGTCTTTGGTCATGTCCTGGTCACGTATGCACGAGAAAGAAGAGACTGTCCGGAGCTTATTGCAAGTGTCTTTTTTTCGGAGGTGTCTGGACATGTTGACGTTTGTATCTGATGGGGTGACAGGCGCTCGCCGGACGCAACGAATAAGGAGCCGGTTCAACTGCCAAGTCCAGGAAGGGAACCGACGATGGAGAGACATTTCAGATCACGATCCGTTTCAGTAGTGGGACGAGCGTTTCATACGGTGGACGAGCGTTTCAAACGGTGGACGAGCGTTTCAAACGGTGGACGAGCGTTTCATACGGTGGACGAGCGTTTTTTATTTGCCCCCTTGTTCATTCCGGGACTGGGGATAGACGATGCCTTTCGTTTGTTTGAGATTTTAGTTACTTGGAAAGGTGCGATTTTTATCAGTGGTGCGGTTGCTACAAGGCTGACAACGGGTGAATTTGCGCTTTGACCGTGTGGTTTCGTCATCGCATCGGTCTAGACACTGCACTTTGAGCGTAAAGGCGAAAGTTTGGTCGAGTGCGCCAAGGTGAAAGCGGAGTGCACTCCTTGCACACGATTCATGGTTGGAATTACTGCGAGAAGGCGTTACGCTTGACAGAAAAACGATCGAGTAACGTCATGCGGCAGCATGTTATGTGTCATACAAGTAAGCGTCGAAACGGTTGGCCGTCTTGCTGATAGTCGTCAAACTAGTTAAGGTGTAAGAAGATGACCGCAGCTCATATCAGCAGTCACGACGACAGCAGTACATGCATGCGAAAGTGGTAACGACCCGGTGACGACCGTTTCCGAAAGAAGCCGGACAGGCTAGTCAAAGCGAGAGGTAGACTTGTCTATTCAGCCTTTTAAGGGTCGCAAGATGTCTGATGATATATCCCAAGCCTAGTGACCAACACTGGTTTCTCTTGCGAGTCCAGTGCTTGTACAGCATTTGCCGTTCTAAGTAACGACTCTCGGGGTTCTTGGCCACTTTGCTTACGCAGAACAGCAGACGTGCTCTACGACTCCCAGTTTACTCCCGCTTTGCTACAGCTCGGAATTACCGCATGCCTGTTTTGTTGAATTCCGTGACCTGCGTTCGGGGCTGACGTCCGCATGTAGCAACGTTACTCGATTCCGCTGTACCCACAAGCTAGTGATGCAAATACTGCCCAGTGGTGTTTGTATCACTAGCCTGGTATGCCACAGTCGCTCTGATACGTATGCGTGGCTTTCATCTCGTCAGGATGGTCTTGAAGTAGGTGTTCCTTGATATCGGAATCCCAACACGAAGCAGATCAACTTCTATTGGTACGGACAAGATGCGGAGATCCGGCAGGACGTTGATGGGATGGCCTCTCGTGCAACGAGAACGTTTGCTTGGATTGCTACACGTCGACGCGCAAGACGTAAAAGCCTAGCAGCAGGGAAGGGGGAAGGCGGCTATTCGCACAAGGAAAGGCTAGAAGTGTCATGTTGTTGTTGTAGTGGTATAGTTCCACGATGAGGCATGCTTAGCTTGATTGTGGTTGGCAAGGTCGTCTAGGCAAGTCCAGTTCTAAGCAGGTAAAACGGCGTGGGTTCTCGTGACATCCCTTGTTGTACTATCGCTCATGTTGAAACGTAAGATTGTAGAGCTGCATGTACAGTAATGCAATGCAACAAGAAGGCGTCATCCAGTGACTGCAATGCCACAGGATGAGGGTTGCAATGCCACACTACATGGTGTGCTACCGTTTGCAGGTACAGATTTGGACGGGAGACTGATTTTACAGTAGCTCAAGGAAACAGCGATTCATGAAGCCTGAAGGTGACAACAAGCCACTGTATGAGGCTTTCTTGTGCTCATTCAGCTCGACAGCGGCGGTGGGCGCCTTACAGGTGTGTACTTCATTCACGTCCTTTGTGCCCAGTGAAATAAATTCGAGCTGAGCTTGTGACTCAAAGAGCAAACTATGGTGCGGCAATCAGTTGTCGGACAATAGCGAACAAAAGGTTTCGGCCAGTTACGCAGGACGAGTTCCGTGAGTACAAGTGCGACGATCGTTGGCGAGTCTGCAAGTTGTGGGGACGATTGAACCACATTCAAGCAGATTTGACGGGCACTGAATACATGCCCAGAGGTGACGATATCGATGACGCTAGCGTAGCTTTCAACCACATGTGTCTTATCTCCGTGAACACGTGGGCGAAGAGACACCGCAGAAGCCTTACCAGAGCTGTACTCATTTTCGAATCATTGAGGCGACAAGCTCTGCATCCAGACGACAACAGGTGCTCTAGGTCAACTCAGAAAACCATACACCGATAAACCAAGGCGTGGTCGAGCCCTAGGCGCAAGATGCTGGCAATGACGTGGTGCATGGCACAAGTTATCGGTTGTCATTTGTGAAGCGTCTCTGCTCTCGTAGGATGCACAGCAATGAAATCGTATCTTCTGGCAGCACCCTCAGCATTACAACACCAGCACTGAAGCGATAGTAGCACCGCCAGCTACTTCACAAGCTCCGATACGTCGCTCCACAATCAGTGGTCAGAACGCCGACAGGCTGCTGCTGCCGCAAAGGGAGACAGGACCTCCCTCTTAAGAGAATAATGAATGTTTGGACTCGTCAAAGTTTCTAGACTCATTCTATTAGACGCTCTCGCGTGAACAGCGTCTGATAGAAAGAATCCTACAAGACTCAAAATGCTCTTCCTACAATATTATCCCGATGTTACGAATATCTCTTCTCCAAAAACACAAAACGAACGCATGACGCTTCCCACCCCCGTGCGTGGTCCACACAAAAATACTCCTCCTTAAGTATCCACCTTCATTCTGCTGGCCATCATCGATCGCAATCCATGGCCTTGGCCCACACGCTCGAGGTGCTCTACGCGCTCTTGCGGCTGTACACCTCGAGCTTCCGTGGCGCGGCCTCGTCTGCCTTCTGCCCAGACGTCCCCTACCCGCATCTACAGCAGCGGCTGCAGCAGACGCTTCGTGCTGTCGCGCTTACGTCGTTTGGCGCCGTGTCTCTCCCTCTGCTGCTCCTGTGTCTGTTGCCCGTGCTCTCGCCGCTCGCGTTCTCGTCGTTCCTTGCGTTTCTATTGGTCGTAGGTCTTCTATGGACGTTCACAGTCGCCCACTTGACGCTCCGGTATGCGCTGGTGCCCACCCCGCGTCGTACAAATGCGACAGGACCCGAGAGATGCACCCAAAGAGGTCTTCAAGCAGCTATTTGTGCTCTTACGGACGTGATAATACGCATGCAAGAGCAGCCACAACTGCCTGTGCTTTTCATGCTCTGTGTCGTCCACTCGTACCTCTGGCAGCTGGTACTGTACTACGGCATGGCATCCAGCGCTCTCTTTGGCGCAGAGTTTGGACCGTTTGCAGTTGCTGGTGGACTTGTGGCTTTTGTGGCGTATGTGATGCTGGACGAGCGGCTAAGTGAAGACCCGTTCGTGTTGGACCCACGTGCTGCTTTTGTGAAGATGCTGCAGCGAGATGCAGTGCGTGCAGTACGTCGAGGAGTGGTCGTGTACATCCTGGGTCGCGTGCTGAGCTGGATGTGGTGGAGTAGCGTGGATGTGGCTGCTGAGACGGTGGAAGGCGGACTGCTATCTGGCATGACGTTTCAGATCACGAGCAGTGTGCTGGAAAATGGTGCGATGTTAAGTGCGGCCTCGGTGTTCCGTATCTTGCTCTTCCGTGCGAGCTATCAGGTTGTGGGGAACGCGTTTGACGACGCAAACAACTTGTGGGATTCACTTGTTGACGAAAAGCCGAACGAAGGGGATGTCACAGGCGCTCTATTTGCAACGGAGGTTGTTGTAATACCGCAGTCGAATGTACCACTGAATGAGCAGTACTTGCAGGGGTTGCAGAAACGAAGGGATGCGGCGTTACAGTGCATTCTGGACAAGCAGACATCCGTGGCCCCTGCGGATGCGGAAGATGTGGAGATTCTGGATAGCTTGTTTAAGTTTGAAAGCTTGCTTACAGGATGCAAGTTCGCTACAGCTGCACGAGCGTCGTTGTTTGTCTCTCGAGATCGATGGAATGCGTTGTTCAGCTCAACAACTGCAGTCGTCGATGGGTTTACACTGATGTTAAACTTGCTGAATACGCTGCAGGATCGAAAAAGCGCTGCAGATGATGCCAGCACGTTGGCACTTGAGCGGTCGTTCGCTTCTCTGCTGCGCTTTTTGGGCCTGCAGCAGGATGCACATCCGTTAATTCTCCTATACCAGTACCCGCACCTTGTAAACCTTCGCATCTCGTCTGCCAATGTGGATTCACCGGTCCGATTTTTCATCGAGTCAAAACTGCAGTTCGCGGTTCGTCGTTTCCTGGTGGAAGAAGCCCGTCGGCGTGCGTTCCAGCGTGTTAAAGTTGTACGTGCGGCAGAATCCCTGTTGTGCCATCTTGTCAGCGTATCGCGGGCAGATGACAAGCAGGGATATGTTCAGGTTTGTTTTCGATTTTCTTGCTTGCTCGCAATCGTGCTTGATCATGCACTCTGACCGATTTCTTGTACTGCGATGAAGCATACTATACCGGCTGTAGTCTCGTCGCTCATGGAGTGTCGCAAAGCGTTAGAGGCTTACATGGAGACGTGTTTGAAGGAGAGCAGTACGACCGATATATACGTACAAGAAGCCGCAGCCCTAGCCAAAGGTAAGCAGTGCTACAATGCCGGTTCGACGTCGCCTTGGTTACGGACGTAACGGCTGTTTGCTGTGCACAGGTATCGACAGCGGCATTTATCGCATCACCGAGGTGTTCCAAAGCGAGTTGTCCGCGTTCGCATTTCCTCCAGATACAAAGACAGCGCTGCTTGCATACGCTAGCTTCGATGTCTAGAGAATTGTGGCGTAACTGAATCTTTACAACGGCGCGCAGAATGAGGCCGTCCATACAAGCCCGTCTATTGGTTTTGAAAATCGAAAGTCCCTTTTACTAAAGCTGTGGCGAAGTCGACCATTGCAATACACTGTGTCAATCAAACACGAACAATGTCAATAAAATGCCACCGGACAAGCAGCCGAGTTTGTCTACCTGTTCGTCTACTGGTGCGTCGGAAGCTACCCGTTGCATGGCCTGGATAGCTGCAGCCTGGCACAGTGCAATGATCGATGCAGCATTAGCACCGTCTGTGTCCTCCACAAGTCTAGCGAGGTCGACATCGTAGTTCCACGGCATTTTCTTACGTTGAGTCTCCAGAATGGCCTCACGCTCGGTGGCATTCGGAAGACCAACATACACCACATTCTCAAATCGACCTGGAGAGAAACAAGACAGAAAGAGTGATGCGTTAATGCGCTACTATGTCCAGGTGGAAAATTCAAATACGTGCGCACCTGGTTGGAGAAACGCAGGATCGATGGCAGACAAGGCGTTTGTTGCTGCGAGGACAAAAACTCGGCCAGCAGCAACACTGGTAGACGCATGCACTTCATCATGTGCATCTCTGTCGTCGGACACGGCTTTCAAAGCATCGAGCTCCATCAAGAGCTGAGAAATCATCCCGGAAGTTGTCTGGCCAGCTGTCGATCGGTTGCCAAAGAGGGACTGGAATTCGTCGATGAAAACCATGCACGGACTGAGCGCGCGGGCCGTGTCGAACGCGCGCGTGATCGACTTTTCACTCTCGCCAATTTCACCCTTCATTAGGTCACTTGCTGCAAGATTGAGAAAGTTGCAGCCACTCGCTTTCGCTGTAGCTTTGGCAAGCATGGTCTTTCCAGTTCCTGGTGGACCGTGCAATACCATGCCTAAAGGTGGAAAGATGCCCATCCGACGAAACACGTCCGGTTTCTCCAACGGCCACACCACCATCTCCACTAGCTTTTGCTTGACGCCCTCTAGCCCGCCAATGTCATCCCATGAGACATCTGGAATGGAAACACTGAGTGTATCCGCACCATTGCAACTACTTGAGATTCCACGCGCCAAAGCAGCAATCTCGGATTCGAAACTCTCCACTGAAACGGCGTGACGATCTTCCCGTGACAGACGCGCGCAAATTTGTTGAGCGATGGATACGATATTGCTCGGTCGTTGACCATACCGAACAGCTAAGGACGAAATGAACTCATGTCGCAGCATCGGTGACGATGGAAGCAATGACTGAAGTAGACCAATCGTCCATTGTCTCTCAGGAACCTATGCAACCACAACGCTACAGGAGTTAGATAGAGCGGTCACTTTCAGGCTAGCAAGCCATGTGCAGACAACCCACGTCAAGATATACTTCTTCCGCAAACAACTGCCGCACTTTGGAGTGCAGCGCGTTGAGCACAGACACAGTTCCAACGACTGCAATTCGGACCAGACCCAACTTTTCTACAGTGCATGAGAGCGAGAGTAAGCGGTCAGCCTCGCAAATCAGTGCAAACATCGGGTGGCTAATCGCGTACGAAAACTGTCGAAGCATTTTACAAGGCGGCACACGAGTCGGTACTTGGCTTCGTCCAACGTCATCGGAAACATCAGCTCTAGATCTTCCAGCAACAGCACACACGGCTGCATGCGAAGTGCGGCCGAAAAAAAATCTTCCAGTCGCAATTGTGGCGACGCGAGCAACCCGCCGTCGAGCACCAGCAAAGTCGCTGCCAGGTCTTCTGCAATTTGCTTGACTAGCGTTGTCTTGCCTGCGCCACTTGGTGCGTGCAACAACAGCGAATGAAAGGTTATAGCACCAACCTGCGTCGCCCCATTTGCTCCGCAGCTCGACGTCTGCCGTAATGCCATTGCCACCAGCTCTCGGCATGTGCGGGAATGAGCCCCAATAGGATAATACCGCCCTGATCCACGCAACTTCTCAGCCATGGACGACATCACAGACGGGAACATCAGCACGAGCGTCTGATCCGTCACGATGCCACCGTCAAAATCCGTAAGGACTTGATAATTGTCCCGATCTCGACTGCGTCCTGGAAAAAACGCCTCATACGTCCACTCGCCATAGTCCACGCCATCCCATTGCAGAGCAATGGATCCACAGCGGTCCATTAAGACGCGACGCTGCAGTAAACTCTGGACGAACGGGAGCGCCAGCTTCAGCTGCTTGTCACCCGTCACAGGCGCAAGTGTCAGCACCTGCGCCACTTGAATATCTGCTGGCGTCACACATGTCACATGTACCGGACTCCCAGTTGTTAGTGTACTGGTACATTTACAAGAGGTCTCGCTTTTGGTGTCACATTTTGGCCAATGATCGATCAGGATCCGGTCGTTGGCGCGGATAAGTGTATCCACTTCCAGTCGGAACACCCGCGCTCGGTCGGGGACGTCACTGCACTGGAGTGAGACGTAGGACCCCCAAGCTGCACCCAGGCACTTGAATGTGGCTGGGGACACGCGTGCGACGCTTGACGCGGTGCCCGACGCAGCGACTTCGACGACGAGTTGTCGCATTGGTCCGACAATCGACGAGACTCGATTGATCAAGTGTGGATAAAAGGGTAACCTCACGCCCGATATTCTTCTACACAGTTTACAATCGATGATAAATTATGAAAGTATCGAGATAAAAGCAAAAGAACGGATAAAAACAAGAAATAAAACAGGCCACGAGCGACATACGCAAACCCGTGAGCAACATACGTAAGTTGTCACTGCCCGCAAAACCGGCAATCTAGAAATGCAGCATAACGTGCAGCATAGCATGTGTGACAAGCCCTCCCCTCCGCTCATCCGTTTTACAAATCGTACATTCGTGCAACAATGACGTGGGTCCTGCCGAACGAAGACGCCGTCACGCTGGGCGAGCTCCGCGGCGAGCTCTACGCCGTGTCTCGCCACGACCGCGCGCGCGTCAGCGACGAGTTCACTCGACGCGGAGGTCGTGCTCTGAATCCTGCGCGTGTCGCCAGTACCAAGCCGCTGCGTCCGCGTGCATTGTGGACGACAGACGAGCCGGACGAAGCGCCGGACTCGGGCGCTTGGCAGCTGTTGAAGCGCGTGCTGACGACGGGGAAAGCGCTGGTGCTGGACGATGAACTTGTGGTGCTAAAGAGCGCTCTGGACGCTGCTGTGGACGTGGCGGAGCGGCTGGTGGAGGCGGTGACGGGGACTCGAGACACGAAGAAGAAGGAGAAGGAGGTGGAGACGAGCCAAGACTGGAGCCAGGGCGAGAGTATCGTGGACTTGAGCTGGCACTGTACAAAGAACGTGCTGGCCGTCGCGCAGCTGGATGGCGTGGTGGCGCTGTACCACGTGGAGAGCGCGTCGTGGGACACGCGCGTGCTGGAACATCCGGAGCAGACGGACATTGGCAGCATTGAGTGGGGCATGTACACGGGCGAGACGCTCGCTGTGGCGTGTAGTACGGGCGTGTTTCTGTGGCAGGTGCCAGTGGCTGGAAACAAAGGTGGGTGGAGGATGAGTGGACGAGAATGGGTTGGATGAGTGGACCCAACTTTAGAGCTTGGTTCTTGTTGTGTGGGTGGTGTGCAGAGCCTGTGCTGAAGGAGATATTGAAGCACTCGAGCAGTAGCGGGTTCCGACAAGCGAGCTGGAATGCAGACGGGAGTTTGCTCGCTGCGCTGGGGACAAGAGGCTCTCGATCGGCTGTCGTCGTGTTTGATGCTATTTTCTCGCGGCAGACGGAGCTAGAGAGCCCGTACAAGCTGAAGTCGCTGCATTGGTCACCGACAGGCGAATACCTGTTTGTGATGACTGAGTAAATGCGCGCGCTGTGGTTTGAGAGTGGGTGTGTGTGTGGGATATGTGCTTACGCGATTTGATGTTGTTGCTAGGAACGGCGTGTCGTTGATGTGGGAGACGCTGACGTGGAAAAGAGAGACGTGGGAGGTCGCTGCAGGTGTACGTTAGTGGGTTGATTTTCTTTGGATCATTGGTTGTGCTCTTATAGTTGTGACATTTTCGTGTGCGATATCACTGCAGGGCTGCGGCTGGTCGAGCAATGGACGTTGTCTCATGGTAGCGCTTCGTGACTCTTCTCTCTTGTATCCCTACATTTTCCAGGACTGCCCTCCATCATTAGGTACACGGCGCTTCCTACTTCGAGCCAAGCTTTGCGTGTACTGAATCGGTGACGTTTGCACGTTGCTATAGATGCACAGATTAGCTCGCCAGCACTTGACTTCACACCGAAGACGCTCTTTTCATTGGACCAAAGCACCTCTGCGTATGTATCATGCATGCACTGTGCTTATGTCACTTTGGGGAAGGGCACTGATTCTTTGAACGGTATGTTGTGTTTATTGGCACTTGTAGCGTTGTTGGTGGATTTGCTCAGAACATCGCATGGGACCCGAGCGGATCCAGAGTAGCTGTGACGTACCGGACTGAAGCGAACGGCTCCCATCAAGCAGGAGTGGTGCCGTTGGTTTGCATCTTCAGCGTTGTTTGGCAGCCATTCTTGATTTTTACTCGGAGGTTCGTTGTTTATGACTTTCTGGTCTCACGTGCGTACCGTTGGTGTAAGTAGACTCACTCTGATGCTGGTCTATAGTGGTTTGTTGCGTGGCCCTCCGAACGCCGGCTTACCTCGGAAGCTTGCATTTGCCTCGAATTTTAAGCATGGTGCTTTGCTGAGCGTTGCATGGAGCAGTGGTTTGATCTCGTTCCACCCGTTCTATCTGGAAGATCCAAAGGCAGCATGATCATCATTGCTTTGTGCATCAGGCTGTCGCAGATGAAACTCGTATAATGTGCAAGGCTCCGTGAAGACGTCCACTTTCAAGCGTTTATTGTTATGGTGTCGGTCTACACGTCTGTGTAGTGATTTGTGATTGTTTTGCAGTCGCGGCTGACAGCAGTGTTTTGAGAAGCTTGATAACGCATTGGATGAGGAATCTGGGTGACTCCGGGTACGTCTACTCTATTGATTACATTGGTGTTTGACGAAGGGACGCAAGTGTCGACCAGCAGCTCTCGCTGGCCAATACTTGCTGTCGGTGTCGTTGCCACTGTCACTGATCGTAGAGAGGGAGGTGGTAACAGTGTTCGACCTATACGGACGGTAACAGGACACGGAATGGTTGGTAGCTGCCATGCTTACTCATGTGTGGGTAGCACTGTTGCTCTCGCGTATCAGGGCAACGTGCTGTTGTCCGCAAGCTATGTTTTGTAAAATGAAGACCGCAGGCTGCTCGAGGTCGACTGCGGAACTACATGATCGGAATCGACTACGGGAAAGCACGTCGATCTGAAAGAGTGCAGTCGTTCTGAGTGTGGCACATGGAGTCACGAGATGTGGCTTCGATACGGTCATAGTTTCTTGTCCGTGGCGTAGTCGTGTAGCTGAAGCGGATGGAAGCTGATCGACAAGCACTGTACAAACGGATCGAGTAGCACTGTACAAACGGATCGAGAAGCGATGGCGTGTTTCGGTGCTGTCGGTCAACAACACATTGAAGACTCTTCGGACACGGTCGCTTATAGACGATGGGCATCGGAGCGAGACGTACAGCAGAGTTTTGTGACAGTACGAGTTCTTGTTCAGCGAAAAGGGACTGGAGCGACATTTGGTTTGTCTGACTTGTTCGCAGAGTATTCCACCGTTTCGCAAGGATCTCTTGCCGATGTGTGGCTAAACATACACGCTCACGCCACGTTCACGCCACGTTCACGCCACGTTCACGCCAAGCTGCCCACGTAACATGGTGCAGCACAAGCAGCACAGCCTAGCAGCATAATGAGCTTTCGCGTTTCGGTAATGTGCCACTAAGGTCGATCGTTTCAGGCACGTAGCTGCAGCAACCAAGACAACATGAGGTAGCAGTCCAAGGCGTCATCGCAGCTTATGCCATCGAAAATGCACGTACATGTCGTCTTCCTGGCCTTTCTGCAAAGCCGATCTCGCGATCATCTGAAAAGCTTCTTCGACGCTGGTGGCTTCTTTCGCGCTGGTCTCAAAGTGCTCGATCGGCTGATCGAAAAGGCATCAGCAAAAGCGAACGCATCAGCAACAAAATGTACCGCTGCAGCATACAAGAAATACGCAGTGGCTTACCGGGTGCGCGTTTTTGCCCCGGCACCACTCTTGCGCCTTCTCCTTATGAACCTGTGTCAGAACCACAACAAAAACAACAACAACAACCCAACAAGATCCATCAATCAGCATCCGTATCAGTAACTCCCTCGCTCGTTGCTTCGTTCGTAACCATTCTCACCCTTCGCTCCGACTCCTTGTCGACTTTGTTGCCCAGCACAATAAACGGGAACGCGTCCGGGTCTCTCGGTCCTGCCTGGGCCAAGAACTCGTCTCTCCACGAGTCCAGTTTCTCGAAAGACTAGAGCATACCCAACCACAGCAATCGCCCGTCAACAGCAGCACCATCCTCATTCTCCTTTTGTCCTGCACCACCTTTGCATTTGTGACATCATAGACCAGCACACAGGCGTCCGCGCCTCGATAGAAAGCGACGCCAAGACTCTGGAATCGCTCCTGCCCCGCCGTGTCCCAGATCTGCATCGTCACCAGCTTGTCATCCAGCATAATCTCCTTGGTCAGGAAGTCCGCGCCGATCGTGGCTTTGTACTGGCCGCTGAACTTCTGCTTCACGTACTGATTCATGAGCGACGTCTTGCCGACGCTGTAACAACAAGAGAGAGAGAGAGAGAGATCAACGGAGAGGCAGTGAGTGACGGTACACAATGGATACTGTTATCGCAATCCTTTGTTACGCGGGTTGTTCTCGACGACGCAGAGAGAGACGACGTACCCGCTGTCACCCAGAATAATCAGCTTGAGCAGCACTTTCTTGTGGTGTGCCATACTACTACCGTCGTGGCTTGTGTCGCTCGTAATTCACGTGCAGAAGGACCGAGGAAGCACGTGCTGACTCGTCCTACGTGACGATGATGAAGCACAAGCAAAAATGAGTATCCCGTGACTTTCAGCCAATTAGAACGTAGCGTGTCCAGAACAATGCAGATGGCTACACTTTGACCCAGTGCAGGTTGCGCAGTGACTTCAACGTCAATCAGTCTCCACAACACTTTTTGCACATTGACATCAAGATGGCTACATTATGGACTTGCGTGCATGTGCAAGTTGCTCAGACCAAGCGCCGGGTCGGCGCTCCAAAGCGGAATTGGCAGATACTAGCATTCCGTGTGGTCTTGGCGGCCAATGGCGTAGAAGAAGAACGAGCGCTTGCATCGCGGGTGGCCACTTCTGCCTGGATCCGATTGAGCTCCAGCATCACTGCCGGGTCACAGTTCATCTCAGTCGCTAACCGGATTGTTGTCCGCACGGCTTCGACGTCACCAGCGGAAGGACGAACAGCAGCAGTCGTAGTACGTTGCGATGCGTTCCACGATAGCCACGTATCGTCCAGGGAGCCAGGATATCCCTGATCAAAGCCCGGGTAGTCAGTACTGCCGTTGCTCGCAGCTTTGGATCGAGATGCAGCTGGACACGATAATGCCGTCGGTGTATCGAGTGGCGGTGAAACGTCCTCCGCCGAAGGGTCGTCAGGTACTGCCTCTTGCATGACGGTACGGCGACTGAGATCGTCCGAGCTCAGTTGCATACTCACTGTGCCGTGCGAGGCATTCAATGCCGAGTCGGCAAAATCGGCATCCGTCAGGTTCTCGTCAAACATCTTCTCCGAACTCGGTGCTACGACTTCAATCAACCGCATTGGACTGACGAGTTTCAGCCGCTTGAGCAACGCTTGAATCTGCGCATCGAGCTTGTCATCTGTGCGGTCATCGGGCACAATGGCAGCTCCGGTCTCTCCAGTCACATTCACACCCAAGTGCGCAAAGCTGGCCATTATGCGCGACCGCGGAACTTGCTGCCAGCATTGAGCCACCCACTCGACCACCTTCAGCAGTGGGATATCATATATATCAGCCTGTCCTTCATCTCTCCGATCCAGCGCGTAGTCCAAGAGCCGGTGACGATAACGGCGCTTGACAGCGGTTACAATGCCCGTCTCGAGAGCTCGAACACACAGCTCTCCAGCATGGTTCCGTTCCACGAAATGCAACGTCACGTTCGATAGCGACACCTTCTGCACGCACATAGCAGCCATCGAGTCGACAATGAGTACGATCTGGCGATTCGTCACGCGCATGCGCCAGTCCAATGCCATGAACCAACTTCGTAGCAACGTCGGCGGCACCCACGCTTTATGGTTGCAGGCAAATTGGTACATCCGGTCTTCCGACTCGACACTGGAATCGGTCGGCAATGGATGCGGACCGACGAAAAAAGGGTTGAGTCGATCACTGCCGTCCGCATTGAGAGCCAGCAACATTGTCAACTTCTTCTCCGGGTGATGGTTCGATGGCAACACCTGTCTGTCTGGACTCCTAGCGTAGAACAGCCGCGTCTCATGCAGCCAGTAGACGTTCTCAGGTAACACGCCTGCAATTGCAGCTTTGACATGGTCCGGCGTCGAGATGACCGACGTCTCCGGGGCAAACTTCGGCTTGCCATCAGCTTCTTCCTGCTCCACTTGAGCCGTCCGTCCTTTGCTGCCTTTGCCTCCTCCAAGCGAGAAGCCATGTCGGCCCATGAACGAATGCATCCATCCATTGGAGAACTGCGGCGGTGAGCTCGTCACGCTATCGGCCAGCTGCGGCGCGAGCAGCTCGTAAAACACGCGCGCTTTATGACGCACGAGGTCTCCTGGGAGCTTGAGTCTTCGGGCTTGGCAATACAGGAACCAATCAGCCAGCGCAGAGTCCACCTCGGGACACTTGACCGTCCGCAGCTTCTTGTAGTCGCGCCCTTCGCCTGACACGAGCTCAAACTGCGCGCGTTTCTTGAGCATGTAACTCATGGCGGCTTGGGACGGCACATAATCGAGCGTGAACTGGTTCTTGGCCCAATGGCCGAGCTGCGCCTGCGTCGTCTTGGGAAACTGCCGCGCGTGCAGACAGATGAGCCGCTTCTGTTCGTGCGTGAGGTTCGTGCTGCGCGCGTTGGGGCGCGCCATGACGAGCAGCTAGCTACGCAGGCTCTGTCTGTGCTTATAAATGGCTGAAAGTCGCAAGACTGGATACACGCTCAGACGGGGGGGGGTGAGCGATGGTGCCAAAAAAGACTTGCGTTTACTATGCACATGTCATTGGGACGAGCTCGAACGAACTCGTCAAACATGATGGGCAGCTGGTTCAAGTGAAGGATGTGGTTGGCTCATGTGGACCACCACATACGTACGTGCGACATCTGGAGAGGTGGACCACCACAAATAGCCCATGCTTTCCGCAGCGCTCATTTGCACTCAGACTCGCTCTGCAGCACAATGCAACATAAACAGGGACACGTCACCTTTGAGTCGCCATTTTGTAGCAATGAAGCTGCGCTTCCACGGCCTTTTGTCGTCCATTGTCGGTAATGGTGACGCAAACACTACTCTACAGTGTGTTTTTTCCTCGCTCGTCATACGCACGTTATCATCTTGCGACGCACCTGTATGGTTACGACAATAATGGCTCGGTGCTTATCACACGGTGCACCATGCCACACGGACTTGCGAGTGTAAATCGTCCACCAATCAACAGCCTGGAATATGGCTACGGACCGTGCGTCACACGCTACGTTCGACTTGCCCCAGTCGAAGCCTGCAGGCACAGACCGCGAAAACAGCTGGACAACGGACAGGTGCCGAACGATCAAGCGATCGCTCCTCGAGCGGACACTTGATTTACACTATGGCTGGAAACTGTCACGTTTATGCAATAGCGTCCATCTGACGACGCTGCCAACTGACTGTATGCCGTCGAAATTCAATTCACAAAATGCTGTGTCGATCGTTCTTGATGTAGCCACTTTATGTCGAACTCCTGCTGTCTGCCAGCTTGTGGGTGCATACTCCGTGTGCGACGGCAACAAAGCCACTCACTGCACACTCTATGTGACAGCTTCGGCGACTTTTGCGCCAAGTCTTTGTTCGATTTTTTCACACTGACGAATCAAGTCACCTTGGACCTCGTCCTTTCTTTGTCGCTGCATCGTTATCAGATCCTGATCGCGAGCGCTGATTGGCAGCCCGTCGTTAAAACCACCACGTCGCCTTTCTCCCGTCTGGCAGCAGGTTCGCGAACGCGAAAGCGACAGGGCGCACGTGACGCACGACAAATCGCTCGAAGCTCGACCCCAAATAACTTTATGTCGCATAGGATTTCAGCCAGAACATGGCTACACCTCTCGTTCGCATCAACGCGCCCTCCAGGTTCTCTCTCGCTTCCCGCCTGATCTTTTGACTCGCTCACTCTTGATTTGGCCGACTCAGCAACGTGTCAATCGATCGCTCGTCAGTCTGCCATTGAGAGATGCCCCAGCCACTGGACCCGTCAGTCTACAACATGGAGCTCCACACGAGCAGCTACTGGAAAAGCGCCATGAACCGTCCAACGTGGCGGCTGCGCTCCTGCAAGTCACAAGACACTGACGATACATTGGCGTACACTATGGACGAAGCCATGGACCTCAAGGTGCTGACCTACATGGCTTCGGAGCCGGAGGAATGTAACGATGAGGAGTACGAGTACGCCACTGCTGCCACTGCAACCGTCTCGGGCTTGCCGCTCGTGTGCAGCAATTGCGGCGTGTCCTTCTTCTCGCTGCAGATCCCTGACGACCAGATGGACTGCTATTGCTCGGGCGAGTGCAAGTGGAGCGTCATCATGTACCGAGAGATGGATCTGCGCCTGTTTGCCAGGCGGAACAAGTGCCCGCTCGACTCGGTCGGATGTCGCAGTCTTCGAGCGTCAATGGAGACGGCAACAGCAACAGACGCCCGTCGGGCTACAGTTGCATGCAGTGCAGCGGACACGTTTACAGCCCCAGGCTGCACACGCGGCAGTGGGGTCTTTCGTATTTAAGAGGGAGAGAGGGAGTCAATGTAAGTATTACGAGATGGGACATGGAGAGGGGGTGGGTGGAGTGTGAGACGATGGCAGGGGGGAGAGAGGGAGGGGTGTTTCTGTGTAAACTGCGTGGGTACGAATGGTGTGTGGATACATTTCGGGGTTTGTTTGTATTGAAAAAATGTTGGATCTGTTTCGGAATCGAGTCTTTTGCAAGTGGAACGACAAAGAAGATGATTTTCGAGGCAAAATCGGGATAGTACGTTTGATCATCCGTCGTAGAGACCTGTGGTTTGGATAAAACCTCGAGATCTGGTCTGGAACATAATCGTACCTTCATTCCTTTTGTCAGGATCATAGGATCATCTACATTTGTCAGAAGCGTACATAGTGAAGACCTGCGTCAGGGTCATTTTCATGGTCTGCAGAACAACATGCGAGTGTTTGCAAAACGTTGTTGTCTTCGATGCGCTTATGCAGCAAGTATCCCTATACCAGAGCCTGTTCGCACATTTGTAGGGATATCGCCCCATCCTTGTCCATAGCTGCCTATCTCGAAGCGATCGATGTGTCCCAGCGCATACCGAATGCCACGGCTTACTCGTCGTCATCATCATCGTCGTCGTCGGCCATTTCGTCGTCCTTGATAGACTGGACTGCCCACTCGTTCACCTCATCGCGCAAGCTGTCCGGCACAAGGCTGTGCTGCCAGTTCGTCTCCTTGCAGATCCAGCTCAGTTCCAGCTCAAACGGATGGCGCACTTCGTCGTGCAGCGTATTGAGGCTGTTATCAAGCGGAAGCCCAAGCGAAAAAAAACAGAAACAATCATGTTCCATTACATCTCATCGATCGCTACACAAAAGCCTGGACCCACTCTGCTGTACGTACATCTTGGCCACGTATTTCATAGCTTCACGGCACGTCATGTCAAAAAGCTTGTACTTTTCGATCTCTGTCTTGGCCGACTGCTGGCCCTTGCCCAATGCACAGCCGCGGTAGCTCTACAAACATCACCACAACACAAAACTTCTCGTCAGCAAATTATAACAGCCAAGCATCATCATCATCATCATCATCATCTCCTCTGTAGCGCTTGTGTAAGCTGCGTACGTAAGTGACTCCCGAGGGCTCGACCATGTACAAACTGGTCTTGTCCGTGTCGTGGTCGTAGCCAGCAAGCATAATTGCTGTGCCAAACGGCCGAATGGAGCCATACAGCGTGTAGTAGTGCACGAACTGTCCCATACGTTCCGCCAACAGATGCGGCGGGATGCTGCAGCCATAGTTCTTCTTGTAGTTAAGTGCCTCTTCACGCGCGCGATTGACGAGCTGGCGGCCATCAGCCACAAGTCCTGCCATAGACAGACCCACGTGGCGGTCGATAGCGTACACCCGACGGTGGGTACCTGGTACCAGCATCTTGCTCAGTAGCGTCTTCTCGACGCCCATGATAACACCATCCGTGCACTTGATGCCGATTGTGGTACTGTACACAACAAAGAAGAGAGAGAGAGAGAGAGGGGGGGTAATTAGGTAAGTAGGTTCGCTTTTCTATAGTAAACATGGGTACACTGAACATGGGTACACTTGAAACATCGGCAAGGTGGTTCTTTTTTCTGTACCCGCTGTTCTCGACGGCCTTCTTGGCGTACTCGACCTGGAAGATGCGACCTTCGGGCGAGAACGTGCCTGCAGAGTAGTCGTAGCCAGCACCAGTGCTGCTCATGCTGCGCGTTTGGACGAAGCTGCTTGGGGTACGAGGGGCGGGTACACGGAATATGCAAAAGTATCCTCCCTCCACGTGACAGGCCAGATGTTGCACGAATGTCGCACCTACGTGCCGATCGCGGTTTGAGCGAGTCCGATCAAGTAGAAAACGACGATATTTAGTTCGCTTGTTACGGTTCTATGAGTCTGTATACTCATGTGTCTGTCGGCGATACGTTTGTTATAACATAACTAAAATACCGCAAATTCTTTGCATTTATACACAGCCATCACTGTGTATGGACCTACAACGTCGTCGAATTCTGTAAGTATTGATTCCTCACGTATTCCTAATAAAAATGAATCAACGTGCCCATGCGGATGTACCTTTGGTCCTGAGACTTACGAAACCTTTCGATACCATCCACAAGCAGGTACAACAACTGTAAGCACTCACGGTTCGCTCGCTTTTGTCTAGTTGCTGCCCAAAGCTGACGTGAAAATTTGCTTGAAGGTCCTGGGCAAGTCGGACGTCTCGAGGCAGACATGACCTCGACCATTAGGCAGCGCGCATCGGATCTGTTCGGCTTCGTCAGCGAACGAGGCAATGAAAAGCGCATGGGCCTGCACACTTGGGTCTGCCAGTAGCTTGCGACCAAGATCTCGGGGCTCAATCCCGTAGCGCTCGAGGTTGGCATCGCTCACGACAAACACGAAGCGCTCGTCGCCCTCGAGCGCAGCAACACGCTGGATACCACGTTCAATCGCCTCAACGGTGTGGTCTCCGCTACGGCAGAACTGAGAGTGAGCGACCATCCTCTGAAGCACTTGCAGCCTCTCCTTGCGGTCTTTAGGCGGTGCCCCAAACTCCACGAATGGAATCTCGGGCGAATCGCCACTATGACCCAGGATACTATAGTCCAGCTCTCGCTCGAAGCCCGCAAAACTCTCCATGATCATCAAAGATGTCTCGAGCATACGCTCGAGACGGGCATCCTGGCCATTGAAGCGAAACATGCTCCCGCTCACGTCCATAACAAACAGCATCCGTTTGGGATCTTGGCTCTGTGAGCTTCCTGCTGAGGCTCGAAATGGCGAGTCACTCACCCCACGACGCTTGAACACGAGCGGCTCACCAGCAATGCCGTCTACAAGCTTGCCGTCGTCTAGCTCGCCACTCGACTGGTGTCGCAGCCAATTCCGCTCTTCAGTCACTGTTTCCAGGTTTGCTAAAATCGCACGCAATTGGGAACTCTCTCGCTCCACACGTTTGAGAAACGACTCGTACGTTTTCCATTCGCGATCACTCATGTCGATCTCGCGCAACTTGTCAGCAAGTGCCTCCTGTGCAATGGCATGGGCCTTGGCACGTGCTGCAGCTGACACCTCATCCTTCTTTGCTTGCGAGACCTGGTGCACCGGATGACCTTTGTCAAGTCGATACGGACCGCCACGGCCTCCCAGTCCAGCTGTGTCCGATCCGCCAGTCCCTCCAGCCCATGTATTGCCTCCGACATGAGGATCGTTTTTCGGATCTTCTTTACCGTACTTTGGAGCGTCCAGACCCGTCTTAGGCGTCGATAGTCCGCCTACTCTAGAGCCATCCGCTGTTGTGATATTCATTTCAAGAGATGAAACTTCTCTGCTGCTGGAAAGAAGGATTCCATGCCTAAACGAACAAGTAGAACGACAAAAGTAGCAAGCAATCGTCAGTTTGGTCATACACCATGGCAAGCCGCTGACGTACATGTTCGTACCTCACAAAGACGTCGGATACTTGAGCAAGCATGGCTCGATCGTAGGCATCAAAAGCAAAGACGTTTGCCTGTACAATATCGATTTTAGTCCCATCACTTTTGTATACTCGCAGCAGAAACACTGACCAGTACGGATCCCACTTCGTCAGTAGGAAAGCGCTGTAGGTGTTTTGCCACCGCAACAGCCTCGCGAGTTGAGTACGGGTACGTGATGGTACCATTCTCCACCAAATCCCGCAATTCAGCAAAAGCTTTACAGAGCTGGCGCAAAATGTCAGTAGGAACGTTTGGCGCGTACGCAGTTAGCAAAGCGAGCTCCGATGCTTCATCTGGGTTCTCGATCGCACTAGTATTTGGGAAGCGCATACGAATGAAAACATCAGTATCAGCTTTCGCATGCATGTACAAATCAGCAGTAGTGCTGTGTCACGTACTGGCTTGCAAAGATATCACCGATCTCACGGAAAAAGTTGTTTCCTAAGAAAGGGAATCCCGGACGATTCGCAAGCACCCACATGCGGAAATCCGGGTGAAGCTCGATGATGTTTTCCTTGTTATGCCATTCCTCTATTGCTATTTTCGTGGGATCGACCAAGCGCTTGCCATTACCCTGGACAAAGTAAGCAAGTAAGTATGCCATCAATCAGAAAGCAAAAAAAAGTCGTACCAGGAGCATTTCGCCGTCTTCAATCAACCCCTTCAAAACACAAACAACCTCCAGTGGTGCTTTGTCAGCCTCGTCAACGACAAGTGTTCGACCAGTTTTGGCAGCCCGGACAAGTGGTGAGTCTTTCCACACAATGCTCCCGTCCACAAGTGTTGGCGCCAACGTTAAAGTTTGCACAGTTGTCTAGCATAACACGTTACCAATGTTAGGTGTCACTCTCGCCTCGCCAATGCTCTACTTGTCCCAAAGTCGAAACGTACATCACGATGCAGCTGAATGTACTCGCGCTCCTGCTGCAGCAATTGCAGCAATCTGTCCGCTAGCTTGTTCTTTCCCACGCCTTGGTTGCCGATCAAGAGCAAGTGTTTTTGACCCGCTACAATATCTTGTAGCATGTCTTGCATGCAACGGGTATGCTTTGGAATGTCAAAATAGTGTGGCTGGGGAACCAGCTCCGGGATACTCGGGACTTGGATCGAATACGAAACATCGCCAATGTATAAGCGTCCTTCCTCCTCGCGGATGGCATCTGCTTTCTGCACCTGAAGATCAACCACGGCTGACTTCGAAGCTGGAGCTTTGCACTTATTCAGAAGAGAATCGACTAGCTCGCTGCATGATGGTGACAAGAATTTCGTAAGTAGCGTATCATGCAGCAACGACCGCAAATCTTGCAACGATTGCTGCGGAAATGCGTTGAGGTGACGGCAAATACGCAGCAGCTGGCGCGTGGATAGTGAAAGTGCAAGGTGGTCAGCATTCGCGCTTTCTTTCTTGGCGGTTTTCAACTTCTCTGAAAACATCAGCAGAATTCTGTGCATCCACAGTATATCAAACAGTTAGTACTCACGCGATGAGACCATTCCAAGTAGATCGTACCTTGTCGTCTCATCAGGGAGGTCAGGATACAAATGTCGGACAACGTGTCCGCTCTGTTTAGTAGGCAGTGTCGGCATGTGGTGAAAGTTGAACATCGATATACTGTCCGAGTTCAGCCATGCAGCTGCAGACTCCTTGCCTGGGCAAGAAATCGTTCTTTTTGACGTTGCAGAATCAGCCTCAGCGATGGCGATGATACGAAAAGAGGGATGAATGGCAGACACTCGACTCAGCGCACCCACGTCTCCAGATTCGTTTGCATTGGCCACGATAGCATCGTAAGTTGGCTGAGATACTAGTTTGGAGCCATCTGCCAGGTCAATCTCCCGGTCTTGGACAAGCCTTTGAAGTATTCCTAGACCATCACTTCTCAGGCGATGAACTCCATCTAGCACACAGAGATGCCCGTTTCGAGCAGCGTGGATGAGTGGACTGTCTTCCCATCGTGTGTTGCCTTGAGAGTCAGTAGACCGTCGCTGGAGAAGATCTCGCGTAGTCATATCCTTGAACAGGCTGAAAAGCTCGGTCGCGTACCCCAAACGGAAAGCAAACAGCCTCACCAAAGCAGACTTCCCGCTGCCTTTTGCTCCAAGGACACACAGGTCCCTGCCGACGGCATGGTCTTGCATCATTTCGGCGAGAACTTTTAAATGAGTGTCTGTCTCCACAAACCCCGGCATCGCATCCATTCGTGCGCATGTTGTTCCACATGGGATGTTGTCCAGCACAATTTGGTCCGAATGGGAACGAAAGCTCACCGTTGCTGTCACGTCTTTAGCAGAATTCTTGGCCACACTTTGAAGCGTATACTCCGCGCTCTTGAGATCGCTGGTAAACCTTGTGACGATGCGAGTAAGCGCCTTCGCGTTGGCCTCGGTTCTGGCTCCAAGAACATCCGTTCGAACCGGAAAAGACCGCTGTATAGCGTTAGCTACATTTGCATGCGGAAACTTCTCCAACAGTTTTGCGCAATGTGCAAGCGACAGAAAGTCGAAGTGCGGCATACGTGGTCCTGTGCTCGCTCCTCCGTCGTACACGGATTCGATTGTGTTCACAGCCTCTCGAATCCCGACAAGTTTTTCGAGCGTATGCACTGGGAAGGATGGAGTCTGGACCACCAATTCCTCAAGCTGTGAACCCGGTGAGTTAGGTTGAATATCTCGTGCCTGAAACCTCGATCGTAGAGGTGGATCTAATGTACGGCCAGGATACGGGGGTACTAGGAGACCCAATCCGATGACGCGAAAATCCGGATGAACTCGTACCAAATTCTGGGCCTCCAGAGCATCCACCGAGAAACCTTTCTCCACCAACGCGTCGTAGCTGCTCAAGACAAAGAAGGATGTCATTCGAGCTTATTAGCATAAACAAGTCGCACAATGTCCGGGTACCTTTCTGCCTTCATAAGAAAGCGCCCGTCGTCCAGCTTCATTTCTCGGTTCTCGAGTAGATTGTTCAGCGTGGGCAAAACGTTCCGCTCTGCTTTTTCAAGGCCTACATTCGAAAGATAAACCACAGCAACGCTCATCAGCACTCACACGATCACAAGCGCATCATGCACAAGGTGCAAGTACAACAAACCGTCAATCACGAGCACACGGCCATGAATAGCAGCTCGAACAGGAGCCTGGTCCGCGAAAGTAGCTGCACCGTTGACAATCTCTCTACGCTATGTTACATAAGACACCAACAGCCAATGTCACTTGTATGGTCAAAGTCACCACAAACAGGCCGTCTGTGCATTTGACAAACCTGTTTCAAGTCTGCCTCCGTGGTATCCTGGGATACGGCAATGTATTCCACCCCTTTCTTCAAAAGCTCACAAAACCGCATGCTCAGTAGTCGTCGGGATGATCCCGGAGGTCTGAAAAAAGCAGCACAAAAGCATCTTAGCAACGAGTCGTTACGAGCACACACGAAGTTGCTTGAACTCTAGTAGTACCCTATCAGAAACATATCTTGCTTCAATAGGTCTTTTTGCAGCATCCATCGAAGATGTCCGAGTAAAGTCTGAAACAACAAATCAACAGTGTTAGCAGTGTTAAAACATTTTTAAGCGGTTTTACCAAAAACAAAAATAGTCGCGGCCATATCGAACCTGAGCCATCGGCCGTCCTTGCTGCATCTCCATCATGTACCCACGGGGCACCAACTCGATTGACTTTGGCGTTGTGATTGGAGCTCGCACGTCGCCAATTTCTACATACTAAGTCGTTTATTATTTTGTTAAAACGAGTAAAACCAACAAAATATCTATTTATTCACCTAAATCTCCTCAATCAACGGACTCTTTCGCACCTGTAAATTGCCAGGATCTGTGCTGCTGCTACTAGTTCCGCGCGCACAATACGCGGCACGACGCCTGATGGTCATGCTCCGACCGTGTTGTGGTTGTCGTCTCAAGGCGCGCAGCATTTCGTTAGCTTTGATCGCTTCGAGCCACAATCACATCACGTATCGGACTGATACAGTCGAGGAGTGGTCTTGAACCGATAGGGGACCCTAACGCTTCAACGCACAGCTCATCGAAATGAGAAACATGGCTACAACACGTCACAGGCTATTGTGTAGTTTTTACTATCATGACCTCGCTCTCGCTAATATTCGGCAAGGCAATTGTCACTCGTTGTATTAGAATTCGCTTTTTTTTACAAGGCGTCGCAGTGCATCGATGAACGTAGCCCCAGATGTCATGGCTTTCCATAATCTAGTCATTTTGCTCCACAAACGTCCAAGCATCCATGGATCCGTAGAGTGCAAATTAGTCAAATTACTACAGCAATATGTGGTGTGCGAGCCAAACAAGGAGCTGGGACGAGTACCGCCCGGCTCTCGAGCACAATGTATGGTATTCTTGGCACCCACGTGTTGTGACGGAACAGTTTGTACCGGCTATCCACGATCCAGAGAATGCTGAAAACCAGGCAAAATACACGCCAAATAGGACTTGCAGTTCATTGTACTCGTTGTCGTCACCTTTGTCGTCATGCATCACGCTTGACTCGCATCCTTCCGTAACGCCAACAAAGTACATAAGCTGTTAAATGACAAGCAAGAGGTTCTTCGGTTTGTTCGTTCTGTCCATCCTGCTGTAGAAGCTGTCTGTACTTTTGTTGACCCAGACGAAGTCCTCCCTCCGCAACAAGGCCTCAGACAGTTATAGCCCTTCCAGTCCTGTTTTTCTGACTCCTGCCTACCACTTGGTCCCTTTGGCTCAACTGCCACGGTCTCACCTCACACTGACGCTGACACTTACTGCCTTCTGCGAAGAGGACCCACGATCCCCTTTCTCTCGCTGCTGTCCACAGAACAGCACCACTGCAACATGTATGCGGGTGACGAAGACGTCATTCGTGAATCGTCGATCCTCTCCGCACACCACAACTCAGAGCTCAAACTTACTCGTCACACAACCACCGTTAGCGAAGTGCCTCATGACGACTTCGAATACATTGAAGCTCAAGTTAGGCCCTTTCCGGGTAGCGACGTCGATCTTCCTGGTCAATGTCATGCCTTTCGGTCATCGAAATGCCACATGCCTACTCCGTGTCGAGCGCCCGAACGTCTGCGGAGGTCGCATTGACGTATCAATTGGCCACCCTGACATGCCCATCAAACTTCTTCCACGCTCGGCTAAAGACCGTCGTAAACTACGTTTCGCCATCCGCTACGGGATGAAAAAAGGCAAGACAATCCGCTTCTGCGCACCAAACACTACCGTGTACGACCACTGGATCGCTGTCCTCTGTGAAGCCTTCGGAGGAAGTGCAAAAGCTGCGAAGCGATCGAGCACCAAAACGGACAGTGCCATCGATCATGACGGCTACAACGACATCGACATCCAGGAGGCAGTCATCACTAGTGATGATGAGTCTATGCGTGGGCATTGTGGCTCCTTTACCATTGATCCACCCGACACGGATTATAACAACACTTGTCGCGAGCATGTCAATGTTGTTACGGACATGGACACTTGCAGCAGCAGTAGCAGCAGTGACATTAGCGGCATTTACCAGACGCCTATTGCTCGTAGCGATGCACCTTGGTCGGTGATCGAGAAGCCAAGAGGTGCACTTGAACATCCTGATGTCTGCAATGAAGACAACACCAGTACAGACACTTCGACAAAGCGACAGCCATCTCTCACCCTGGCATCGAAGCCAGTGTCCTCAACGTCGACTGATAAAGACGACGAAAACGTCTACGACACTGCTACTAACACCTGCGAGGCAGCACTTAAATTTACGCGTGTGCCTCTACAAGATGCGTGTACGACGGACCACGGTCCTCGGATGGATAAGGCGTGCGACTTGTCGTCCGTAGAGTGGCTCCATCGGATCATCCGCTATCTTTGTAACGGTGAATTGGTGTCGGGGTGTTTTCGCCTCACCGACACAAGCTGCAACCGGCTGCAGCCAACAGATGTGAAGAGTGCCGTGCAGTCATTCATCATGCGATGGCTCGCTATTCTCCAACAACCTCTTGCCTGCATCGGTATCAGGTTGCGTACTTGCCACCACGACGCCTTCTGTCGTACATGTCTCTATCTTTATCGACGATTTCGTTGCTAAGAAGGTAATGATGACTCACATAGTTTACCTGCCCGAGAAAGGAGACTATTACGAACAGTATCTTCGAGACATAAGTGATCGCATCACCCTTGTTGATAATCCAACTATCGAACCACGTTGCAGCGCTACTCGTGTTTTCCATTCGTCTGTGTCAAGGCAGAATCGATACAATTGTTTCACGTCATGTCAGTAACACATCGAAGTGAGAAGAAGGTCAAGCCGGGGTGGATGAACTTCCACATCTCACTGCAGTCATCTCTCAAGAAAAAAGACCTCACGGGTTCTTTGCATACTGTAGCTTCTGCCGTTCATGTCCATCCACTTTCTTCGGTATACTTTTTGATGGCATGATCGGAAGAAGTGAGTATTGAGCCAGCGCGCTTTCCGATAAAACTAGCATGACAGGTACTAATGAAATGGACGATGAAGAGTGAGAGATAGCTATGTTATTCGCGACGTCCATTGAGCTCACTTGCGCGATACATCTCTTGTAAATCGAATCAACTCCTACCGTTCCCGCAAGTCGTTTCTGTCACTGGTAGTAGACGTCGATGGTGAATCGTGAGGAACTTGAATCGTTTGCCGATTTAACTTCTTGCATTACAATATGCGCAAGCTACCACAACGTAGAGAAGCAAGCAATGCCTTTGCTCGAAGAAGTATGCTCGACCTGAACTGGCGTCGACATCTGCTTCAACGTGAGATAAAGCCAGAAAGCGAACGTCTGTTACCAGTGCAAGCAGTAAGTAATTCATCACCTGTAGTGTGCACCTGCGACCCAACTCACGGATACTACAAGCAAAAGGTTGCACCACATCAATGCCATCTTCCCCTTTACACTAACCGCCTTTCATCGTGTGGTCACGCACTTGCCAAACAGCAAAGAAAAAGATGCTGTTGGCCGTACAGGACTGACTACAAGCGTGCTTGCCGAGTCTGCATCCTTTCCCATGCACTACAACAGACTCGAGTCCAATCGTCCATACACCAAAGAAGCTGACAGATACTATCCAAACCGTCTTCCAATATGCTAGTGTTTTCCTACTTTCATGCCAGGAAAACAGAGCAAAAAAAAGCAGAGCAACCACCAAACCAGCAGAAAATCACTTGGTCTCGCCTCTCTTTCGCTGCCACGACACGTAACTCCCGGAACACCAGTTCGTCATCCCACCTTCAACTAGTCGTCCGACCCTCTTCAACTCGATACCATCAACTTTCACAGGTGCGGTCGACGGTCGAGTGATGCTTCATTTCCCACTCTTCCTCTCGCGGTCGTTCTTTTTCACCCGCGGTCTCTTCTTCTCGCGCCTCTCTCTCTGTCCGTAGGTCTCGGTCGCTCACGCGCTCACATTCATCTGCTGCTCCGTCGTACTGTCTATCTATTCCCGTCTCTCTCATCCTCATCCGACGTCTGTAACCCGCGCAACGAAGCAAAACAAAACCCACACGAGACCCTCGAGACAGGCTGCTCACTAAATGACGGTACCAAGCGACGTTCCCCTTCTCCCTTCTGCATCAATATCTTCTGGACCAAGGGATGCTGTTCAAGAGCCTGTAGCGGAGCCTCCACTGCCCACAGACAGTGGTGGGCAATTGGCTCTTAAAGTGCGGACGCTGGACCAGAAGACGTATCCAATCACGGTCTGTGCTGCGGCCTCCGTGCCCCAGCTCAAGGAACTCGTGGCCATGGAGACGGGGATCACGCTGGCTCGCCAGCGACTCATTTACCGTGGACGCGTGCTCAAGAACGACCAGACGCTGGCCTCGTACGCGCTCGAAGACGGCCACGTGCTGCACTTGGTCGTACGTGCACTGCCATCTCCTTCTTCCACGGACACAACAGTGACGGACCACGAGCAGCGGGGACTATCAGCTGGTTCGAGTGCAGAACTGAACCGTCCGGCTGCTACTACAGCTATTGCTGCTGCTGCTCCAAATGCACAGCTCTCGCCGTCAGCTGTACACTTGGCAGCGTTAAACGAGATTGACGCATTGAGGGCACGGCTGGACGAGTTTGACCGATCAGCGCTTCAGACGAGGTCGAGGTCACGACTACGCCAGCGCCGTGCACGGTCGCCGCCGCACCCACCACGAGATAACGACGAGCCAGATCCGACAATGGGACGGTCGGGTCAGGCGGCCTTACCCGGTCGCGTGCTCATGGGCGCCACCATCACGGTGCCAGAAGGCACGAATGTGACCATGCCTTTTCTTAGCTCGATGATTGCTGACCTCGCGACACAGGCCAGTGAAACTACTGGTGGTGAAGGAGGAGCTGGAGGCACGACGCTGGGTGTCTCACGAGAAGGACAACAGCATGTGACGCTTTTAAATGACGCTCCGGGTGGCGCGATTGCTGCTGAGGTCGATGTAGCCACTGCACGCGCGCTTCGTCATCACCACCGAAATCGCGAAATCTTGGGATACCAACGCGCCGCTCGACGTTCCTCTTCTGGTGCAGAGCGTCAAGCCGTTCTGCGCGCTCGCACTGGACTTCGACTCGAGTCAGTGCGCGCAACGTTGGATGACACGTCGCTTGATTTTCCCGCGGAGCTAACAGCTCTGCCTCAAGGTGACAACAACACAGCCATGTTAGAACTTCAGCAGCAGGTGGAAATGTTGCTGGCGCTGTTGGACCGCTTCGGACCAAGACTTCGTCTTCTTCCTGCTGCGCTTGCTCGACGAGACCACGTTAGCGAGCGAGCTGCCACTGCTGCTGCATCGACTGAGTCTAACATCGTCTCGGCCGATCCATCCCCGTTAACGTCAGCGTTAACTGGACCAAGTCCGCCATCTTCCGAGCTCACTACAGCTGCTACTGTAGCCTTAATCAGGTCCGGTCCGACACCAGTTGGTGGGGACAGTCCGGCATCCGTTGAGCACAACACAGCATCAGCGGATGCCAGCGTAGTAGCTGAACTCGATATTGAAGTAGCCGGGCCCAGTACAGCAGCAGCCGATTCCGCTTCTCCATCGACGGACTCTAATACTGCATCAGCCGAGTCAGCTTCGAGCAGCTCGCCTACTACTAACAGCGTTGCCACTACTGGAGCGATGTTATCAGCGCGCCAGGTTATCTGTATCATCGACGCCTTGCAAGCGATTGGAGAGTCTACCGACTTGCTGGCGCGTATGGCACGCCATGCGTTTGTTCGCCGATCTGTACAATCGGGCGAACCGATTGCACGACGAAGAGACGCTGAAGCTGCAAGTATCTCGGCAGATGACAGGATTCAAGCAAGGTTCGGTGCGATTCAAGCTGGCCCAAGCGTGGCAAATGCTGCACGGACAAGCAGCGCAGTAGGTGATCGAATGCATGAAGCTCTTGGCGCTATGCAAGCAGCAACTCGTACGGCGAGACAAGGAACACGACGTGCATCAAACGTGAGACCGCGGATAAGAGTGGCTCGCATCAGCGCTGCTGATTTGAGGGGTGACAGGAATTCCGCTGCACTAACGACGGTCACTACTTCTTCGACAGGGCACCCAGGAATCACACCCAGCTTTCCAGTAAATCTCGCGAGTGGCGCTGTAGCAGTGACGTCTGAAACAGAATCTTCTGCGCTAAGTAATAGCCAGCCTCCGACAGGAGTCGAGGCAGCTCCAAGTGACGACAACGGACCATTACCATCGGCAGGCGCTCCCATCTCGATCCCTAGCGTGAGCCTACCGCTCATGTCATCGGTTGTTTTCCCTTTCTCTCTCGCAGCGGGTCTTGGCGGTAGCCATGAGACTACGACTTGGAATCTGGCGGATTTCGTGAGCCGGCTCACGAGCGAGCTACCAATCTCGACTCTTTATGGCGTTATAGCAGGCGACGCTACGCATTTACACCACATATTGGCGCACGTGGGCTTTGCGCTGTTCAGCGGTGTTGATGTCCCGCGAGTGACTCGACCGAATCTCCGCACGTGGGTGCAGGATCTTACAGGCGAGCTCCGTCGTTTATTGCAAGTACACGAGTTGCCTGCAGACGTGGTGGATCAAGTTTATGGGACCGTTGAGCGGCGTTCGGCGTTGGGGTCCGAGCTGTTGCGCGCGATGGACCCGTTTATGGTTGACCTGGTCGATCTCCTTGTGCGTGCTACATCGGCAAGCCGGGCTGCTGCGTTTGGTACCAGCAGCGCAACTTTCTTGCGGAGGATGGCTCAGCAAGTTCTTTGTCAACTCCGTTGCTACGCAAGAGGCGATTCGTCGGAATCGGACGAGGAAAGTAATGAGCGCTTGAAGCGTGTACTGCAAGGGTTGCTGGTATGGCTTGGCATGATTGAGCACCTGGCGCGTTTCGTCGTAGACAGCCTCTTGTGCTGGACTGAAGGAGACAATCATCGTGTTCGAAGACGCCAACGTGAGGAAGTTATTGGCGATGTGGAAGTCGCCGATTCTCCAGTTGCCAAGCGCCAGCGTGAGTAGGAGAGTGAAGTGGATGAGCAGCAAGGACCATGAGGGCTTTCACTCCTGTTCGTCTTTGGATAGTAAGCTAGGACATATCTACGCAATGGAAATTGTCGACTTGAACACATGATCGATCACTGTCAATGCCAATCTAGCATCGTGTTATCAGTGCACATAGTGACAAGTCTACTACTTACTCGGCACAGCTACTTACTTCAGCAGAGGGTTCCTTGTTGGAAACTTGGGGTAGACGCGCTTATATAGGTGGAGACACACCGTGTCGTGCTGCTTGATGGGTTTGTTGAACACGGCCTTGAGGTCCCCGTGTGTACCCAGCGATTCCTTAATATGACCGGTCAAGCCGTGTTTCGTTGCAAGCTCAACAGGTTTGAACCATCGGATATCTTCGGGTGAGTGGAACATGTACCGCACGACCGCCTTGCACTTCTTCACCTTCACGGGTGTCCCCGTGATAATAACCCGCTTGAGCACAATGCGATCCGGGTTCACGTTCTTGAGCGTCCCTGAAGCCACGAACTGTCCATCAGGCTTGAAAAGCAGCAGCGAAGCAGGCTGGAACGTCACTGGACCATACACAGTTGCTACACTCCACCCACTTTGCGGCAGGAAGCGCTGGAAAAGGTGCTGATCACTTTTGAGACTCTGGTCACTGAAAATGGCCTTCCCCGAGAACCGCCGGAAGCCGCAGTGGAACGACAGCTCGTCTTTCGACTTCAAAGTCGCATCTCCAAACGACGCAGCCCGGTGGATGGAAAAGTTAAGCACACTCAAGCGGTTTTCGTGCTTCAAAAGCGCACCCATGACGAGAGGACCAGCTTGGATACGTGCCTGGAACTTGGTCACGGGCACGCATTTGAGGTGCAAGGTTACGAGCACACCGGACGGCACATAGCCCATGCTGCCAAACTCTTCCGGGAGCAGTCCACTAGCTAGAGAAGATGATGCAACAGAGGATGCGTCCTCTTCGACATCCTCCATCGCCATGGACGAAGCCCGTGAACGGGTCTGCTGGGTCTTGACTTTGCGGCGTAGCTGATCTTTCATTGCTCGCTCAGCGTCTTTGCCTCGTGCGAGAGCGAGGCGTTGGACCATTGCAAAGTCTTCAAACTGGAACAGCCGAGCATAGTCCATTGGAAGCGATTCCTTCGGATCCCACACACTTGTACGCAAGGACTTCATGCCACGGTAGCGAGCAAACCGAACGCGAGCAGGTTGGTCGATGGGGCAATCGACTTCATCTGGGAACGTCATGTTTTCCTCTTCATCTATGCGCTTCTGAAGCGGGTCAGCACAGTCATCGTCCGCCATGAACATATCATCATCCTCATCATCCTCATCTTCACCAGTCTTGCAAAAGTCCTGGTTAACTGCCGAGTCTTCTTCTTCTTCATCTTCATCAATATCCTTTATTGCATCGTCCACATCCACATCATCTTCGCCGTCAAGCCACGCAGCCTGGTACCCTGAAGCACCCTTGCTAGCTGCCGTATCCGCCCGACGCTGCTTCTTTGCCTCCGCTTCCGCTTCAGCCAATTCTTCATTTGTCGGCCACGTCTGTTCTGCAGCAAATGGGTCGTACTCTGCTTCAAACCGCAAGTCTTCTTGCAGTGCAGGGTCAGCCGTTGCAAGAACCAACTCTTCCTCTTCTGCTACAGCGTCAACCGTCGTCGAGGGGCGCTGCGAGCTCATCTCCACATCTACTTTTCCCTGCTGCACTTGACGCGCTACTGCGCGGGTAATCCGACTCAACTGGAACGTCCCCACGTCCGTAATATGAATCAGCTGATTCACTGACAATGGCTTGCCTCGCAAGTATCCATTCACCTGCAAGTCGCTGACCTGCTCCCCCTGCTGATTCTGCACGTCCGTCCCCGGTACAAACGTCGCCGTCGTAGCCAACATGTACGACCGTGCTTCACGCCAATGAATCACCTTTGGCGAGAGTGTAAACAGCAGTCGCGACAGCTGACCAGGCACACTGGCCATCGCGACTTTAACGCTCTCGCCAAACTCGGCCGCAAAAAACTTGTGCCCGAGCTTCTTGAGCTCAGCTTGGCCCTTCACCGTGTGCTTCTCGAGTCCTTGAATCACTCCCACCGTTGAAGGCAGACCTTGTGCACGGATCGCCGACACAATCTGCACGCCTTCTGTACTCAAACCTCCTTCCACTCCGTCCTGCACAGACAACACGAACACGACCACATCGGCCACTTTAGCTGCATCTAAGGCCACCAGCAAGTTGCAGCCACAAGCCACGACGCTGATCTTCTGCTTGTGCTGCAGGAACACGCCCGTCGCACAGTTCTGGAGCGCCACCACGTCGTCAGTCGATGGTTCTTCAACAGCAGAAGCTCCGTCCAAGATACTCTGCTGCACTTGAGCCAGCTCTGCCTGGTCACTGAGCCCTACGAGAGCTACAATCTTGGGCGGTCCAAGAGCTCCACCGAGGCCAAATCGACGCTGCAAGAGGATCTCGTCCCGTTTGTTGCCTCGCAGCTGCTTCTGGCGCTGGAGACGTACAGCTTTCTGGCCGGCGAGGCTCATACTGCCGATACTTGAGCCTGTACTGCGTACACTGACGCGGCGGCCTTCGACCTTGCCACCTAAACGCCGCGCCAGCAGCGTCTTGGACTCATGCCGCCCTGTCTTGTGCTTCTTGTTCTTCTGCTTGAGCGGCCCAGAGCGATGGTGGTGCGACGTCATGAGGAGATGCACAATGTCCGAGACGGCCGGAGCGCTGCTGTCCAGTCAATGGTTCCGACAACTGAGCGTGCAAAACCAAAACACGGTCGGACAAAACGACGCCGACTGGTCGTACACTTGCAGGCGACACGGACAAATGGTACGCTTGCGGAAAAAAGCAAGTCGACACGGCCTTGACGAGCAAAAAACGCGCTCTACGCCAATCATTGAGCTGCAAAACGTACCCATTTTGACAAAAACCGTTGGCCATGAGCGCACGAGACGATGTCGACGCTGTGACGCCGTCTGCGTACAGCGTCGCGACGCTCTCGGCTCAGTGGGACCTGGCGCCAGCCGTACGCAGCACCTTATCGACGCTGGCTATCCGCTCGTTCTTTCCCGTGCAAGCTGTGGCGATTCCCAAGATCTTAGCCAGCACAAATGACCGCGTGACGGACATCTGCATCTCGGCTCCCACTGGCAGCGGCAAGACGCTCACGTACGTCGTGCCAATTGTCCAGCGACTGCTCTCGCGTGTTGTTTGCCGTGTGCGTGCACTCATTGTCGTACCTAGTCGAGATCTCGCCGTCCAGGTGCATGCGATCGTGCAGGCATTTTGCCAGAACACGCCATTAACGTGTGGATTAGCTGTGGGGCAGAGCAATTTTGCAGTCGAACAGCGTGCACTTGTGGGTGATTGTCACGTCTTTGGACAGGACGTGAAGGACGCAATACATGGCGGACAGAGTGCTGTTGATATTGTGGTGGCCACGCCAGGACGATTGGTGGACCATCTGGAACAAACGCGCGGCTTTACGTTGCAGCATCTGCAGCTCTTTGTTGTCGACGAAGCTGATCGACTATTGAGTCAGTCGTACCAAGACTGGATTGCTAAGGTCTATAGTAGCATCTTTGCTGGACAAGAAGTGGATGATGACGTACTGGCTGGAGAAGCTTGTGGAGTTACTTGGCGGCGACAGGACTCGATTGACAGACGCCGGATTCGTACACCGCTTACTAGAGTACTGCTGTCAGCGACATTGACGCGTAACCCGCGAAAGCTAGCAGCTATTGGAATGAGTAATGCAGAGCTAACCACGATCGGACGGATCGATGACCCGCTGGCTGATAATGCCAAGCAGAGCACAGTCGGCGATCTGGATAACGAGGATGAGAAGGAAGGAAGTAAAGAAGTAGCGAGCTCGGCGAAGAGATATTCGACGCCGACAAATTTGGACGAGTACTGGATCGAGTGCGACACTGGATCAAAACCGCTGATACTGTTGGAGCTCCTCAGCGAGTTTGCCGGCTCGCTGTCGATAATCTTTACGGCGAGTGTGAGCTCTACCCACCGTTTGGCACGGTTGCTCCAATTGTACTCCACCCACCCGGAGCGTATTCGCGAGTTTTCGAGCAGTCTCTCGCAAAAGCAGAGATCAACGTTGGTAGCAGATTGTAAAGCTGGACGTGTGGACACGGTCGTGTGCTCTGACGCTATGGCGCGTGGTATGGACATCGAGGACATTGCGAACGTCATTAACTACGATGTGCCTTCGTTTGTTAAGACGTACATTCATCGTGTTGGTCGTACGGCTCGTGCTGGCCGTCATGGTCGTTGTGTGACCCTTGTGAAGATGGGTCAGATGAAGGGTATGATGCGCATGCTGAAGAAAGCTGACACCAACAAGCTCAAGCCGTACCCGCTCCAACAGGACCATGTGAAGTCATTGGTGCCTCGCTACACCGAAGCGCTTCAGCGGCTGAAGGAGACGCTCGATGCTGAAAAGGCTGGTGAGCTGCAGGTTACCTCCATGCTTCGCAAGAGGAAGAGCTCTGTGTGTAGAGACAACAAGGACAAGGACGCTATTGCACAGGACGCTAGTTTGAAGCAGAAGATCACCGCTGCAGACAAGAAGCGTGCGTTCTCAGTACTAAATGACCAGCTTGAACGCAACTTGGGACGCGTAAGAGCTCGTAAGCAAACATGATCAGTGTGTAAATAGATTGTCAGGATGAAGTCACGTGGTGACGCAACAATAGTTTCATTACTTGCGCTGCTGCCTCGACATCTACGATCCTCTATCTGTTGCTGGCTGCAGTCCCAGCACTTCCTTGTGCTCGTCACGACGCTTCCTGTTATGTAGCAGTTCGCGTCCTCTTTGCTCCATCTCGATCTGTATTCGCTTGAGATGGAACTTGTGTCCTTTCGAGCGCAAGTGCTCAGCCCATTGCTTCTTTCCTGTAAACTCTCGCCCATGACAGACTGAGCACGAGTTCCTCTGAAACTTGTCCTCCAGTGAAACTACCTCAGCAGCTTCAGGCTTTTGCTGCTGCACGGTCTGGTGACTCGTGATCTCTTCGCCTTTCAGAAACTTGCGAGCAATCTCGATCGCAGGATCCGCCACGAGCGTAGCCCATTTCGTGACATCGCTGCTGTCCAGTTGATAGACCGGTATATCCTTCGTCACGAATTTGTTGCGTATCCAAGAGAGCTGTCGGCGAGCATACTGTCGCGTGCCAATATTTAGCTGTTCGATACACGAGTGCAACACGGTCTCTAGCACCTTCGGATCGTCCGACTTGTCGTCAGCAGCCTCGAGCGCGTCAAAATACGACTGGAACTCCTTGTACCCGATAGCTTGCAAAATGCCGACAGAGTTCCGTGCTTCATCAGTGTCACCGCCCGGGTGCAGCCGTGGTGGATTCTCCTTCAGCTGAGCGCGCAGACTGCGGATCTCCTCCAGCAGTCCAGAACTCAGCATCGTGTCTACACGCTTGACCAGACGTTCACTCAGCACCGGTTTGGATGCATGCACCCAGAAGGCACAGGCATCGAAATACTGCTCGATGTTGCGCGATTCCCGTTCCTGCTGAGCCAGCAGCTTACTGTGAGGGACGCCGGTCTGTTCAAACACCTGCAAGCTGCGCTGCACCTTGCGTACGTTGTTAACATGCAATCTAGCAGCCATGACCGGGTCCACAGCTTGCAGTCGGGCGTAAAGGGCGTCTGGCGTACACTGTTCTTGCTTCTGCTGCTGCTGCATGGCGGACGCCTTGAGCGGTACGTCATCCAGCAACTGCGATTTCCAGAGAATCGACTGCGTGTAGTACATAGTGCCGCCTACAACGATAGGGACTCTGCCTCTAGCCAAAATATTGTCGATAGCTCGCAACGCCAGGCGCTTGAACTCCAGTACGTCACAGCAAGAGCTCGGGTCGATGACGTCAAAGAGGTGGTGCGGAACGCCTTGCTTCTCATGTTCTGTGATCTTGGCCGTGGCCACGTCGAGTCCACGGTACATCTGCATTGCGTCCGAGTTAACAATCTCCCCACCCACGGCCCTGGCCAAATCCACCGACAGCTTTGTCTTGCCTGCACCCGTCGTGCCAACGACTACCAACACCTTCCGCAGTGCTGCGAATCTTCGAACAGGAACATGTGGACAACTGCAAGTACCCAGCCAAAAACCACCGAGCCAAAAGAGAGCACACACACGACAATCAGAAGAAGAGTAAAACGAGCGAATGCGCCATTACATTCACCATCACCAGACACTCCTGCTAATGATCATCATCATCATAAGAAGAAGAGAAGAAGAAGAAGACGAACAAAAGCGAGCGAGAGCGACAGAGCACGACAAGTGCACCGAAACCAGCGTGTCCTACCTCACGTGTTTGCTTGCTTTTGCAACCAGGAACGCCGTGATGCTCTCAATTTTCTTCATCTCTCCTGCCTCCTCTGCCTCCATGTCTTCATTACTTGCGCCCGTCCCAGGCGCTCGCATGCCAATGGCCGCCATACTCTTGAGCCCAAAGAGGCGGCCGAGCGTCTTGGACGACACGTGCAGCACACAAATAGGCACGTCGTGCAGTCGGCAGAGCAGCGGCACGTGGCCAAACGGCAGCGACTCGTGGTTCTTGGCAAACACAACGACGCGCACGTCGCGTCTTGCGATCGCTTTCGCCACTTGCCTCACGCCTCGGACGCTGTAGCGTCGCGTAGACGGCACGTTGGCCACCTCTTTTTGCAGCCGATCCAGCACGATATCCCGCTCTTCTTTTGGCAGCTCCTCGTACTGCGGCGACGTCCAGGGCCGCTCGAGGCGCGCAGTCGTTGGCTGGCACTTGAGCGGCGACTTGGGCCGCTTGAATTGCATGGCGTGCATGTCGAGACATGTTTCTAGCCAATCCCGTTGCGCGAGACACGTCGCGGACTTTGCACCAATGACAGCCCGTTGCCACTCGAGTCGGCCAGTTTCGAAAACATGGCGATGTCGTCCTGTGAGAAATGATACGGACAGCGTTCTTGTCGCGTAGTAATCACTTGGAGTCCCTCTCAATTCGAATATTCTATCACCAACACAAGCATTGACAAAGAGACGAGGGCGAGGAAGAAGATGGGACGGTTCTTGAAGACGTCGCCTCCTGCCAATAGCGACAGGTACGCGATGGTCCCGCGCGAACAGGAAGAAAGCCAAGACACAGATCTACACGATGCGTCAACCGCGACGTCTCCGGGTGCTTTGGGGCCGTCTGCAGCGCTTTCAACCGGCGACGTCGACGTCGAAGGCCAGACGCTTCCACAAGAACAACATCAAGAGGACGAGAGACAGGACGAGGACGTGACGGACGACAAAGATACGGAAGACAAGAGAAGGGACGAGAGCGACAGGGTGGTGACGGCTGCGTCCACGCCCGTGCTCGAGCAGCCCAGCGAGACGGACGCCACAGACGGAGACGTGGTCGTCGACGTGGACGCGATTGACGTCCGTATTCTGGACTTGAATGGCAAATTCTTCAGCATTTCGTGTCGTCTGGACTGGAGCGTGGCTCGGTTGAAGCAGAATGTGCTTGAGAGCACGGACGTGGCCGTGGCGTCGCAGCGCCTGATTTATCGCGGCCGCGTGCTCGAAGACGAGGCGTCGCTCGAGAGCTACAAAGTCGAAGACGGACACACGATTCACCTGTTTGTAAGGGCTGCCACGACACCGGATCCGGAGCTCTTGAGTGCGGAGTTTCAATCAACTGGTAGCAGCAGCAGCAATTCGAACGGAGCACGAGACGATGGGGTTGCCATCGTGCATATGAACAGTGAAGTCGTGTCATCGGCCGTGTTCCCGTCCGACTCGGCTCGACGCGTGGACCCGTTGATGCTGGACTCGTCACTGGGCAACTGTGCTCGTCGTGTGAAGCTCTGGAGCTCGTTCTTGCTGATTATTTACACGATGAAAGTAATGGGCCAATTTGCGCTGCTTGCAAACGACCAGCAGCAACAGCAGCAGCGAGCCGCAAAACAGGAGCAAGAATCCTTGGGCATTCACGAACCCGATCGTCCGATGAACCGCTACGATGAGTTCCCGCAGTATTACAAGCCCGACCCGTTTATTGGCGGTATTGAGCTCATGGTACACTGCTTTGGTGTGTACGTTGGCTGTGTCGGCTTCAAGGCGGCACATGACACGGACATTCGGCCGATCCGTTTCTACTGTCGCGGAGTCGTCTGGCTCGCCTTTCTTACCATAGTAGAGCAGATTTACACGACCGTGCAGATCTCTGACTCTGACTTTCCGGCAGAGCGGGTGCGGTATCCGTACGGCGGACAAGGGCCTACGAAAGAAGATGTGGTGTCGGCAAACGTCTTTCAGACCATTATGCTCGTCGCCATGTGGCTCATTGCCATTCGCCACTCGTACATGCACCAGCGCGAAGTGACGATTTACAACCAGTCTTTTGCTGCAGCAGCAATGAATGCTGCTCCTCCTGTGCACCTGCCCGACGTGGTATAAGAGGTAAGCCGATGGTAAAGAGTGGTTTGTGGTTTATATCGGAAATACACATGTATGGAAAATGTGGTCTAGCACCAGTTTTGATGGAGGTCTCGACGTGTGGAACTGCTTGAAGATGATGGAATGCCGTGATGTGACATGCTCGCTTTGTGTCGCCTGCTGAGATATTGGGTGGTCACCACCACTGACGCTGTCGCGATTCGTTTGTTATTTCCATTGATATGTGAGGTACGAGCAAAACTTGTGGTTCTTACGAAGGGTGGAAAGTCTTTTTGAGGATGCGTCTTGACACTTCTTCCACGCATTCCATCGTCAAGTCTCCACAATAGAAGGGGTTCAGACATTAGCGAGAGCGTAATGCTGCGATTTCGACGTAGACGAAAACAGAGATGGCCCCAGGCGTCGGTTTTGGACGTTGACGACATCTTTGGTGACTCCAGGAGGAGAGACGCAAAATGCTGCACCCACCGGACGATGAGAGTGGCGATCCTGTCACATCCTGATAGAGTTTGCAGGAACAAAGCAGCACATCTCTGTAAACAGGATGTTGAAGACGATGAGAATAATGACCCTCACATGGCGTTAGTCACCTGCTCCGGCTGAGTCGTTTACATGCTGAAAACAACGATGGTCCAGACCAGACGATAAAGACCCCATAGTGCAAGTGAGGTGCTTACGTCAAACTCCGACCGCACAGTCGTGGTCAAACATTCAGACAGCTGATCAGTAGGCCATGCAAGCGGTCACGCAGGAATAGCAGCTTTGTTGTAGATCCAGGTCAGGTCCAAGCAGAACACAAGGTGCGGACGAGTACAAGCAAGCGTGCTGCATCCGCATCCTTTTTAGGTTCACTGCCAGCACTCGTAGAATGTTCCACCATTATCTCATTATGTCATGCCTCTGGGATGTGTTGGCTGCGCGGCGAAAGCTGCGTTTGTGCAACCATGGACGCAGTGCAAACCAGTCCGTGCGAGCAGCCGTTTCATGCTGTACGGCGCGAAGATTTCGAGCCATCCTGCAAAATTGCGGTGGTAAAGCCATCATAGTGTATAACTCTTTGAGCGCGAAGAGGATCACGCCATCGTCGAAAAAGGTGCCAGTGGTCCTTGATACTAGTGGCGCAACGTTCTGGACGATCAGCTTCAAACGACAATGCAGTGCTTGTCGAGACTTGCCAAAACTTGGTCCAAATCTCTCAATCAACACGACATTCACATCACGGTGCAGAACGTGCGACTCATGTTCTGTAACTGCACGGTCAAGCTGGCCAGCTGCGATCGATCAATCCCTCAGCCATGATCGATCATCATCCCACTTTCTCACATCCAGTACCCCTCTTTCTGCTTGGACTCTGACCAGCAAATGCTTCCTGCATAAACTTGGCTATGACTCACCGCTCCTGCGTACTTTGTTTCGTAAAAACAAGAATATGAGGACAAGGAACAGCTACACGCCGATGCACGTAAAAACGTTAGCAATACAGCAATACTCAGCAGCACCCATGTGGCGCTGCTCCATGCACAAACGATAACACGTACCACAATTATTGCTCCGATGGCGATGCTCATTTTCACGTTTTCCCACCACAAATGGCGGCGGAGATTGGTGCTCGACTCGGCGAATGCTGCAGACTGGGAGCTACAACACACAAGTACAAGCAAAAGCGGTTCAGCTGACAAAAAGAGCAAACCTGCTTTACGCAGCCGTCGTCTTACTTGAGTTGGTCCGTCTTGTCCACAAGCAATTCAATTTTATCCCCGCGCTCCAGCACTTTATCTGTTCAGCATCAACATACAGCAGCCACCAGCATCAGCCCTAGACACCCCGTCACGTCCTTCAACAAGACATACAGCCGTACTAATGTTTTCGTGGACGTTGCTCGCAACTTTGTCCATGTCGTTCTTCAATACTTGCAGCTTCTCCGCTCCTTTTGTCGACGAAAACGTCTCCTGTACCATACAATACAACACCACAAAAAAAGAAAACCGACCAACAGACACACACACACCGTCAGCACAACACCACAGAACTCGCCATTGTCGTGTCGTCCCTCCTCTCGCCTCACCATTTGCTTCTTCAACGTCCGTGCAAAGTCTCGATTCATGTCCAACTTGAGCTTCGTCGTCTGTCCTCGAATCCCAAACTGCGTGTCAAACAGCTGCGCAATGTACTTCAGGAACAACGCGGCCGAGCTGCAACGATTGCACCAGTCCAGCCACACCCACAACAGCAACAACAAAAGAGTCAGAACTGCGCCATGACTCTGGTCCTGGGCGTTACAAAACGTCCATTTCAATCCCCACCTCTCGCCAAACGCTGCGTTTGTGACACAAACGTACGCCACTTGGTGCTCCACGCGGTAGCTGTACGTCTTCCCTTCAAAATCAATCGACTCGACCGCGTCGTGGCTCAGCTGCAGCTTCTTCAGCAGCTTCTGCGCAAACTCGTTCATGCTCCTGTCGCCGCCGTTGCTGTACTCGGCCAATGGGCAGTAGCTGTTGGCTACGACGCAGTAGAAGATGGACATGGAGCTGGCTCGGGGGTGCCGTGGGACCAGTTCTCGTTTTGGGATTCGAGTTTCTATGGCGGTTCAGATAGGAGACGCAAATTGAGGAATGGTCGAGTCGAGTGAGTCGTCACTTTTTTAGAAGCCTTGTTTTGTTTCTGCGCTTCTCTTGTATACAGACTGCTTTACACGCGATTCACTGATGTATGGATGGATGGAGGTGTATACAGACTTCCTTCCTCTTTGGTGTCGTTTCAACGCTTTTACGGCGTTTCAATCGCGGTGCTATGAATGAAACGTTTATCAGCCAACGGCTTTCGTCTTTTTTTCTCTCGAATAAACGCAGTCGTGACTCAGTTTTTAGAATGCTGAGCGACTTTGGTTCGACAGGCATTTTCGAAGCAGGTTCAACCGACTTACTCGGCATTGCCGGGAGCACCGAAAGATGCGCTTGCGTTGACAGCGTGTGGACCATTGTGATGAAAAGACGTATGGCAAGAAGCGACGTGGAGATCGATGCTGGCGGCTGATTTTGGATATCGTCGACGGTAAGCAAGTACTCGGCATGACCGCAGGACGCTAAAAACAAGCTGGACCTGTGCACATCGCGATAATCTCTCCATGTGCAGAAGCAAGCAGGTTGTTACTCACAATATCGGACAGCTTGGTGCGTATCTCCACGAACAAAGTCTTGAAGCTAGCCCAGCTTCAGGGACATTCACACGATACATTTCCGTGCAACGAGAACGTGATTGTCGAGAACCTACCTCGTCGTATTCACCAAAAGCTACTTGAAAGCTCCATTCGTTTTGGCGCAGATTCTGGGTCTCAAGTTTTTTTCGGAGTAGTTTTTCCGGGAACCTGATGAGGTGCGCACATGGATAAAGTGCACCCTCTTGTTAGTAGGAGAGACCAAATATGACGGATAGAGTGCACTAGTGTCGGGCATGGACGGAACTACCCAAATGGCTGCAGGAAAAGGTGTGCCTTTGAATTATAACGTCTGATGCAATCGTGGGAGCATAGAAGCCGCAACGAAGATCATCACGTACGATTATGCACGTGAGCAAGAGCGTCTGTCTTCGCCCTCATCGATCGACCAGCGGTTGCAAGAATGAAAGTGCGTTATTCTTTTTACACTCTGCCTGTTCGTTACAGATAGCGGTGTGGAAAAACATCCAGTGACTCGAGCGAGAAGGTAGAAAAAGTGAAGGGTTCCGCCTGATTGTATTTGCTTCTCCTTGTACGTTTGATAACGAAGAAGGCGAAGCAAGGCCCATCAGGCAGTCCGAGCGTCTTGGAGATTGACATGACACCTCTTTACAAGCTCAATGTGAGAGCAGTAATGGGGATCGCTTTGCACGTGATGATGGGTGCGCCTGCGTTGACAGTCGCTGCGATGTTGCTAGATCAGAAGCTGGCAGACCAGACACAGCTGAACGGGTTGTCGGGACGCATCCTTGTAAGCTCAATCACGGCTTGGTGATTGTCATGGACACACTAACTGAGTGAGAGGTCTCTGCCAGCTGCTGAATGTGTTTCATTGATCGTCGACGTGCGTTCTTGATTCTGAAGGTTACGCAGATTGAACAGGTAAGGAAGCTGTAAAGCTTCGACGTGATTGTTGCTTCTGTACCAGTCATCAAGTGAACCGATCCTGCAGCCATCAAGGAATGGAAGCAATGAAAATGCAGAAAAGCTCGGCTAGAGCTGAAAAGTGTGACAGGAGCAGTCTAAACACAATCCGAGAAGCAGGGAAGGGAAACAAGATGCATTGGATGTGTCAGAACACGAACGCAGCAGCAAGTCATGCGCAGTAAAAAACCGACTCAACGAAGCTGGAGGATAGCGTGACAATCTGGTCGGTGTTGGTTGGTGTCTGCGCTCAGGCAGTGTTTGAGAATACCGGAATCATGACTCCATTGCGTAGCTCTGTTCGCGCGTTATCTACGCAGAATGGCAAAAGAGCTGATGCGGCCTTTTGAGTTCGGGGCTTGCTGGATCTACCTTCTTTTCACAATGGCGTGGCTGAACGCACTGAATCCATGCTTGTCATACATGTTGCGATCCGAATTTTGGTAGTATGGTACCATAAAGGGAGCTATATCGAGTGCAGTGTCGAACGTTTTCTGCCAGGGCGTTCTTCGCCACTCCTGCGCGGGTGAAGACTGTCCTGTGGTAATTGTGCAAGTGGCTGCATCTCACTGCTACGGATAAGTGCTAACAACCACGTCCAAACTCTGTCGATACCACGGCGGCTCGTATCTCGTGGACATGCAGACTATGTTGTGTCTAGCAGCGTAGCTCCTCCTTCTCGTCTCCTACTACACCACACAATCTTCACTCAAGGCGGCACTACGTACGTCCGACCATGTCGTTTCCGAAGCACTTCCTCTCCTCCTCCTCTCCACCTCAGCGAAAAAAAGAGTCCATTTGTAATTGCCATTTTCATTCCGCGTGACCTCTTCAGCTGCACGACATTAGTCCTGCTCATGCACTTTTTCACTACGACAACGTCAACTACGCAGTCATTACGTGAAATGCCGCTCAGCACATCCACATGGTCACTTAAACTGTGTAAAAGGATCCAATCGTGTGGACTTTCGCCACGATCTGCGCATGTGCCACTCGATCCGTCGATTTTATTGCCGCCATGCATCACACTCCGACGTTGCGCTTCGACTGGCTTCAGCGTGAAACGTTACGTCATCTCTGAAATCGGATCAACAACGGCGACAGGCTGAGTTACGACATCGACAGTACCGACGCAGGTAAATGCGTCGCGTCGGACGTCGCAGTCAGAATACTCTCGGCACTAAAAGCATGTTTACCGGCGACCAGTGGCGATGGAAAATCATCGTGAATCGATGGCACCGCAACGGCAAGTCGTACCAACCAACAAGTCGTTCTGTATCAAAAATGGTCCTTGCGTCCATGACGTAAACGTCGCCCCGCGACGATCGGTGCACGTCAGAAGCACTGAACCACGTCCGACAGAGACGCAGACAATCCGCCATTGACATCATTGCGGCTGAAGCACGTCAGGTACCGAATCAATCTTCCGATACTAATAATTAAACCTACTCGCTCGACGTCGAGTGGCGTCACGAAAAAGCGCGACACACATCCAAGTCGCACTTTTTCTGGAACTCCTCGGTGCTGGAACGTTCGCAAGTCGGTCGACTTTTCCGAAAAACAAAAGCCTCGTCTACCGTGTCGGTTTTCGAGTTTCGATTTCCCTTCGCGCGACATTCGTTCGTGCGAGCAACCTTCCGTCCACTTTCCGTCCACCTTCCACTCGGCGCACTCACTCATTGACCGTCGTCGTCGACCAATCGCGAGGGCGCGACATGTCCATGAACCGCGCGCTGCAGCTGCCGCTGGGCGCTACTGCGCCGTCTGTCATGGAGAACTACACGCTGGGCGACGTGCTCATCTGTAAAGCCAATCGCGGCAAGCAGCTGGAGGTCGAGACGCTCGTGAAGACGCTGCACGCGGACGTGAATTACCGCAATCAGGTACAAGTGCCAGAGTGTTGGTCACGCGCGCAAGAGAACGGCCACCAACGTGACTACGTGGGAGGTGCTGACGATTGTGAGGTTGCTTGTATGTTGCAGCATGGATGCTCGGCGTTGCATGGAGCAGCAGCAGCTGGGCAGCTGGATGTGGTGCAGTGGCTGGGCACGCACTGCAACGTGGACTGGGGCGTGACTGACCACGACGACCAGACAGCGCTGCATTATGCTGCTTTCTACGGACATTTGGAGGTCGTGCAGTTGCTGGTGGAGCATGGCGTGCCGCTTGATGTGCCTGACAAGTTTGGGCGCTTGGCGCACTGCTCAGCAGCTATCAATGGACACTTGGACGTTGTGGCGTATTTGCTGGAAGAGTGTCCTAGTCCGATCGACATTAATGCAGCTGATGAGGTGGGTGGTAGTGGGTGACAGAGGGAAAGAGGGACGGAGAGGGGGTAGGAGGAAGGCAAGATGTTGGACGAGTGGTAGGCTGATATCTACGTCCTTTTGTTTTGTGCAGTATGGTGGTACGTGTCTGCATTGGGCAGCATCAAAGGGACGGAAGGAGGTCATCCAGTATCTTTGTATGAAGGGCATTGACATTCACGTCACCAGCTATGTTCGTACACTAGCTCTTGTTCAGCGTCTTTTGGTGTGATGGGATTGGCTTGACTGACGACGGGCTGCTGCTTTGTATGTGATTTTCTTCGTTCTTGCGGACGACTGCACAGGATAATAAGACGGCGTACCAGATTGCAAAGGACAAACATAAGCAAAAGTGTGTGCAGTTTTTGAAGAGCTGGTACGAGACGTCGCAGGTACGGATCAGGCGCTTGTTGACATATTGGATAGACGCGGACGACTGAGGTGTATGCGGGATGTCCTTTTGTCTCTCGCTATGATCAGAAATTTGTTCACGGGGCTGAAGGAGGGGATGACGAGGAAATTGCACGGATCATCGCCGAAATAAACGGGGCATACCCTTTGCAATTTATGCGTGACAAGGTAAAAGTTCAACGCGATCGCATGCGCGAGGAGCTTCTGTGGAGCAGGCACTGACTTTGCTGCGCTGGTTTTGACAACAGAATGGCAAAAACGCGATGCACTGGGCTGCAGAGTTCGGTCATTTGTCAACTTTGAAGCTGTTGAGTGAGCACTTTACCGTTTGGACGGACACTGATAAGGTAGGAAACGACGGGGATATGAAAACGTTGTTGGACCATGCGTGACGATCCGTGTCTCGTCTATCTCTTTACAGTTTGGTCGCAACGCCTTGCATAGCGCTGCTCTTGGTGGCAACAAGGAGTGTGCGTTTTGGCTTATTCGGAAATCTCGGGACTCGTCGGAGTTTTCGTCATTGACGCTGGTCCGTGCTTGATGGTGATGGCTTTGAGGTTGGATGGTGTTGGATTGACTGACTTGTGTCTTTTACGACATGGCCGTTGCAGACAAACAAAAGTCCGTCGCGATGTGCGTTCGAAGCTGGTCATAGTTCGCTCGCTAATTATCTCCAGGCATGGGAAGAAGGCAATGACGACTATTCGACGAACGATGAGTCGTCTGCGTCATTGCCAGAGTGTGATGGTGGCCGTCTTACTGGAGATGAAGAGGAACATGTCGCTTCGCGAAGCAGAAGTGCGTTTGTCTTGAGCCGGTTTCGATACGGACCGTAATTGTTGCTCATTGTGATATGGTTTTGCTGGATCAGATATTGCGACTGTGTACAACTGGCTCAAGTTCTTCAAGATGGAAGAATATGCTCAAAATTTTGAAAAAGATGGATTTGATACACTGCGAGGTGTGGCTACAATTGATGAAGATGACCTGGTTGATATGGGTGTGAAAAAGGGTCATCGGCGCGTGGTACTCTCACATATCGAGGAGTTACGGAACCAATTGTCGATGCTGGACGAAAGCGCGGACGATGCCGGGATGGAGCCGCTTTCTTCGCCGACAATAAGCATGCTTCCGTCCATCGCGAAACAGTCGTCAACATCCAGTATTGTCAGTGCGTCTGGAGGTGCTGAGACGATCCATAATAGAACAGAACGACGAGGATCAGTGACGATGCCAGCGGACGTGTAGGTAAACAGCTCTCCGTCTTCGTCTCTTCTCGCAGGATGATCGAGGTACCAAAGAACGAGAAGGAGGAGGGAGTACCGGACCGGTGAAGCTGACGGGAGAAAGGAGGGTGTTAATTTTTATTAAGTAGTCTTTCTAATGGATGTACCAGCTGCTTGTCTGCGGTGAAGCAGTGCTGTTTCAACAAGGCGGCCAAGGTGCAAATAAGCTGGAGCTTGCCGCTGTACAACATGTGGACAACTGGTGACTTTGGACTAAGCTGAAAGCAAAAGGCGGTCGCAATGCTTTCATTGTAGGCTTTTGGCTGAACTATACCTGGCTGGAAGAATTGACCTGTAATCGACAGCAATGAGTTTCACATCGTTTTATGCAAATCAGGCGTGGGGTATTTTGAGGACGCATATTTGAAGACAGACAAAATACGTTCACATCTTGAGCGGGTTTACATCATGTCCCTGTTCGTCCAGATAGCCTCAATAAAGTCATCATGCTACTGAGCTTTGTAAAAAGGAACGTACCTCCAGAGTCTTTTGATCGTTCGTCTCCAATTCGTAGGACTCTAATTCCTCTGAAATAAAGTAAATTACACAAAGCGTGCGTCATCGAATCGTCTACGAGCAAATCAGCTAATGCACACGCAAAAAAACGAAAGGATTGGATAGAAACGGAACTGTCACGTTAGGCTGGGGAATACCCGCTAAACCGACTCAAGCCACCATGACTGGGAATATCGACGGCATAACTCGAGCATCCTATCGGCGTTATCAATATCATACCAGCATAGCCGAAAACATCCGTAAAACTATCTCGATACAAATCACCAGCTCGTGCTACTTTCGTAGCGTCACTTCAGAGCAGACAAAAACAAACCAGTGGTAAGTAGCGACGTCGAAATGGAGGTTCTCAAGACGGCAAAAATCACCAACGAAGCCGCGGCCAAGATCCTAAAGAAGTTTGTGGCGACCAAAGAGGACGAGACGAATGCGGATTTGATGGTGCGTAGAGGATTCGCAGTGTGGTTAAATGTGTGTACGTGGCCAAGCAGGAGTCTGTGTGACTGACAGCAGGATCATTGTGTACCCATGTAGATGAGCGAAGAGGTCAAGTTCCAATTGGTGCAGGTGCTGGCGCACTTGGAAGGCAAGAAGCCGCAGATCGAGTTGCCGCAGACGGAGGACCTATATGGGCAATACTAGCCGTGATAGATAGTGCCAAATACACTCTGCTTCTAGCTTGCATCGTGCGGAAGGCGTTCCTGTTACTCCGACAACGCAATGCAAACCTAGAGGAGACGAGCATGGACGATGCAGTGATGCGTGAAGTGCAGCAAGGACACCACAACAGGAACCGAGAAGCTTTCGAGCTCTTCTGATGCTAAATCCGAGTAAATAGCTCAGCTCGGCGGGCATCGGTGCCAGGGCGAGCAAGAAAGACCAATGAAGCCCGCAGGCACCTGCCGAGTCCGACCTAGGTCTGAGAATTGTAATGGAAAATGCCACGGACTACGAAGTACGTAGTCGATAGCGGTGACATGACAGCGTCCAGCACAGGGAGGAAAAAATGATACGTCATGGCACCCGATCGATCGGTCAAACTCACCGACCGAGACGCGTCAACCGTGACATGTCGTCACGTCTGGCATCCTCTCTGGATAATCGGACGACAATCGAGGAATTGGATGGTGCAGAGGAGCCGCAAGTACTTGCGCTTGTCAGCAATCTACCTGCAATTGTAAGCGTTTAACCAGATAGAAGTCAAGAGAACGAGCCCTATATTACAACAAGGCGTTCGTCGTGCTCGCACTTTTACATGCTTCAAGTACTAACTCGTGAGCACACCACGTCTTCCATGTGTTTCGAGCAACGAACGACCTCCTTGGTACAGTCTGGGTTCAAGCCTCGGTTTCCATGATTCTTGTCAAGCATAAAGCGTAAATTGTCATGCGGTCGTCCGAGTTTGATCTTATCATGTCGAATCGCAACGTTATGGCAGAGGGAAGACAAGCGAAGAAGTGCACAGCTTGATTCGCAGTGTCATCCACTGCTTGAACGCACAACAATAGCACGATAATAATAGCAATCACAGGGCTCTTGTTGCAGTGGCAAGTCGAAGAGGTGCGCAATGTTCCCAGTAAACGCAGCAAACGACAGCCAACCTGCGTGCAAGTTTTCGACCACACTCGCATGTGCGTCGTACCTGTGTCAACGAGTCGTAGCGTCGAGTGTACAAACGGCGCTGTGAAAACAGGCGTGATTGCCAACCGAGCACTGGGCGGCATCTGCTGTAGTTCAGACACTCGACAACTTTCTTGGCCGGTGGCAGAGCTCCTTGCCACGCGCTTACTGCTTGAACCCAGCGCACAACTAGTTCTCGCTCCTAGTCTTGTCACCACTTGTCATGCACGACCGTCGCAGCAGTAGCAGTAGTACCGACCTCGATCTGACGTACATGCCGTACCACGAAGGTCTCCTGAACCACAACGCGCCCCCTGTGCGTGGCAGTCTCTCTGTGCGCGTCCCTAGTCGACAACAACATCAACTGCACCCATTGCACGACTTGCAACAGTCGCCGTTCTACGGCGACAGTGACGATGACGACGTGTCGGACGACCCGGCATGGATGAACGCACCTCGAGGTAGTTTACAGCCTGCCTTCTCGTCCAGCATGATGAAAAAGGCGTCCAGTGTGTCCGTCACGGACTCCCAGACGTCGAGTCTCGCGTCCGTAAGCACCGACCGCATCGGTAGTGCTGGAGAGGACGACGAGCAGGAAAAGCTACAGTCGACAGACGGCGAAGACGGTGAGCATGACGACGGTGAAGATGAAGAAGATGATGATGATGATGTCTTGCCATCTAGAGTCGTGTCCACGATGCAGTCACCGACTTGTCGTGAAGCTCCTTTGCAATGCAAGAACTCGGCATCCACTAGCAGCGGACGCAGCTTGAACAATGCCGACGGTACGTCGATGACGGGTGTCGAGCTGGACAAGTGCACGACCGTATCAACGGACAACATTCCAGTTGATGCCACGACCGCAGACACGAAGGTGGTACCAAGCAATTCGACGGACACATCGGAGACTGATCAGGAGACGAAGGTGTCGGACTCGTCGAGTGACGGGGACCTCCCTCCTTCCTTAGGTCTTGCAGATGGCAGCGACCGCTTCCGTGAAAGCCTGATGCGCTACCGTCCTAGCAACCTGAAGCCGCAGGATGTTCGGACGGCCCTGCTGTCGCGTGATAGCTTGGCCCCTGAAAACTTTGAACTGACTGGCTGCTCCACGGACTTGTGTCGTGGCAGCAACATGGGCTCCAGCGTTGAACTCGCTGCTAGGGACGGTCGAACGAGCGACGGGGTCGAGCGAAGTCCCATCGTGGACTTGATGGCGAGCACCCGCATCACGAACTGCATGAACAAGCGCGACTCGGTCAAGCACTTTGGTCCGCGCGTGACGGAAGAAGGTCTCTCTGATTACCTGCGTGCCGCCAAGTCCGGCAATCTCCCGTTGCTCCGCAATTGCTTGCAAGAACGGAGCACCAACTTGGCCGAGCGCGACCCAGTGCACGGCCAGTCTGCCATGCACCTCGCAGTGCGCTTTGGCCAGCTCCATGCTGTGCAGTTGTTGTGTGGGAAGAAGACCCGCAGTCTCTTGATCGATGCTGTGGACACCCGACAAAACACGCCGCTGCACCTGGCAGCGGCCAAGTCGCGTCGCATTACCAAGTACCTCCTGGAACATGGCGCCGACGCCTCGCGCGTGAACAACCGGAACCAGACGGCGCTTGCAGTCCAGATCATCACGACCAAGCGCGACGATCCGCTTATTGCCGAGATGTTACTGCAGCACAAGACGGACCCGAACAGTCCGCTTGGCAACAGCACGCTCTTGCACAAGGCAGTGGATCTAAAGCTGTTTGAGATTGCCTACCGTCTCGTGCGCCACGGCGCTCGCCTCGATGCCAAGGACGCTCAAGGACGCACGGTCTTTGAAAAGGCCGAGCCGACGATCCTCCGCCAGCTCTGTGGCAAAATCGCGTACCCGCCTGTGTGGATCCCGAACGTGGCCCGCAAGAGCTGCATGAGCTGTGAGCGGCACTTCAGCCACCTGAACATTGGCGTTCGTCGTCACCATTGCCGTCATTGCGGCCGTCTCGTTTGTGGACGCTGCTCGCACGTGTCGGTGGAGAGCGAGGCGTTCCCGAGAACGTTCATTGGGCACATTGACCGGACCATGTCCGAAGAACGCTCGACGCTCAAGCGCGTGTGCACTACTTGCAGTAGCGTTTTCGACGAGCGTGCAAGGCAGGGAAAGGAAGGCTGCGGTGATAGCAGTGGGAGGTGGTCGGACGCCTTCATGGAAAGAGTTGTGGGCTGTGCGTGGGACGAGATTGAGCGCAAGGGCAGCAGCAGCAGCAGCAGCGGCAACAGTCCCGGCTCAAGTCGTCTGCGTGGGTCTCTTGCGACCTAGAGGTCTCCTCTCTCATTTCCTACGTTTGCTACGACCAAAGGAAGACAAGAGCTTGTTGTTGCACTTACGCAAGGGCGTGCGTGGTCTCCATCGCTGGCAGTGGAGAGACTTTGGAAGAGTAGCAGGTCCAGTCGTCACGTGGGTTGTTGAACGTGACGACTTGGTGGCTAGTTGCGCACATCCTGGTGCCAGTAAATAGAGTCGAGTGGGTGGGTGTTTGAGTGGCCTGCGTATAGTTCTAATGCATGGCACGACGGTACATGAATCACGTGGCTACAGAGGATGTACGCACGTGTGCAGCAACATTGTCGCGACCATCGAAACGGTCGACCAATTGAAGCGATTGAACGAACGAACGATTGAAGCGATTCGTGTCTTTCTGTGTGGCAGTTCCAGCTGATATGTTGGACAGGACCTGACAAAAAACATCCGATTTGTCCAAATTTAGAACGACGATGATCAAATCTAGTTGTCGAAACTAGACATCGCTGAGCCTCCGCTAAGTATACTGCAGCCAATCAATACTTAATCAAACAGGTTCCTACGAACCACCGCCGACTCTGTCCTGTCTGCCTGACTCACTGGCCATCCATCAACGACACGATCATTGAAGCTCCCTCGCCATGCGTTGCTGTCAAATGGTCATGGGTCCAGCAGGGACTGGAAAGGTGTGCTAACTGTTCCGACTGTATTTTTTTATTTTCCTCGTGCTTTGAATTCAGTATCTAGAGCTTCCTAAATTTTGAGTGCTTTCTAATTCACTGGCGAGGAGCAATAGTGTTACTGATGTGTCTGTCTGTCTGTGGGTGTGGGTGTTTTTTTTTGACTTGGGTGTTCTATGGAACTATGTACAGTCCACGTACTGCAACAACATGCACGAGTTCTGTGCCGCGTCAGGACGTATGACGTACGTTGTGAACTTGGACCCAGCCGCTGAACATTTCGACTACCCCGTGGCGTTTGGTATGTTTTTTTATGTGTCGACGTGGAAGTTGAGCCACTACCGGTCGGTCTAACGCTTTGTTTTCTCCTTCTCTCTCTTGGAATGCTGTGTAGATATTCGTGATTTAATCAGTGTCGAAGACGTGATGGAAGAACTGGACTATGGACCCAATGGAGGCCTCATCTACTGCATGGAGTGAGTCTCTTTTGTGCTGTTTCGTTTGCTGTTGTTCTGTGTTGAAAGAAGTGTCTTGGTGGAACGACCGGAGAGTCTTGACGGTGAAGTGGGTGGCAGATATCTCGTGCAAAACCTCGACTGGCTGCAAGATTTGCTGAGCGAGTACAGTGATGAGGACTACTTTATCTTTGACTGCCCAGGTACATTGTATATGCTGGAGTAGGAGGGCTTGTCGCTCGATGGTGCTAATTGTTGCGCTTCGCTCTTCGTGGTGGTTGTAGGCCAGATTGAGTTGTACTCGCACCTTCCAGTCATGAAACAGCTCTGCGACTCGTTAAAGGACTGGGGCTTTAACATTTGCTGCGTTTACTTGGTGCGTCTACGCGTTGAGCAACATTAACCAACGTGCTTGTGGCGTATCGGCGACTGACGTGACAATGCAAATGGCTGGATATAGATTGATTCTTTATTTATCGTTGACCCGACCAAGTTCATCTCGGGTGTGCTCTGCTCGCTGTCGGCAATGGTGCAGCTTGAGCTGCCTCACATCAACGTGCTCACGAAGTGTGATCTGGTCGACGAGAAAGAGTTGTCGAAGTAAGTTTGCGTGGCGGTTTTGTCGTACCTGGTCGCACGACAAGAAGGCGGGCGGAGTTTTAGGCGGTGACGTTTCTTCGTACTTGTAGGTATCTGGATCCGTCAGACGGGTACCTTCTGGAAAACCTTGCGAACGCCACTGATCCCAAGTGGCGCCCTTTGAGTTCAGCGATTTGTAACGTGGTGCGTACAAACGCTATGCATGAGCTAATTACCGCGACGGTCGACAACTCAACTGAATTCTAACTTGACGTTACATGTGGATTCGTAGATCAACGACTTCAATATGGTTGCCTTTGTTCCCATGAATATTAATCGCGAAGAGAGTATCGAGGCCGTGCTCATGCACGTCGACCATGCTATCAACTATGGCGATGACTTGGAGCCTCAGGTACGGCTTTAAACGAAGGTGTGACGTACGATGTTCGCTGACGAGGTGTTGTATATTGGATTGCATTCGCAGGAGCCAAAAGACCGAGACGTCGACGAGTGACGCGTCAACTTCCCGACCAGTGCTGCGGCGCTAGAGACAATTGCAGACGGATCGTGCGTCTGTCTCGCTCGGATCGTGCTGATTCAGTGTCTAAGACAAGTCGATCAGTGAATGAATGTGCAGCCGTTACTTCAACGCTTTGTGAAAGGGTCACCTCGTTGTATCGAATTCGCACGTGATGAGCCTCCAGCTCATTATTGCGGTCAGCATAGCTGTTACTGTCTACAAAACAAGTCAATTTCTGGTCGTAGGCTTGACGAATATGTTCAGGCGAGGTAAAACAACAGAGTGGCGGAGACTCGACTGGACGGACGTTGCAGGCCAAAGTTTCAGCAGCATGTCAGCTCTTCAAGTACTCGTTGCAATCGAAGCAGCGACAGGCTGCTACACGACTACCTCGTTTTGGAAGTTTGCACGAGCGAGAGGCGTAGCCATGCCGTACCACCAACGGTTGAAGCGTACGAGCATGACAAAGTTCACTCTGCAATTCGACCGGTCCTATTCAACCTCTTCACTCCCGACACACCTACTTCTAGCAGCGATGACACTGTCAGGACTCCTACACGCACTGGTCTTGGTCATTGCGACTCTGAGTGCAACAAGGGCAGCTGCTGATTACAACATCAACGCAACCGTCAGCAACACTGTCCAATATCGTGCTCAACAAGCCACGCCGGTCGACTACCATACAGCCATGTTGAATGCTGTGAACAAGGAGCGCGTCACTCGTGGCTTGCCAAAGCTTTGTATGAACAAGAAGCTGCAAAATGCTGCACTACAACACTCCATGGACATGGCCAAGAAAGGGTTCCTGGGCCACACGGGCTCAAATGGCTCTACCATCTCAAGCCGAGTCAAAACGGCCAAGTACCGCTGGACGTACGTTGCCGAGAACGTTGCCGCTGGACAGACCACAATCGCAACTGTAGTGGCAAGCTGGATGAAATCCAAGGGCCACCGAGCCAACATCTTGAGTCCAAAGGCAAAGATGTTTGAATGTGGCTACGCGTACAGCCCGAGTAGCAAGTACAAGCACTACTGGACACAAAGTTTTGCGTCGGGCAAAGGCGAAACGTGCAATTGAAGCAACCCGTCTGGAGGGTGCTAAGTGCAGGTGGTTAGATCAAGGAAGCAATGCATTATGTCTTGCATTGCCAAGACCATGCGGTAGGAGATGTCACCTTAGGAGTTGTCAGCATTGACATTGCCACGATAGCAGTCTCTCCCATAATACAAGGCAAATCAACATGTCATCAAACGCTAGATAAACAGCTTAGCTGTACCTTTGACGTCAATAAAGTCCAGCCTGCCGGTAGATTATGCATCTTGCCCAATCGGTCAGCAAAGACCACCATGCCAGTGTTGCCTTCTGAATCGTTTAAAGGGCCAAACTCAAAGTCTATACTTATGAACCCCCAATACCCAGTGGGTACAGAAAGACTAGCCAGCGGCGCTGCCGCATGTGCTGTTGGTTTAGTTGGTGACAGGTTTCACACGTACGCACATAGTTGCTCACCCACTTGTCTTTTTGGGCCACCACTAATGAGCCTGGCTCACTAAGCTTTAGGTATTCTTTTATGACCGAGATGACCAGGTAAAAAGCGGTATCGTGTGCCTAATAATGGATTCGATACTTCAACTCCTCATCAAGAGGAACAGCGATACGAGGGTTATCCTCAATATTCGTGCGATAGCACAACAGGCCATTATCGATAGAATAGCGATGAAGCCTCACAAGAAAGGTTCCGACAATTTGATGTCGTATTCTTCAAACTCATCGCTTCCAAAATCCCATAGAAAAGATACACATTGTGCATCCTTGGCATAAGCCGCACGGATCATTCAGTGACTGACGATGACAGCGTATTGACGTGAGCAAGCTCATATTCGGGTCGGCGCGATAGCGCATCAGCCGAAGCTAATTGCTTTTTTTGTGGCTTATGCTTCACTTTGAAGTTATATTCGGCAATGAATGAAAAGGAATCTAGCCATGCTCTGAGAGAGATGCGGAGACTGTGTCGCAGTGTGCAATGACGCACGATCTGTATAGATCACAAATGACTGTAATCCGAGCAGATGTACGATGAATTCGACTAGAGCGTACATCATAGCAAGTATCTATGTGTCATGAGCTGAATAGTTCTTTTCAGTAGCTTTGAGCTGTCGAGATTCGAATGCGATGACTCGTTCGCGTCCATTGACACCTGTTCGCAACATAGCACTGCCTATGGAAAAGTCAAATGCGTCACAGTCGACAATGCAATGCCTATTAGAATCGGTCGAAGCCAGTATTGGCGCATGAACAAGACTTTTCTTAACAGCTTGAAAAAATAATGTTCGGTGTTACCCCCAACACCAATCCACATCCTTCCTAAGGAGATTGGATAATGGCCGAGCCATATTTGTGTAATTCGCACTATGCTTATGCAAGTAATTGGCAAGGCCAAGCCACTTAGGTAGATCGTTTTAGCTCTTTGGAAATGACCAATCGACTATGTCCTTACCTTAGCGGGGTACGCTTGAAAGCCTCGCTTCCAATGAAGCACCCAAAAAAGGGAGTCTCTTCTACACCAAAGATGCACTTTATTGCATTTGCATACAGTTTTCTATTCATGTGCATACACTCGATCCCCGCTCGTAAATGATAAAATGGGATTATCCAAATCAGATCGGCCGTTCATTGCACGACTTCGGACAAAGATGGCATCGAAATAAGTTTGTGCATAGCTTCGATGATGTCTAAAAAGTTGCGTCATCAGACGTTTTGAAGTATCAAGGGCATTTGACAGCCCTTGTGGCATAAGGAGCCACTCCCAGAGCATATCGCACGGGATACTAGCCGCTGTTAATGGAATATCTCTTGATCACATGAGCAGATGATATTGAACTATCAACTAAGAAGAACGCACTGTATGATGTACATCCCATCATATTTTCTGAAGAACAACCCTTCTTAAATTGGTTACTGAGCCGGAACAGTGGCATCACTAAACATATCATGAGCATGGACAATGCGCCACTTACCATTTGGCTTCCCGACGTAAATTTTCGGTGTGAAATGGGAAACATTTACTCTCACGCACCGTTTCAGCCGCGTAGTTTGCACGAAAGAAGTAGTCAATGACGTCACACTGTTCTTTGGGAAAAGGCCAGCCCCGTGTTCTGCAGTATTTAGTTCATGGAACTAGGTCAATTTCATAACGTATACCTCTTTAAGGAGGTAAGACAGATGGTGGGTTGTGACACACCACACCTTATAATGTCTGTACTAAAGAATAGAATGGATCTAAAAGATCTTAAAAATTGACTATTCTCTCCGGTAACTGAAAGCCGCCTTGTTGTTCTCCAGGACCGACACATCTGTTAATGAAGACGGGTTCAACTCGACATCGCGTCTAACTACCAGTGATCAGGATGATTTTTCGCCTTCAAGGCCTGGCTAAACTCGCCATCATTCATTTCGTCTAACTCACATAGATCACGTAAAGACGGAAGGGTTTCCAGGCTAACATTTACCTCAACCTGGCCAGTCACTCCGCTTACAAGTGTATATCACTTATCACTATTGTCATAATATGTGACAGTCGGACGCCTGGAGCTTAACAGTTTCCACCTGGCGTCCAGGTCTTCTCTTTGTCGAGACCTTACACCCATCTGGGGTCGGGACGATACTGTTCCCATTGTTACTACTAGTACGCTCTATACGAGAGCCAATGTCTTGACCGACATCCGGTGAAGTGTTACGTAACTCAAGCACTCCACCCAGTGGATTTAAACGTGTCACTTCACGTGCATTATGCGGGCCTAGCCCTGAACTGAACGGCGTTTCGCCAAAAACGTCAATCCTGACATAAAGTGTGGTGCCTTCACGACCGACCACACTCGGTAAACTTTTCACGTGCCACCACACACACATCAAAGAAATAACATCATTGATATTTTACCCTAGGCCAACCATGCTTTAAGCATGCAGTGACTCGTCATTATAACGAGTAACACTCAACGGAGTACGTGCCTTATCACCAATAATCAACGAGCTAAGCTCGAAATTTATGTGTCTAACATTGGAGGTAATTACTCAGACATTTCAATGTCCAGCACATTGACATCTTCTGTCAAAGGCTCGAGACAATAGTGCTTTTGTTGCATAGCCAAGGTGATTTCATGACTCCCCAAAATTCGCTAGGAACGTTGCGCGTAGCGCCTACGGTCTTGTACCGTTTATCAATCCATGGATCATTGCGTTTAATCCAAGCCATACTTAGGATGAGATCATATATCGAGTCCAATCAAGGACAAGACAGCGTTGAATGATATTGAAGTCCACAAACTTTATACCCAAGTTAAATAGGACTTTAGGTACAGTGACACAACTTCCAGTCGCTAAAAAAACCGTGATTGAATTAATCCTATGCGCTGTAAGCGCTTCAGTAGTATGCTGAATTTCCCCAAGGTAGGGATGTCGATCATATTTGCCACAAGCCCTAGGATTGATTGGAATTGACCAAGGCTTTCAAAGCCTTCATCTTTCGCCTCAGCGACCAAAAATCCAGACTTTCATCCACGCTCCATACTAGTAGGTACGGTCCTCTTTTGGGGCAAAGCCCTGTTCAGCTTCACCTCTTTAAGGTGTTACGGAACCTAGTTTATTTCCAGTAGGGCGCCCGCTCCTACTGGGTGGCGACGCTTCCCCGTGCCATGCCATACTTCTGGCTCGGGGTAAAGTGTTGACTCCTAGCCTGGTACTGTCTACGCAAAGGGCAGCCAAACCGCAAGTAGTTAGTGCGTCAGTACGTATAATACCGGCATGCAGTAAGTTTCTGCTCAGCAGCTTAAAGCTCAACTTCACCTTCATCTTGAGCATAGCTGAGATCTATCGGTTACGGTCTACGAATGGCCGGAGTACTCATGGATTTTACTCTTGCAGAGCTAGGTTTGTACCCATTCCAGCCAAGTCTGGTCGGCTTGAAGTTATGTTCGACATTAAGAGCAATTCTCACAGCCTCTTCTGATATAGTTGGATAAACCCGATAGACTTTGGTTCTGGCAATAGCAGTACGGAAACCCTTCATGAGTTTCGTCACACGGACTGCCTCAGGCAGAAGGTCAGACTGCATATAAGCCATGAGCGTTCGCAGCTCTTGGACATGGTCCGTCAACTAATTCTTACCCTGAAGGCCTGATCAAAAGCGTGAACGCATGCAGTAATCCTGGTTAGGTGATAAGAACACCTGTAAATATTGTGACATGAGCGAACCCCATGAGGTAAAACCCTAAGTCGACCGAAGTGGCACACATCAAGGCCCATTATATAGCTCTTCCATCGAGATTTGAGATAGTCAACGAGACCTGTTGATGGTCAAGCTTGATCAAGCCTAATCTCATGGCCATCTCAATCTCATGGATCCAAAGGATGAGGTTTTCACCCTTCTTTCCCAAATGGTTTTCTTTGGTTCCACTTTAAGTAAACGAGGCCTAGCCTCTTCGTGTGTAACAGACACATAGCGTGTTGGTATAGCCTACGCCATTTGGTCTTGGACATGCCCTAGAAGGAGCGTTCTATACAGCAAGAAGCCCTCAACACGTGCTGTCAGTACCTTTGGGCATTGCGATCCAAGGGTTTTCACGTAATCTGAACCCAAAGATGTGGCCAGCTTATCATCCAAAACCTTTTTGACTCCAAAGAGGAAAAAACGGTATTTTGTATCATCAAAGAGGACCAGCCAATGAGATATTACATCGTCACGGAGGATCAGCCTTTAAAGACTCAGGCGTAGATTGACTACGATTGCTGCCAAGTGTAGCGGAGCATACAAGTCAGAGGGAGACCTAGTGCTCAAATAGCGTTATTATTTTTCAAATAACCAAACTCTACGACTCAACAAGCGTAAAGACTAAGGTTACTGTTCCAGGGGACCGAACGATTCAGTAAATCTACAGTACTTAGTGCTCAAGAGTAGCTACCTCAGGGAGGTGTTGCCAATTCTAAACGATCTACGATCGGAGACGCCTACAAGGCACGTATCTTACTTAGACAAGAACAAAAGAGGAACTGAGCTTCTTTTATACATGACTTCATCGAATTTCTTGATCTTAATATTACTTAATCTAGGTACCAGATCCTAAACTAAAATCTTCAAGATCTTTCCTATCTTGTGGCTAATATCGGTCAGCTCCTATAAACCGATAAGCTATTCTATATCTCTTTCAGTGGGATACCATCCCGTGTGTCTTAGACACAAGATTACCGAGTACCTGCGACGTGTAACCCCTTTACAGACACACAGGCAGAGAGTAGGTTTTGAAATGAACGGTATTCATCTTGTGTCCTGTCACTTATAGCGTAGCGTCACCTTTCAGGATACAATATGTAAACGACCTCATTGTCTACACTAGCGGCATAGCTCACACAGAAACTGCCTTTTGTCACTTCCTCAAACTAAACGACGGAACAGCACTAATGTTACCTGTGCCACACTTTTACAAATGCTCGCGGACAACGAAGGTTCTTACATGCTTTAAACAATGTATAACTAGCTACCCTCAAGTTACACGCCTAAATTATTACTGAATAGTGTCGTTGTCCGCGCACATCCAAGTAGACATACCGCAACAAAGCGTCACGAAGTCGGATTGCCATCAATGTCTCTATCGAGCCATGTGTTGATTCTTTGTCTATAAATAAGCGAGAGGGCGGAAACAAAGAGTTAGTAATCCCATGACTCCTACTGTCTCACCACACCGGATGGTTATTTGTCCGCATGGCACTTCCCTCCAGAATATGCTGTTAATTTCCCGATACATAGCGGTCATGTAAAATCGCTGGCATTTGGACGGTACGGGAGATGTAAGAGATTTGTTGCTGCGTAATGATAGAGTTGGTACGTGTGTGTGCACATCTCGGACAAAAATCTTGAAGAGTGAAAAATCGCGGATGTGCAGCGTGCGACGGCACGATCGCCGACCCGGACTTCTATTTAAAACTTGAAAGACGGCTTCACGACAACGTTACGCACATATTTACACATCTCTAGCGCACAAAATATTAGTGGGCATGGCAGATGATACTTACTACTGGACCTCCGCATAATTGTACGCCGGCAATTTGCTGGTATTTCCAACAAAATGCTTTGACCGGGATCAAATGGAGAGTAGACATGTATGCAAAGCATGCGAAACCTGGGCCACGACTTGACGTGGTTACTTTTCATACGGCCTGTCCGATCCAGCCCTTCTTGTAAGCTTGTCCGAAGTGACGATCATCAGGCGAAGGAGTCGGCTTTGCAATTTGATCGCTCGTGACATTCGTCGTTCCTTCTGCCGTTCCCCATTGCTTTTTTACTATGATGTACGTCGCCATGGAGCTCCTCAGAGATTGCTCATTCTTCATTTTCTGCCATCAGCCAACTTTTCTGAAGACTCTCACTGAAGCTCATGTCAGTTACTTACCTGCACGTGCTGCTCGTGACGCTTCTCGGGTTCTCCACAGCAGTTGCGGTCCGATCGATAGTAGAGCCCATCATCATCGGTGCCGACGTCGTCAAGAACATTACGGTACGTGTTTCGATCATCGGTGATGCTCTCTTCGAAGACATCTCGACAGCATCTCCGATACTCGGCAAGAGCACTCTAGACGACGTCAGCGGCCTCACCAACCCGAATTACATCCGGCACTTGCAGACTTCGTACACTTCGGTCGACTTCCGGACTGGAATACTAAATGCCGTCAATGCGGAACGCGTCGCCAGAAATCTGCCAGAGTTATGTATGAATCTGGAGCTCCAAAACGCTGCCCAAGGCCACTCCAACGACATGGCGGTCTACAATTACATGGGTCACACAGGCTCAGACGGCTCGAAGATGTCGGGCCGAATCGAAGCTGAAGGGTACCACCGGATCGCTTGTGGTGAAAATGTGGCAGCAGGCCAAGTATCTGTGGAACAAGTGGTTGAGGCATGGATGGCGTCTCCTCCGCACCGTGAAAACATTTTGCGCGAAAAGTTCACCATGCTCGGCTGTGGCTATGCGTACACTGATAACTCCACCTACGGCCGTTACTGGACCCAGAACTTTGGAACCAGCACGAACGAGGAGTGCATTTAAATGTTCAACACTTTGGCGCCATTCAACACAGGTAGTTCTTGTACTCGTAAGGATATTGACTATCTGAATATTCAACATCGCTTGGCCGCCAAATAGCTGCTCTATTTCCACATCAGTATTTTGAAAAGCTGCAGTAGCTACCGCACAGCCGACAGAGGATCGTCGCGGCAGCCGGCGAAGTGAGTTTAGTGTCATCGACACGCTCGGAGTTCAATAGATAAAAAGGGGTTGTACCGCTTGAAAAATCAATTTCAGATGCTGAAGCCCCACAACCCATGCACTTCCATACTTCCATGGCAGAAATATAGCGGAAGGAGAGGAAGCATCTTTCCAATGTGTGTCCGAATTCACAAACGATCTCTAGCTCGCCAAACGGGACACTCGCTTCGCAAATGAAGCACGTCTCTCGTGAAGGTGGCACAAATGTCGCAGCAGCTTTGTCTACATCTTCAGTAGACTGGTCCTCACTATTCGCTTTTGCTCGAACGTACGCACTCCAAACGGCAGTCCCCGTTGAGTCCAATTGATCGTAGATATGCGTAACGAGAGCTTCACTGCGGCGCGTCAGCGGATTCTGCACACTAAGAAAATCTGCCATTGCCAGTGCGCTGAACTGCATAGTCGCAGAACTGGCAAGATAGTCGTGAAGTGCCAGGTTGGCCTTCTTCGACGCCTCCAGAACTGACGTCAAACAACGCTCCGCCCAGTATACTCCCAAAGTCCGTCGTAACTTTGCTAGGACGACATTTTGAGCCGCCACTTGATGATCTGCAGGTGTGATCGCACTGCGGAGCAGCAAAGATGCCTGCAGGAACAGCGGAATAGGGAGCGTGGTGTCACTTCTACCAGAGTCGATATCCTGAACTGATTCGAAGTAGCGCTTCTCAAGCTCCTCACACAGGTGTAAATACATTGGTTGGCGCGCGAGTATCTTGTTCTCGCTTGCTTCGCCATTAGCACTCTTGACTTCGTTCAACATGCTAGGAATGGCCAAGTCCGTTGCCCCATTCAGCGACATCAGCGTCGCGTTGTCGTTATAGCATAACCACACCACGTCCATGAAGCTGCCCACGGACTGACCCTCGCTAAGAATGCGAAACACAATTTCCACAAAGTGATCAGACCTTTTCACCAAAGGCGATGGAATGTACTCGAGTGAGCTCGACACACGGCTGTAAGAAACGTCAGCTTGTGATTTGCGGTTGGGTCGGGACGCTGGAGGGATGATGAAGACACACGCCAACTGCGCCGAGCTTGGCGACATTGCCAAACCAAACACGGGATACTTGCTAATGCTCGAAGCAGCAGTAGCAGTGTCACGAGGGCTCGTACCCGCTGAGTCAGTAGAAATCACGTTGCTGGAGTAACGTAGAATGCCTGTGGCCTTCTCCCACGCTTTAATTGTTCCATCCACTGAAGCTGAGAACACCGTGTCTCCAAAGTTGTTGATGTCAAGTCCAGTAACATTGCCATCATGCGCCTTCCACATCACGTTTGGTTGTGCTTGCTTCTTCTTCTTCACGTTCCAAACAGATATCGTTGACCCTGACGCGACAATCAAATTATTTGTCGGACTATTCGAGTACGTCCAACGACTTCCCATACACAAACCAAAGACTGGCTGCGAATGCGGTGTCACAATAACGCGATCTACTGCTAGCTTCTGAGGCACGCCATCACTCATCGTAGTGGACCTCACCGGAACGTTAGCAATAAGCACATAACCTTCCGATGTCCCAAGTGCCAAACCAAGGTCTTGTCTCGTCGCATAAGCTGTCCCATGTCGATGCATTTGCTGCCATGTACTCGTGGAAACCCACCCATACTTTTCAGTGTCAATCCACGCAACCGGGGTCGACGAAAGGAAAGCTGACATCTCCTGGTCCGCCACAAACGACGGATACTTATACGTCCAAATGGTGCTCACTTTCCGTCCCGACAGTGCAATAAGCGACACAGTATTTCGCTGATCCATTGTGACCATAAACGGCGACCACGCCATCGTGAGTGTCGACATCATGGCACATTTATGCGCATACTCCGCAACAGAGTTCCTTGTAGCAAGTCCTGTATCTGGGTTTAGCTTGCTCTTCTTGTTCGTCCACTTTGCCGACTGGTTTCCACGTGATCCAGCCATTGCAGCTACACTGGACGGCGATTGCATACTACTCACCAGTTCATGTGATGGTCCAAGTCGAAAGCTATTTTGCTCAAGGAACTCAAACAGGGTTTCCGAAAACACGGCGACTTGCTTCCAGTCCATATGAAAACTCGACGGAAAGTGCAACGTCACTCGGGACGCGGCTGTGAGTGCCAAGAGCGCACACGACGAGTTTGGCGCAGAGCCTCGAGGGCCCCATACTGCTGCGACGAAAGATCGGCCTGCGTTCTTGGACAAAGACAGTTCCTTTGGATTGTATTGATGCCGATCGCTCTCGTGCAGCAAAAAGTACGTGGTACTTGCTCGAGGGAGACCCGCGTCCAGGGACTCCATGACAGGAGGAATTGCAACGGGAAAGCGCTCGTTCTCGATGGTGTCCGGGAGAAAGACAAAGTCTTTTGATACAGCTGGACCTCTTGGCTGGAACATCTCGAGTTCGCGACTGCGGAACGTGGCGACGAGGACGCTTGAGTCGGACACGACAGCGAGGCGACTGTCTTCAGACCATGAGACGCCACCCGGGACTAACGGGCTGCCAGGGATGCGCTCGCGAGACTCGACGTCGAGAGGCAGCGGCGCCACTTGAGTGGTGGCCATGATCGGGAAAAAAAAGTAAATGTGTGGACAAAATGTGACGAGAGAAAGACTTTTTTTCAATAAATGACGAATAGATTGACATATTATTGCTCGATTTGGTACGTTGTTATCCATGCCAACGCCAATGTCACAGCTCGTGGTATCTGTTGTTTGCTGCTTTCGCTTTCGCTGTAATGCTCGATCCTCATCTTGTGATTTTGCATACAATGTCTGTCACGTTCGCGGCTGGGCTTGTAGATTGATCGCACTTGGCTAGCACAGTGCCAACGTCTGTCGCTGCTAGAGGCTTCAAAAAACACGCTTCAGTTTTTCAGTTCAGATTCCTCGTTGCTCTGACAGGATCTCGAAGCGCTGAGAGTTGCTACAATTAAGCTGCTGTTGTCGCGACCGTGGCCACACTTTAGATCACCATGTTCACTGTCGTCTCATCAGTGTGGTCTTCTGATCCCTGTAGCCACCAAGACCAACATCTACATCGCTTTCAGAGACCTTCCATTCTTGACACCATTCTGATCATCACTAGTGCACTCGATCACACCCAATGCCTTCAGCCTTTTCGGTCGGTACAGATGTCAAGACGACAGAGTGCACAAGATCACTTTCACTCGTCCTTATGCACATGCGTCGCGCGTGTCTTCATCGTCACTCAACTCGATATATAATTCCTGGTCGTCTTGAGTGTCCATCAGAACAAATTCCGGCTCGACGTCCACTGTGTCGCCTAAGCTGAACGGGAACAGCCACCGAGCGTCTTCCCGATCCGTCGATGTCTGTAGTCAGCCCCGTATTTCAGTCAACGGAAACAAATGAGCATTTACCGACCAATTGACGCGTTTCACATCAAACGTACCAGCCAGTTTCTGCCACGTTCAATAGACGGGCAGCCATCGCGGCACCCGCGAGTTGACATGGGGTACTTCATCGCTGAAAAGTAGTGGTCCATTGCAATGTGATACTGCCGTTCCATCTCCTTCCACCCGTTCCGCTTCACGAGCTCGTATGCAATCACAAACACATTAAAAGGCCGTGCAAAAAAATTTGGATTGCTGTCCCGCAACCGTTGCGGCAACGTCCTGGCCTCTTCATCCAAGTCGTCCATAGACTTCCACCGTACCGGTGGACAACTCGGAAACAAAACCTGCTGTCCCGCGTACACAGTAGCAGGCGGACAGGCCAGTACGCCTTGCTGTTGGTGGTACAGCTCGCTCACGATGCGACTAGTTTTCGGGTCAATGCCGCCATGCACGTCCAGCTGGTGCTCAAAAAGCTCAATAAACCCTGCAAACGTGATCCGACAATTCTTGTTACTGCATTGATACGGCGGAAGCGTCGAGCTCCAGCGGCGTTCGTGCCGACACGATAAACACCGACATAAGCAGCGCTGGTTCTGCTGGACAAGAGTGTTTTCGTCCACGGAGTCGCGCAGATGCTGCGCCTTTTCCCAGAACGACGTCACTGGCAGTCCAGTAGACGAGCGGAACCGTTGTAGACGTCTCAGGCGCTTCATTGACTTGGAAACAGACGCTTTGCGACGATCGCGCTTAACCAAAGTGCCGGAGGGGTGAAGCCGCGTGCGCTTTTTACACAATTGGCGCAGCGTATGGCAAGAAAGTGGAGCATGAGTGAATACAGGAGACTCTCTGGGGTGGATACTGGCAGTTGACGCGTCAGTAGCGTGTGGAATTGACGCCATGTCGTCTGTACGCGCGCCTGACGGGCGACGGCCGACCTCCATGTCTTGAAACCTGACTGGATGCGAAATGAGGCGATGGAGAAGGACGATGATTGGTTGATATGCGGCCAGCATCTGTCGTGATGGCGCCGGGGGTTTTAGACTTGAATCCGACTGGGTGAAAAAAGAGCGAAGGTGATTGGTTAAAAGGCAATTCCCAGCCGTGACAATGACCTGCACGTCCTTGACCGAGACTTTTGACAACCATGGCCGAGCGTCCAATAGAAGAGGAGAAAGCAGCGCTAATGGGTAAGGACGATGCGTTTAGCTGCTGGTAGTGGTTGATATGAGATCACGGTTGCTGTTCTATTGATTGACAAGTAACCCGTGATTTGTTTTGCTTAGAAAAGGCCAAAGCCGCGGTCAGACACATGCTTGTAGGCGCTAGCATGGCTGGCGCGACAGGAGCTACTGTGGGCGTTGTACTAGCAGCGCTGCGTAACGAGAGCATGAAGTTCTATGCTGCATCAATGGGATCCAATTTCTTCTTGCTCTCCTCGACCTACATAGGTGCGAAGGAAGGAGGAAGGGCAAATTGCTCGTCTTTTCGTCATGCTATCGGTGGGACGTGTTCGATGTCGATTCCGTATTGATGATCAAGCCCTATGTGCGTCTTCGTTCGTGTGTGATTTGGAGCAGCTTTGGAAGAAGTGGTTGCTGACAAAAGGGGTGACAAGAAAGACTGGATCACGGGAGCTACTGCTGGTCTAGTCACCGGAGGGTTCTACGCTGGTGTCGTCGGTACGGCTGACGACAGGAGATGTCATTGCGTGCACCAGCAACACAAGGAAGTAATTCTCGTATACACTGACATGTATATTCTGGTGATTCTGGTGGTGATCAGGTGGTCGAGTGCGCGGTGTTCAAGGGGCTGCTGCTGGCGCTGCAGTAGGAGCGGCTGTGGTTTTCGGTCGCGAGAAGTTTCACGAATGGCGTTTGAGTAAAGGCGTGCAGCGGTACGAAGCAAAGTATGGCGAAGCTCCTGCCGTGTACCATCCAATGACTGCAGTGCTTGTGGAGAGCCAATGTCCCCCGAGAGAGCTGGTGTTCCCGTCGTTGTTGCCAGCGAGCATAAAGATTTCAGAAGAGGAGATTGAGCGCCGTATCGTCGCCCGTATGGATGAGCTCCGAGAGGAAATGCAACAACACGAAGAAGAAGCGAAAGATGCAGACGAGGAAACATCACTGAAGAAAGAAGACGCCTAGGACAGCAGCAATTCGCAACAATGAAAAGACGTCAAGTGGATACACGTGCTTGACATGTCATCGCTATTCGCGCTATTCGGCGACATCTCCTTCTCATTTGTCGAAATTCCAGCCTCCTTTTTGTCCAATGTCGAGCGCGAGTGATCCAGTGGCCTCTCCACCAGTCAATTAACCTCTTCGATGGGACCAACGTTGAGTCGAAGGCACTTGCGAACTAGCTCTCCTTTGCTCCACGATCTATCAAGATGCCCCGCCAGCTTCTTGCTACCCGCTTTATCGCCATTCCTGATGATGTGAAGGTCATTCTCGAGGGCCGCAAGGTCACTGTGAGTGGCAAACGCGGTGAGCTGACCCGTGACTTTCGTCACCTGACGCTTGACATGCGTCGCGTCAACAAGGAGCAGATCCGTGTCGACCTGTGGTTTGGCAACCGCAAGCAGCTCGCTTGTGTGCGCACGGTGTGCTCGTTGATTGAGAACATGATCACGGGGGTGCGAGTTGGGTTCCTGTACAAGATGCGCTTCGTGTACGCCCACTTTCCCATCAACGTGACGTTTGAGAACAACGTGGTGGAGATCCGCAATTTCTTGGGAGAGAAGCGCGTGCGTCGTGTGGCTCTATCGGAGGGTGTTCAGTACGTCCGCACGGGCGACGTGAAGGACCAGATCGAGCTGAGCGGTATTGATCTGCAGAAGGTGTCGCAGGACGCCGCCAATATCACGCAGGCCTGTCTTGTGCGTCGCAAGGATATTCGTAAGTTCCTGGATGGTATCTACGTGTCCGAGAAGACCCACATCGAGATCGAGGAGAGCTAGAATGCTTGATACCAGAAGCCACGCTTGTCATGGAGTAAACAGGTGCTAGGACGAGTTCGTAACAGGTGCTAAATAGAACCAATCGTGCTCATCTGCCGTCACTGGGTTGATTGCAGCGCTTTGCTGCTTTCTTCTGTCCGGGCGGATTTTGTGTTGTGCATGGCGAAAATGTGGGTGGACTGCTCTCGGTGAGCAGCTTACTCGATTGGGTCTACAGCTCGCATAAAATCCTCCTTGTGTATCATCTTTTGTCCTCTGCCGTCGGTAGCATCAGTCGTGGTACCCGCTTTGATTCCACTCTCGCGGTCACGCTTTTATCTGTAAGTCTAATTGTCGTCGCTACCTTTATCGTCGCCACCTTTGACGTCGCTCTCCGTTACGTGTACATCGCTCAAAACATGTCGAAAGGGTTAGCTGGAGAGTCTGCCGCCTGCGCTGAAGCGGGCGCACTTGTATAGTCGCCGAACCTACGTGACATACAGAGGCACATGTGACGATCATAGCAGCAGCTGCTTAAAGTTATAGCAGTCCAAAACTTACGCATCAAACGTGGTGTTCTGCGTTGGAAGTGGAAACGTGGTATTCATTCGGGTTTGTGGCCTAGCGCACAGCAACAACAACATCAGCACTTTCATCCATGACCATATCACGCTACAAAGTACGTACTGTGCGTAAGATAACGACCCTGAAGGCACTGGAATCGTTGGTGCAACTCCGAACGAAGCACTCATCTTCGATTGGGTTGCAGGCGTCGAAGTGGTCGTATTACCCGACGTGCTATCGTTCGTGCCACCGAGTACCAGGTTGCTGATGTTCAGTGACGCAAAAGGGTCGTTGATCGTAGTCACAGATGCCGGGGTCTACGAAGCAAAGTTACAACGCAAGTTAGCAAAACTTCATACACAGACACAAGTAGCTGGCACTGCTACGCTCACCTTTACTGGAATCGGCGCAGGATGAGCACCGCTGACTACGTATGGCGGAAACTGACCGTTATACTGCTGTCCTGTTGGCTGCATCAATTGCTGCTGACCGTAATATCCTTGTTGCTGGCCATACCACTGCTGCCGTTGCTGCACGGGTTGTCCCTGGGGAAGCAGTTGCATTGGTTGCTGCATTTGCATACCATACGCATTTTGGGGCTGTTGCTGCTGTGGAAAACCGCCATACAGTTGGCTGGTTGTACCGCTGCGTTGCTGCTGCTGAGATGCTGTGAACCCGCCATTGTTGCTGTCTGTACCGCTGACGAATCCGAATGGATCCTCCATCACGGACTGTTGCAGACTGACACTGTTATACCCATGGAGACCTGTTGATGGTCCAAATGCAGAAGCAGCGCTTTCTGCAGTAGGTGCGGTTTCAATGCTCAGCTTCGTATTCTCAAACGCTGCGAATGGATCAGCAGCAGTAGGGGCAGGATGCTCGGCTGTACTGGAGAAAGGGTCCAAAACCGAGTCCGTCCGCGACGAGCTAGTGGAGCCCGTGAAATCCCCGAACGCGTCTTCGCCTACACCAACTGCCCCAAATGCGTTGCCGTCCGCCAGCGAGGGAGCCGCAAATGCATCAAATACGGAAGGTGATGATGACACCAATGGAGGGTCAAACGCATCAAATGGTGAACCACTCTCCGTGGATTTTGCTGGTGATGCTGCAGCTGTCATGTCGCTCAATGGGTCGAGAGATGCTGCACTGGAGAGGCCATCTGCACTTCTGGTCGGCGTCGGCGCGTCAAAATGAAATGGAGACGAATCTACTGACGTCGGATGGCTCGCATTGACAGACGCTGGTGCCGGCGCATTGAACCCGAATGGGTTGTTGTCTTGCTGCGGTGAGCTAAGACCCATGAGATCCTCCACAGCTATGGTCTTGCTGGCATTGGATGCATTAATGATTGATCCAGGTGGCGGCGGCATCTTGAATGAGCTAAATTTCGACACTTGTGAAGATGTAGGTATCGTCGACGTTGCCTGCTGAGTTGCATTTGTACTACCGCTTGATCCCTCAAAGTCGCCAAAATCCGTAAAATCTCCACTATCCTTGTTGTCAGGTGCTGAGTCATCAAAACTGCCAAAGCCTTCGAACGACCGCGCTACTGTAGCTGCCGTTTGACTGCTACCTTCGAACTTGGAAAAGTCTCCAAATTCGCTGTCAGCAATACACGGTGCCAACTTTGCACTGGACGGAACGATGATGTCGTCACTGTCGTGTTTCTTTACTTTCTTCTTGCTACTTTTCTTCTACAGAAACACAAAAATCAACCGCTTGCGATGTTAAATACAATTACGCGTCAACGCAAAAAAGACGAAGACCAAACCCACCGATGGTCGCTTTGACTCGTTGTCCTCAGCAGGCTCGTCCACCCACCTGTACTCCATCAAACAGAAAAACGTATCGCCGTAAGGAAACAAGTAGATGCAACAAAACAACAACAGCGTCCCCTCGTGATGATCGTGTCGTACTTGCGGTCAATGTACGTCAACCGAATAAAGTTGCGCGTGCGCTCGCCGTCGTTGCCTCCATTCGGCCGAAACGTCGGGTCATGCCTGCTTCGCCAGTACTTTTGTGCCGCCTGTCACCAGCAGCAACATAACCAAGAGCTCCGTCAGCATAGCACAGCACAGGTCTAGCAAATGGCAGCACGAGCTGCTCCGACCTCGTTGCCTCCGCGATCAATCAATTGCTGTACTTCTTTCTCCGTGAACTTGGACATGGAAATTGACTTGACGCGATGGGCAAACTCACGACTGTAATCACACACAAACAATGTCAACATGACAGTTACTTCAGGACCCTCAAGCTCACAAATGCGTCGGTCAACGCGTGTCTCCAATAGTGCTTTTTTCCCACTCACTGGATACCGCTACAAGCAGTGCAGACAAACGTGTGAAAGTCCAGACAGACGTATTGCGGCATCTACACAAGGCAAGCAACCACAACGTAAAAACAATTCAAACAGTAGCAACGTTTAAAGGGTACAAGACATTGAAAAGCAGCGGCTCTAGCGACCATCTCGTTGCAGTCGAAGCAGCGCTTATTAGGAGGCTGGGAGCGCTGGAAGTCCCGCAGTTTCTGGATCAGCCGCTCCTCCTGGCGCTTCTCGCTTGGCACCGACTTGGCCGTCGTCATGACTGGATGGGGAGGATGACGGGGGTGACCAACAAACTTTGAGTGGGAACTTCAGTCGACCGTCGCTTGTTTCGAGGTAAAAGGTACTGAAAAAAGAAGTGTATACCTCATCATCAAGTTTCAGAAATTGCGAGACTCTGCGAAAACAAAGTATACGTTGTGTTTCGGGAGTTTTCATCCGTATGCGTATAGCCGAGGTTACAATCGGTCGCAGCAGCGTGCACACCCCGTCGTCACTTGACAGGCTGAAAAAGCATCAAAGTTACGGCCTCACGTAACTCAACATTCATTCCGAACAACTGACTCATTGAAGTTAGAGTGCACGAGCCAATTGCGGCTCAATATGCCCGTTCACCGCCCAGACATCAACCCTCTACCTGCCGGGCATCTAAGTAGCTACTAAGTCACTTTCTAGCATGAGCTGCTCGTACTCTCCGATCTTCCGACTACTTCGAGTCTCGTAGAGCAGTTCGAGTTGATGCGTGTAGACCACAACTGCAGTGTAATGACTAGGGATTAGAAAGAGTAAAGTGGTTGATATCACAGTAGGCGCAGATGTGCGCGTGCTCAAGCTTAGATCAGTAGAGGGATTACTCTCCGCGCAAGACGAGTGAGCTGCGTGCTGTTGCCGTCTGGCGTTGCCAATGCATTTCTAGTCGGACAAGGGGCAAGGAGATCTGTCATTTACGAGGCTCTTGCAGAGGATCGAGAAAAAGTTGATGGAGGAGACAGGCAAAGACCTCCGATGCTGCAGTAGCTCACTCTCTTTGTGCAGATCAGTCGCATGTATAGCTTGATGATGCAAGCGCAATGTGATTGTCGAGTGGAGGGTGTGCTTTTCGTGGCTCTACGTTTGCGTGATTAGACAGAGACCTCAGATTGTTATGGTGAATCGCAGGCTCTGTAATCTCATCAGATGCCTGCTCAACTTTTTTGTGTAGATCATGGATGCGACGTAGTGTGGAGATTCTGGATGCAGCATGCTGTCGCCTGAATGGGTTGAAAAGGCCTGGATCAAGTAGTGTATGACGATATTGACGGACTTCGGATAATCGTGAACTACTTGCATTAGCTTGTACCCTGCCGGTGAGAAACAGTTGGATGGGCCATGTGGAAGAAGAATGGATGGTATATCACGGAGTCGAGTGCTGCAGAGTTCTGCGAATGGTGGTTTTATCATGCAAGACGTGAAGAAATAGGCAAAGCAACAGCTATTTCAAGACCAGCGCTGGGCAGTCTTGGCGACATTATTAATTCTGGCGCAAGTGTTCGTATCGCTACATTGACAGGCAGCCCCACATTCACACCACGTTATTTGCCACAGCCATTGCAGATATTGGCAAACTTATGACGCAGAAGCTGCAACTGTACGCGAAAATGCGCTTGCATCTACACATTCACGTGCACGAAAGCAAATTTGTCGCAGATAGCAGATTGCCGAGCAGTATGAACAGGAACTTGTTCAAGAAAACGATAATCAAGGCTTTGAAAGCGTAAGACTGCGGCTGGCTGGCCTTGGCGTATCATTGAATGTGTAGATTTTGTGCTCCATCCGCTTACAGTGTTTTGCGGTCAACAGTTGCAGCGATCGATAATGGAGGTCGTACCACAATTGTGGGTGATTAATATCCTACTATTGTTTCTGTAGAGACTTTTGTGGGCTGAATCGAAGGTATCAAGGTGCTTTTTTAGATGTGGGCTACGGCAGGTTGGACAGTATTTTCCGGGTGTCTGAGGATGTTCGCAAGCGATTCACACCAGGAGTCAACCATGCGACGCGATGAACTACTGCGAACTGTCGGGAAGGAAGGGACGATTGTGCAAGAACAGAGGCACATGAGCGAAAAGTATTTGCGTATAATTTCAGAGAAGGCAGGTCCGACAAGAGCGTGTGGACTCATGTTCGAAGACAAAGCAAACATGCACCACGTTTGCATCGCACATATGACGATTTCCGGAGGTCCAGGATACCAGAAGAACTGAGACCAAGTGCAAGCTCGATTGCACGCTTCAAGAAATTATGAGGTTCTTTGGAATATCGAGAGGCTGCGAATGAAGTCACATGGCGAGCGCATAGAACCAACGTCGTGTAGTGTCGGCCTCTCCCGAAGCTCCAGATAACATGAACCACTTTCAACACACTGAGCTACGGAGGCAACGCAAGGCTCGCTACCTCCTTGATTCGTTACTGCAATTGACAGCGCCTTCATGCTTCATTCTGTGGTTTAATTTCGGTTTGACGACAGCTTAATGAACGTGCAGCCTCGTGTGCTTTTTAAAATTCAACATAGCAGTCGCATTTTTTAACTTCAGCTTTGCGTGTGCTTTGCTAGTGCTATGCTGGCAATGGACCATTTTTTTCTGGCAGTCGACAACGGAATCTGCGGATCAGGTGGAGGCTGTTCGCTGTCGAACTTCGCAAGTTCTAATAAGCACTGCATATTGTTTCGCAAACTCGGTGCGTCCTACAAAAACGACTTCATCAGCTCATTGTCAAAGATGGCCAAAAGTTCACCTCAAATTTTGTCTCATGCTTTGAGAGCTACTACTTCTTTGTCAAGGTCCGAAGTTTTGCGGTGTATTTGGTCGAGACTGTGCTCGTGTAGTTAATTAAACATCAGCAGTATTTTTACAATGGTTGGAACGCTTTTGCTCATCGTCACTCCTACCGCTTGTGTTCGACAAAGCTTCATAATTGCAGGTAATCACCGAACGTGTTCAGCTGAGATTAAAAACTCACTTATACCTGTAGCTTTAGTACTATGCCGCTCAACGCGGACATGAGAGAGACGCATACCCGCTCTCGTCACTTTTACAACGTGCTGCTTCTATCGTCATTTAAATATTTTGTAGCTGGCTAAGTTGCATTGAGAACTGCCGTGAGTTCCAAGTTGCCACCTTGCTTTGATCGTGGAACCCAAAGTAACAACGAGCCACCACCAGTGCCTCGAATTCCCAGTAATCCAGATCGCCACCGATCTAAGTACAGCGTCTTGCCCCCCAGTGCTGTACTATTAGACGTCCACGTTACGCTGGCACCAGGGTTAACCTTAACCTCACCGATCTCGTTGCCACCTGACATGATGTTCACCTTCACCTTTTCAGCGTCCTTGCTCTGAAACGTGATCGTCACAGCTCCATTCCCTTTTTTGGTCCACGATCCAGTGCTATTGTGAAAAGCTTTGTCGACGATGGAAAGACCCAATGCATCCGATGCGGAGCCATCGTCGACTTCGCCAATTAATTCTGTTGGACCACAAATGGTTTGAAAGTACTCCGACACGACACCGAAAACGTTTGTGGGGTCCCAAATGGCTGCAAACATAAGGGCCTTGTCGGCAGCGGTGTACATGAAATGCTCGGCAGAGAGGAGAGTGCCGTTTTTACTTGTGCCTGACGAGACAAGGTCGTCCACAATACCGCCGAACGTCTTGCGCAGCATGTCACGCATAACATATGCCGATGACACATCCGATCCGTTGATCAGTTGCCCCATACAATTATTTGTGACGATAGGAACGACGTGGTGCATGAGGTTTGACTTGCTGAGTACCACACGGACGTCATCTTCGGAGATATTCGGGTCTTTTTTCCGCAAATAAGCTACAGTCAACCACACGCGGTCGACGAGGCGCTTCATGTCGTCTGCACAGGTCAAATTGGACGTCAGAGCTGATTGTAGCGACGAGATATCATCTTCTTCCATGTCGTCGAAGACATCATCTAGCTCGATTTTCTGCATAAAGTCCATAAACGACTTCCAACTGGAAAGAATGGCTTCCTTTCGAGTCACGACTTCTTTTAATATCACGCCAACCGTATTGACTAATCGATCATTAAACTTCATCTCTGCTGACACTTTGATTCCACGACACTCCATGATCGTGATCGGCACATCAAAGACCACATTGTCGGTCTGATACAACAAGGTCAGGAGGTAATCGGTCGTATTCTGCATTTTCGTAGTCTCAACGTTCCTCACGTATTTCGTAAGCGCCCGTACTAGATTCGCCACTTCCTTGCCACATTTGACAGCCGTCTGGACCCCCTTTGCCATTTTCTCAAACTCGCCGTAGACTCCAAAGGTGGCGAGCGAAAGCGCTGACCGCGCAACGACAGTCACCTTGGACAGCATCTCTAGATTGCAATCATCATTTTGCCGAATGCACTGCAACCCACACTCGACGGGATATTCAAGTGGACACTGTGCCCAACACGTTCCGAGCTTGCGTTCGAACCCAATAGGACACACTTTAGCAATGTGCGTCTCTCGATAACATGCCGTGTCCGAGCCAGCTCGGACTGCTGAACCAACCCAGTTCGGGTATTGTGACTCGACCGTGCTAATGATGGCCGTTTGACTCATGTCCGAAAGTCCCCAAGTCAATGAATTGGACGAGTCGTTCTCGAAATCGTTCTTGCCTTGGTAGACGTCTCCGTGCTCTCTGTCATAACTCGAGTCGTCGTCACTATCGGGTGAACCTAAATCGCTCTGCCTTACAGAAGATGTGATATCCTTTCTGTGGAGGACCGCCACAATCGTGGAAAACGCCGCAAAGGCCCCCACCACGCTGCCCCGCCCCATGTCCACGAGGTCTCGTCGTCAATCAACGTAAAAGTGTGACTATCGAGTATTCGGTGATGCACACGGACGGCCTCGAGAGTTGTACCTCGTGGTGCAAACGCCGGGACATTCTGAATCTCGCTACGCTGAGAGGGCACGGGTCAGGTAGCAAGCAGCGCTGAATTAGGTGCAGCAAATCACGTGGATGTCCGAGATAACAACAAAAACAGAGTGGACCAGATCCGGAATCTCAGCTGGAGCAGCTCACTAATGAGCCAGACATTCGGGGAGATCACTTTAGTGCCAAGCATAGTCATGTTTGTGACTACACTCTCATATAGGAGTGCTGCGTTCTTTTAGCGCTGAATCTGAATCCGACTTCGAATAGAGAGAAATCGCCCGTCAGTCACGCACTCATCTGCTCATGTTCTGTGCGCTCTCGGCCGAAACAGTTGCGACTTTCGTGAATCTGCCCAGTTTTGCACTCCTCACATCCCGACTTCGACGTTTGTCTTCCTTTTTCTATGAGCCCCGAATTTCGACGAACACGGTCTGCCATTGATTGATTGCCTAGGAACAAACGAGCTCGAACATCTAGCACCTGTGTCGGTGGTACGCTTACCGTGCCTGAGATACACTCATACGGTGACTTTGGAGGCTCGGGTAGAGCAAGAAGAAGAAGAAGCTGGGAAAAGGAGAAGCACATTCCAGCTTTGGGATCGGAAGCAGCGTTTTGGAATGGCGGATGCGACGGACACAAGCCCTTACCAATCTGCTTACGTTAGAACATCGAGGTGATGGATTGAGTGTTATGGCGGGCACGCTATCGAGGAGGTCATCGGCGCTGAGCACATGGAATCTTCAAGTGTCGATCATACAACTGAGATAGTCAAGCACGCAAGCGCCAGCAGGCCACTCGCTAACGAAATTCCAGCGTTGCCACTACGACTCGACTATTTTTCTCACCGCACGCCCTTGACGGCCCCGTCTGCTTGACATGGACATCTTTCGCAAGACCAGGCGATGGGCCTTGCTTTCACATCTGTTCAACTTGTTTTGAGTCAACCGGCTCGAGTCAGCAGTCTCGTCGACCTCACGAACGCAGCAGGTTGGAATGTTCTCTTTGTTTCGTGCGAACACCACCAGTACTCGTTCACGGATCCAGTACTCGTGGCCTGCCGATACTGCATGCCTAAGCTACGTGGTGGTCCCGGTAATTCGCTTATGCGTCAACCCGACTACCTCCACTTCCTGCGTCGCCTCTTCCTTCGGACCAGCCTTTGGCAAGCGTGTGTCAATTGCACGCAGGTGTTTTTGCACCGCTGTCAACATCTTTGCAGGCTTTAATGTGCCTTTGAGCTGGTTGGATGACACGAAGTGTCGCGTTCTACATCGTCGGCCTCGCTCTAGACTCCACCGTCTTCCAGTTCGCAAGAGATAACACGCGGTAGCTGGATGAATTGCATTGTATCTCGGAGCCATGTGCCGTTGCAACGCGCTTCCAAGCGGTAAACCTTTCAGCATTCCATCGATCAACTGAAAAGCGACCGATTGGTGTGACCGAGCGCTCACCATCGTCGCTGCTGCGATCGGTAATGCCTCTAATCTGACGTCACCTTGTCAGGTCGGTCTCCCGGCTGTCCGGCAGTGTCACAACCGAAGACCGTGGATAGCTCGACCTTCCGCAATCGACTTTGCCATAGCTAGAGTCAGAACGGGCTGGTGTCACAGCACGATCTAGACTTGGAATCGAGCGGGACGTAGACTTGGATCGCGTAGAAGTTAGCCATGTAGCGTACGAGTTGCCTTACGGCAGTGCAAATCGAGTTTGACCATTGCATAGAGACAAGACCAGCCATTGCTAGGAAGACATGGATGATGTGAAGCACAGCGGTTTCTACTTGTGCACGAGGTATGACGAGTCTCTTGACTTCGAGCCGCTGTGCGCGCCATTACAATCAATACACCGCCGAGCTCGGCGTGGCGTTTTTGATCGCGATGGCTCTGGTAACGATGTACTCATAAAGCTACAACACGGACACGGGTCATGCGCCTGCGATATTCGATCACGAAGAATTGGTAGAGTCCGCTGACAAATACTCCGCACAATACGCATGTACGACATGCGGCGTCCCACCAGTTCCCCACACAACGAACTCCTTGACCCCCAGACAGCGTCACTGCAGTACTTCGTGCTTTACAACTACAACGACTTCCTTCGGCGTCGGAGTCCAATTTGCTCAAACGCCAGACCGGGTGACAACCTGCTGCATGAAGCGACGATCACTCCGCAGCATTGACTAATTGACCGAACGGAACAGCCTGAGTCGCACGAGATGGGAGATGGACTATAACTTGGTGGCGGCTGACGCCTGTGTTGTACTACACGTCTTCAGGTCAATCGTCGCACAAAAGAAGCCACTCCTTCCAGAGTAGCCGATATTTCGTACCACAGTAGCACAACAGAACTTGAACGGCAGCACATGTCCCGCAAGAAAGCCAGAGCAGCGAATTCGGTACTGAACGTTACAATTGACGACAGCAAACATGTCGGACATGGCGGCCCCTGTCTGCTCCTTCACGAGCGACTCGTCGGAGTGCTACACTGCATCGTGGTACCTCATCTGGGATCAAGTACGCTATTGGCTACTCGTGCAAGTACCCCTTCTTGCTTTCTCGATTGGCTACGAGTGGCTCGAAGTGCCTTCGCTCAAATACATCGAGCAGCTCCGGAAAATCTGTGACTCTCCGCTGACAAACGTCGTGGTAAGTGCTGGTCTCTTTATGGCATAAAGCTCACGATGGTGTACTGACTGGTTCTTGTTGTCTGCGTGTTGTGAATGTCCAGAACTACCTCGTACAAATTGTCACCAGCTTCTATGTCTGCATCAACTGGAGTAAGTTGTGCGCCTTCTCGACGGGTTTTCATCGACTTGTCCCGATTTGTTTCGAGGTATTAATCACCTTGTTTTCCGTGTTCGTAGTCGTACGTGGTGGGTCACTGAGCGTGAGCTTCTCGTCGTGGTCGATTGAATCGTTGTTCCTGATTGCTACTGGAGTTGGCTATGGGATTCGATGGTTGGCGGCCAAAAACAAGTGCGTTCAACGCTGTGCTTGTCATTGCTTTCTCGCGCAATGATTGTACTGACGATGCTTTTTTGCTGGACTTGCCGTGCTGGACGTACAGAGTGACGTACGTGCTGCAGCTGCACAATCTATTCGACTTGCTGTCGGTGGTAGCCCATTTCACAATCTCGCTCCAGACGATTGTAGTGGGGAACAAACACCTTCGGTCGTGGTTGGATTTTGGCTTCATCCGGTCGTACGTGGGATACGTGGTCGTCGATCATTTGTTCACGCGGTATCCGAACAAAACGTTCTTCTCGCAAGTGCTGCTTGTGACGTTCAAAGTATTTTGTCTTGTCTTTTTCTTCGCTGCCGTGCTCTTCTCGCTTGAACAGCTTGGAGAGTTGCCACATACCGACAGTTTCTTGCTCCATGTGTACGAATGCAGCAATGCGGATGGTACTGAGACGATCTTGAGGCCAACAAAGACGAGCGTCGATGAGTTCTCGTACTGTGAAGAGACTTGGAGTTTTTTCTCGTCCATTTACTTCATGTTCGTGACCGTGTCCACTGTCGGTTACGGTGACTTCTCGCCACAGACGGTGCTGGGACAGTTTACTGTCTGTATTGTCATCGTGTTTGGTATTTACACCTTTGCGAATGAATCAGCCGCCTTCATGGCGCTCTACGGCGATCGACATGGGACTTTGGTACGGTACACCGGAATGAAAAATACAGCTCACGTGATCGTAACTGGAAGCCCGACTGTCGCTCAGACGAAGGATTTCATTCGCGAGTTTTTTCACCCAGATCATGAGAAGGCATTCCAGGGTCGCGAAAGTGGTAGTGACGATGACCACAACGAAGTATACAAACCCGTGGATGAGCAGCGCTTTACAAAAGTCTTTCGTTCGTGTTTTGGGATCCCGTTGAAAAATTACGCTCGATACGGTAGCATACATGAAGACTATGCTGCGATGGAAGGAGGAAAAACAATTAAGAACGATGAGAACCGATTCGTCACGCCTCTTGTTTCGCAATGGAGGCATCGAAGGGGGAGCTTGATTCGTGAAACGCATATTGTGATGCTCATGCAGTTCGACGAAGCAGAAGGAGATGGTTCCTGTTACCAGCGGGAGGTGATGGACTTTGTAGAGCGGGATCCCCGGTATCAAAAGCGTGTGTTCCTCGTTCACGGGTCTCCACTACGAGAGGCTGACTTGAAGAACGCTCAGCTGGATCGTGCGATGGCTGTATTCTTTCTACCAAACAAAAACTCCGACAATGGAAACAAGGAAGACGCTGCTACGGTGTTACATGTCCTATCGGTATCTCAGCACAAACAAGAGCATACACAGTTATATGCAATGCTAGCCAACTTCAACAATCGGACGCTTCTGGAGGCCACGGGGCTGAGAAATGAGAACCTGGTTTGTGCAGACGAAATTCGTTTGGGTTTGATGGGACTTAGTTGCCGATGCCCGGGTCTTTCAACTGTGGTGACGAACCTGATCACAAGCCGAAGTAGCGAAATTCCCGGAGTCGCTCCGGATCAGACTCATCTGTTGAGACCATGGGTCTCCGAATACGTATCCGGAGCTGCAAACGAGATTTATTCCTGCTATATGGCAAAGCACTTTCATGGCATGAATTTCGTTCAGGCGACCCTACATATCCACCGCCAGTCAAATGGGTTAGTGCTTCTGATTGCTGTCGAGTCTGGTGGAGAGATTGCGATTAATCCTGGTCGTTGGTATCGCATAGCGCCAACCACCAAAGCCTACTTGATTGCTGAATCAGTATGTTCTCTCGAGCCATTTGCTGGTACGCCGACAATGACCAGCGTCGCTGCGTTATCTTTGAACATGAGCTTCCTACGCAATCGCGGTAACTTGATCCGTCGAGCACGTCATGCACAACACAACGTTGAACGACGAATTCCTAAAGAGGTCCGAGCACGCGTTATGCGATCCGCGGTTGGCGATGGTTCACGTCAGTTCCCGTCACCACCGTCACAAGAGTTGCCCAGTTCCGGTGGCCACATTGTCGTTTGCAGTAACTTTGGCAATGAGAGTGGAGGACAGCAGTTTGTGTCTCGTCTAGTGAATTTCTTGCGACCACTTCGAGCCCCACATGTTGAGCGAATGGTTCCTGTTGTTATTGTGGATGCAGGTGCTTTTGACAGCGTATCATGGCATCAGCTGCGAGGCTTTCGGGAGGTGTACCACGTGCAAGGGTCACCCCAACGCCATCACGTTCTTGTCGCTGCTGGCATATATACAGCCTCCTCCATTGTCGTGCTGGCGCAAGGCAATGAAGCTGGCTACGATGACTCGAAGGCAATTTTCAACGCCATTTTGCTAAGCCCGGCGCTACAGCGCAACCGGATCTTCACGATTATTGAGCTCCGGGATGCCAAAAACAACAAGTTCTTGGACCCTGTGTCCACGTTTGGTTTGTCACGCAGAATTCGTGGAGATGATTTTGCGCGGAACACTGCTGGAGGATATGACGTGAAGTCACGTCCATCGAGCTGTCACAGTCCTCTTTCGTCTGCACCACGTGGAAGTGCGTATCTCTACCGGTCTTCCGCTGTCGCTAGAAAGCAGAATTGGGTGCAACGCAAAACATCGGCGGCGAAGCACGTATTTCTCGCAATGCAGACCTTTTTCCTAGGCCGTTTGAAAACTGCTGCACAACAAGTGAGCACGTTTGGCACTGAATTAGACAGCGGTTCCAGCGCAACCATCGAGGAGCTTTACACCGGTGACAACAGCGAGATTTTTTTCCAAGAGCGATTCATGAATGGCGCGTTGTTTCCTTCTTGCGTCGCGGACGATCTGTTGATACAGAGCTTTTTCAATCCGTCGCTGAATACGTTCATTCGCAAAATTCTCGATGGAAAGAGCTGCTTTGTGTTGTACGAGGTTCCACAAGAACTTCGTGGGCGACAACTAATGTATGGAGAGCTCTTTGAGCACATGACATCCGGGGTGGCGCATACTTTGCCGATCGGGCTACTGCGAGTAAAAGGTGGTCCTGGAGCTGCACCCTATCCGTATGTTTACACGTGCCCGTCGTCCGATACGATTGTGCATGCTGGCGACAAGATCTTCGCACTGATAAACGTAATGGCCCTAGATCGTCTAGCGAACAAATTACAGCGTCGCTTTCGAAAACGCGACAAGCCGTCAAGGACGCTGCCAGACTTGGTAGAAAAGTTTAGTCAGTGATCACGACCCCTGAAGACAATCTCGGGTTGACAGGTGGTTCCTATGTGACGTTAGCTGTGGAGATCAAATATGACAATCTGTCGTTGCAAAACACTTGGAGCAACGTAGCTCTCTACTATCTGATCATTCTCCTGATTAGACTGGTCGTCAAGCGAAGTGACTAATGTGGACGATTGTTACCGATGAACGTACGAACACTAGCAACATGAAATGAACCTGCAGAGTGCAATCGACAAAATCTGTTCCGACCATGCATTCCGACTGCTTGTTTGGCGAAAAGCTGAGACGCAAACTGATCATCGCCTCTGCTGCTATGCCACATCGCCAACCTGTATTGGAATACCTTCCGCACCGATGTTGCTGTTGCCGAAAGCACCATACCACTTGTACCAGCAAACGTCCGAAGCAAGTCGCGATCGAGGATGGCAATTGAACGGACCCTCCACACGACGGACGGAAACTTTGCTGATATGTCGCCACCTCGTCCGTGATCGGTTTCAACTGACTTCGTAGGAACCGAATCGCATGAGAGGGAACTGTCAATGGGTACCTCATAGCATAGGTAGAATTGGGTCGAGTCCAACTCCTTGTAATTGTACTCCATTTCTCCCTGCATCACCGTCGAAGCTCCCTAGACCTTACTGCGAGCCGATCATGTGTGACTAGACCTTACTGCGAGCCGATCATGTGTGACTGCTGTCAAAGGAGCACGGACTCACTTCTACGGCTTGCTGTAACCTCAAACATGGTAAGATAGTCTTGGGAAACGTAGATTCTTTTTGCCCTTCACTACTAAAACAAGATGACGGTTGCGGACGAGCTCGTCGTGACCTTGCCGACAGGATCCCCGTCTCTATGAAGTAATCAGTATGAGCACCAGGTGCGCCAAAATCTACGGATGGTGGATATGTTGCGAAATGGTCAGGCTTTCGCTTTCTTACTAACTGAAGGCCGTTCCAGACAGGATGACTCCTGAGGCGACGAAGAGTATGAAAAACACCACGAAAAAGGCCTTCTCGATTGGAGAAGCGTTGGCCTTCAGCTTGCGAAAGTGCGCTCGCAGGCGCTGCCAGAGACCGTCGGACGTCGCCTTCTGTAGCGGCGGCACAACGCCAGAGTCCTTTTGAACCTTCTCGAATAATGTGGTGGTGAGCTTCTTGGACTTGAACAGCTCGCCGAGTTTGCTGAAGGGAGAAACCCGTTCTTCGTCTTCCTTGTCATTGCTTGGGTCGATTCTGACATGGCGTTGCCCGGTAGAGCCTTTGTCAACGCCAGCCTCGTTGAGTCGAGTCTGTTGGTCCTCTACTGCCTTCTCTTGATCCGCAGCAGCAAGACCACAATAGCACACATGTGCCGCGAAGAGGAGATGCAATAGGACAATAGTGCGCATTGAGACTGCTGTCGACTTGGTTCGGTTGTGAAGTGGAACGAAACGAAATGAAATCCCTTGTATGTAGCAGTCAAAGTGAGGAGATTGCTGCACACAAGCGGATGAGGAGTGCTCACGGGGATGGGATTGCCAGGTGGGGTGCCATCTGGAAACGGAGGCTTTGTAGTGATGGGGCACTGGGCAGGGAGTGTCTCCTTTACTTCTGCATGTTGGGTAAACGTCCCTGTTGGTATTTTTTCTGTGGGGTCCTAAAAGCACAAGGAACTTGCCTGAAAAACAAGTGGATAGCCGCAAATGAGGGGGAAACCGCAAAGAAGCGGATAGTATTCAGATCGTGCACGATCTCCCAAACATAATTCCTTCTTACACAACTCCTTGAACAACCGTAGCTGTACCGCAGCCCAGATGACAAATTTTGTTGAAATTGGAGGCCTCTGATTAAATGATATACTTTTTTTTGTTTTATATGCTGCCCATACACTTGATATGCTGCAGTAACATGTTACGTATTGCCTGCATGTTCCTAACAGATGGGGCGAGCTTGCTGAATTGCGCCGTAGACAGCTTCGAGATTTTATAGGCAAGCCTATTTGAACCGACTTTGTTCGTGGTGTATTGGAAAGCAAGTACATTGTAATGGCGCTTAAATGAAAGCGACTTGTTCATAGTCAACCGATTTATACATCTACACCAGCAATATGAAGTTAAGAGAGAAAAGTTATCAGCTAGTAAAAAACAGGACCAAATGACTCGAGATCGTCGACCTGTTGCACTTTTGGGGATGCTGCAAGCGCTGCAACTGAATGTTTACTACTTCGATCTCACATTCCTTGAGTTGCCCTTAATTGATGTTGCTAATAGTTTCAACATACCTTTCGACAGTAGTAATTATCGTCTAGCACGCTACAGGGTCGGTCATCTACAGTATCCAAAAGCTGCCTAAAATTTGATCGAAACCTTTCATACTGCTTAAACATGGAATGTTAAAGGACGCTTTTTACGTCAAATGTAATCGATACTGGATGTATGGGATAAGGCAGGCCTTATAATTTGTAGGTTCGCTATCAATAGCTGTCGATATCCACAATATGACTCCGAAGTGATCCACAACATTAGAAAATTCGCAGCGAACTGCATGCAACCGATCGGTGAAATAAAGAAAGGGACCCAACAATTCCAGATGCTTCAGCCGACCTGAAATCTTGCAAAACGACGCAAGCACACTTAATCGTCGTCTATGGGAAAGCCCACACCTTTTGAGTATGCTCATGCCTTGCGTTTCGGAGTCAAAATTAAGTCCAAGGAAGCCAAAGGCAGCGCGACCTGCTGGTGCCTGTTCTGCGTGCACGATGGTCGCGACGAGGTCGAGGTTGGCCAGAACGGTCGCAAGTGCAAGAGGAATGGCATCACCAAGGTTTTCACCGCGCCGTTCTACCTGTTTAAGTGCCGTAGTCATTTCGAGTCTCAGCACTCTAACTCGTGGGCGCTCTACAGGAGATGTCAAACGCCAAAAAAAGCGTTGTTCTTTGCGAGCAAGATAAAGCTGTCCAATAAGCTGCATCATCTTATCGAGCTCAAAGACGATGCGCTGACTTACGACATCAGCGCTTGCATCTACAAAACCATTGTCAGCGACCTATTCTTTCGCAACACGAGGTACTTGCCGATTCCGACGTAGACGACGATAGTGAAGACGATGTGGCCAACACGCTCTACAAGAAGGCCAAGGAGAGGCTCAACTCCTGAAAGATATTCGTTAAGAAGTCGGACGATGTTTATTGGTACCAAGTAATCGACAAGAATGTCATGCGGTTCGATTTGGCGATGAACCACGTTTCGGTCGGCTTGTCGTTCATGAAGACAGCTTCCACCACCCAATACGCAGGGGACCACAAAAAGGCATTAAAAGTGACTGTTCTGAAGAACGAAATAGTTGGATAGTACGTCCGCATCTTAGTCGAAGTCTCTCTGCAAGACATCTCAGACATGATGGGCAACATGTCCGTTTGGGCAGTTTTGGCTGCCTTTGACTCCAGCATGCACCGTGATCAGTCGTTCTTCGACATTCTCCATGCGGTTTTTGCTTCAAAATTTGGCTTTGTAACACCCATTCGGCCAGTATTCTTAAATCTAATCGCCACACGGCGGAAAACATATTCAACCTGCTCATAAAGTTTCTGGACACGCTCTTTTCAAAATGGCGCAGCAAACTGCTTAATGTTCCTTCCAGTGTCGAGAACACCATGACCGGGAGACGCGCTGGTCTCGTCACTCGCATCGCACGTTGCGCAGAATTCAACGTGATGTGTGCGTGGTGTGTGCCGAATCGACTTGATGTCTTCGGCAGCTGAAAGCATCGACGACGGCGCCTTTATCATGAAATTTCACTTGTTGTCCGTCTACCTGCAGTCGAGAATTACTTAATCGTCACGATAGTCGATAAGTGGCCAAAGAAGACAAAGCGGTGGGTGTATCTCGGTCGAGGCATTAACTTTTCCAGAAAAGGATTGCCTACAGATCATAGCAAACATTTATGAGATGCGCCCCGACGATCTGGTAGAAGCCGAATCGTGGTTTGTGACCCACGCGTTTGACAGGCTTAGCAGCTTGGTGAAGATCGACATCACCTCCACCAAGCTGCTGAGCCTGTTTCTTCTGATTGTGCAGCAGACGGAGTTATTTAATGCATTAATAGGCGATCTCCATATTATTGTAGGTGTCGAGTCTTACCATCCATCCGGACGAGCGCTAGGAGGACGACAAGATTCAATAAGTATCGGTCGTCTAAATCGGTATCGACGTCGCCAGCATCGAACACATCATTAAAAATATAAACTTTTTTAATTAATCACATTCATGACAAAGAGTATGCTGCTGGCAAGTTGTAACGGGGTGGCCCGTTACACGAAATTGACACCGGGACGGTGTCAATAGAATATTGTCTAGCATGACAATAATCTAACGATATTATTTCCTTTTGGATAATATTCATTCGCTGCTCCAAGATTGGTTGATAAAAGACTTATCAACCATAGACTACCACCAATCGCTGCTAGACGCGCGCAGTGAGTGGTGAGCAGGTTATCGTTATACGACGACGTAGTTTAATATTGTTAAATAAAGATTGAAGTTATATTGATAGCTTTACTATATTAAATACAGTTCTCTTTTTACCTTTACTTGACCGAGTCGTTTAAGTAGATTAGCTTCCTCTGCACGTACTAGTGTACGTGAAGTTTCGCGGCATGCCAAACGAAAGGTTGCCCGTTACACAGGTAATTTGATCGTCCTGAAGTTGACGATAATAAATTGTTCACTAAGGAGAAATCGACGTACGCTGTCACGCTGATCACGGATCTCATCTGCGTCAAGGCTGAGCATGACAAAACAATCTGTTTTGAAAAATAATGCGCCTCCTGTCATTCCTCAACAAATTGGTTAATCCGCGTCATTCCTCAACAAATTGGTTAATCCGCGTCATTCCAAGTTCATCCAGGACGTCCTTAACACGAACCGCGCCCGCTTCGACAAGTTCAATAGCCTGAATAAGTTAAAGAGCTCGAGACTGACCATCGGGACCTACCTCGGTGCGAAGTCGCGCACCGAATGCAACAGATTCGTAACACATCTGTTAAACGTTGCGGGGGCGTTACTTAGCCCCTGTGGCATCACTAGCCACTCCCAGAGCATACCACTGGGGGTGCTCACTGCTGTGTAAGGGATATCCCGTTCACGCATGAGGATCTGATAGAATCCATCCATCAAATCCATGGACGAAAAGATGGTACTATTTGCCATACCATCTATGATGACATCCTCTCTTGAGATCGGCGTTTGAGCCGGTACCGTTGCAGCTTTCATTTTGTTGAACGCGTGCACTATCCGCCACCCTCCTGTGGCCTTCGCACACAGAAGGTCGGAGCGCTGTGCGGGGATGTTGATTCCCTCACATGACCAGCCGCTGAGCGATCGGCAAATAATTTGTCGATCGCTGTGACATGTCCACGAGGCAGTGGCCATTGCTTCATGATACAGAATTTCGAACCAGGTTTCAGTTCGATCTCATGCCGAGTGCATTTTTCTTTTAAGCAGATAGAATAGCACGGATTCAGGGAAACATCCCTGAATTCAACCAAATCCTTGTACAAAGGATTTGTCTTTAAAGACTCCCAAGATTGAGACGTGTATCGCTCAATCGGGGTCTTCTCATCGAGGACACGTGCATCGCTCAATCCGAGTCTTCTCATCGAGGAGACTCATCCATCGATGAGCTACTGAAAACCCGTTCGTTCTCAGTAAACACTCGTGCCGACCGAACATCGGTGACGTACTCGTCCTCTGTGACGAGTACGCATATTTGCTTGATCTCGTCACTACGCAGATCTCGCAAGAACCGTTCAGTTTCTAGCGTTGGCAACTTGATCACCTCCGAAGCTGACATCGAGGGCGTCACCAGATCAACTGTATAAGCGCCTACACTTGATCTGTCATTCGCCAAGAATACCACTGAATCGATAATTTCCTGGGAAAACACATCCGCAGGTGGTTGGTGATCCACACCCTCAACATAACTCTCTCGGGATTGATCACTCTCAGGAACGCCGGGATTTGCTTCCGTCACGGGTACTATCACGGTCACGTCCTCTTCGATCGACTCTCTTTCAGTCGATCGGGCTTGCTCTACGACCGACTCTCTGATAGTCGATCTCGCTTCAACGTGTTGTTCATCCTGAACAACACTAATCTCTCTTCTCGGATGCACCCTTCTTGGTGTTCATCCGTGTTCCAGTCCACTCGATCTCTTCGAGTGGCGAACCTTCGTCGCAGCTTGTGTCTCTACACAGGTGCCGGAAGCTGGTTCCACAGTGCAGTGACCTTCTACACTGTGATCTTGTGCAATCGTACTAACTACCGCATCACAAGTGAGGACATCGCACTCACTCGTAGTACATCCACACGCTTTTGGACGCTCCAAGACTTTCATCACATGGCCATCCGATGAACAAACGGCAGGCATCTTTACGGATCGATGCTGCCAGCTAATCCATGGCCGGTACTTTCTAAGCCATGGCAGACCGAGGATGACATCAAATTTGTCATCCAAATCAAATACGATAAAGTCAACATCGTACTGCTTTCCTTCTAGCGTGTAGTGCATTCCCACTACACGTTTTTCACTGTTACGGATGCGCCTGTAGCAAGGCACACCGTCATACTCGTTGGAGGGAACTCTCGCTCAACATAGTTGAGTCTACTATCCTCTAGCGACTGGCGTCGAATAAAACTGTTCGACGCCCCACAGTCAACTAGGGCGCGAAGTGACATTCCATTTTTCACTTCAATCTTCAAAGTGATGAGAGACTCCTCATCACTAGGGACAGTAACACACAGCGACTGTGTGTTGGGAGCAATCTTCGTCTAGAGTCCTGCAAATTCTCTTGACGTTGCTGGATCAGAGGTGCTCCGCCCCAACTGACCTTGACCGTTTTTTGGCGATCCGACTTGCTGTCGCGGCTTAGCGACATGGTCGAATCGGTACCTTGGACCTTTCCTCGGCCAACCGGGTCATCACGTCCTGTCTTTGGAAGTGATGCGGTGCTTGGGACACTACACTCATGAGCGTAGTGCCCAATCTTCCGACAGCGATGGCATCTTGCCGTTCGCTTGTGGCTGAGAGAGCGGGGGGGTCTCGCTCTCAATGTAACAGAGGTACATAGGTTCGGGACCTCCTGTTTCCTGTCGTCTAGTCGGACGATAGTTTGATGAGTTAGCCTGATACTGTCTCAGGCTGACGTCTTCTTGTTCCGCACACGCAATCGCCTTTTCAGCGTATGGAAGTCCTCTCGGAACATGTAAGTCTTCGTAGGTCCATCTACAAGGCCGTAGATGAACACGTTGATGAGCGTGTGCTCATCAACAGGGTTCTACGTGACGCTACTCGCAAGGTAGAGCAGGTGTTGTGCGTAAGCATGCACATCACGCTTACCTTGCTTTAGCCTCAAGAGTGCAGAGCGTGCTCTGAACTCGGCTCTCGGCGGCTCAAAGGTCTCTTAAAGCCGAGACTTCAAGATCTCCAACGACTCAAACACGTTTGGATCGTGAAGCTTGAGCCCTGAGGCCCACGTCTTTGCTCGTCCCATTAAATTTGACCGGGCGAAGGTGACTTGCATCTTGTCATCCTCGATGTGACGGGCCCTGATGGTATCCTCTAACTCGATGGACCATATCAAAAGGGAATCTTCATCGGTTCCATTTTACCTTGAGATGTCAATCTTCAAGGTTTCAGTTCGACGCGTGTGCGCCAGCCCGCCCATCGACTGATGAGAGCCTTGATATTGTAGCAAATCTATCTTCTGCCGTTCGACGGCAGGTTCCCCTTGTCGGAACTTGTTGATAGCAGCATGTTGCTGGTCTCTGCTTAGAGACTCCAACATGCCGCTGATGGCGGGTTCGCCCATGAGCACACTCATGCGGCTGACTACCTCCCATTCTGAGTCACCCAGATGGGAGTAGCCTTAACGTGTGACGTGAAAGCTGTCGTCTTCTACGTCCAACATGTTCATGTTAGACGAACATTAAGCAGTCGTTGGGCGGACTACGAAGTGCTACCAGGTGTAACGGGGCACCCTTTGTTTGGGGTGCCGCGAAACTTCACGTACACTAGTACGTGCAGAGGAGGCTAGTCTACTTAAACGACTCGTTTAAGTAAGGGTCAAAAGAGAACTGTGTTTAATATAGTTAAGATATCAATATAACTTCAGAATTTACCTAGCCATAAAAATCTACATTGTCGTATAATGACAATCTGCTCACCACTCATTGCGCTCGTCTAGCAGCGATTGGCGGTAATCTATGGTTGAAATGTCATTTATCAACCAATCTTTGAGTAGCGCATGAATAATACCCTAAAAGGGGATAAAATCCCTTTAATATCACCTATCTCGGGCAATATTGGCAGGGAATTGCCGCGCCAGACAATCTCCCTAATGACACCGTTTGGTGTCAATATCATGTACGGGCTACCCCGTTACAAGTACAGTGTACCAGGGTATTTTAAAATGACCTGAGCTGTAATGGGGTAGCCCGTTGCATGAAATTGACACCAGACGGTGTCTATAGGGAGATTGTCTACCATGACAATCCCCTTCCAAAATGATCCCAGATAGATAATATTGAAGGAATTTTATCCCCTTTAAGGGTATTATTCATGCGCTACTCAAAGATTGGTTGATAAATGACATTTCAACCATAGATTACCGCCAATCGCTGCTAGACGAGCGCAATGAGTGGTGAGCAGATTGTCGTTATACGACAATGTAGATTTTTATGGCTAGGTAAATTCTGAAGTTATATTGATATCTTAACTATATTAAACACAGTTCTCTTTTGACCCTTACTTAAACGAGTCGTTTAAGTAGATTAGCTTCCTCTGCACGTACTAGTGTACGTGAAGTTTCGCGGCACCCCAAACAAAGGGTGCCTCATTATAATAAAGCAAAGTATTTACTGTTTGACTATCACTCTCATTTCTTGAAATTCTTAGCGCATATAGAGGCGCCCATTTATCTGCAGATCTGGTCGTCTCGTATATTGTGTAGGGTAAAATGTCCAATCATCTCATTCCGCACTATCTTACGTTCCACCCCGTCCTGCGCGGGATGGGACGCGGCATTGGACCATCCCGCCCCATCTTGCGCAGAACAGAGACCAAACAGAAACGGTAGTACATACGCGACAGCTTTGAACTGTACTCGCTTGCATCACAACACTTGCCGAGCCGCCAACTTGTCCCAACTTTGTGCCAAAAATAGTGAGACAAATTGACAGAAAAGCTGGTCACATCATCATCTTGGATATGAACTCAATGAAGACTCCACGTCTGCTACATCGTAACGATCTTCGCCTTAGTTGTCAAGCGGCGACGTACCGCCATATGCCCTTTTGACTATAACAACACGCATCACGTCCCTCTTGCCGTGCAAACCGCCACCACCTCTATCGTCTTGCTTCGAAGGGTTCTTTGTCTTGCAAGCCGAAGTGCAGAACAAAAGACGTATCCAGTTTGCTAGAGTATCACTTCGCAGCCATTCCGCCGAGGCCTGTCGTCTGGCTGTTCAAGAGAGATTTCATGACAGTCTATTAACATTTACCTATGTACAAGATGTCTGAAAACTCTGGAGCCAGGCCAAGAGCTCCGGATCCGGTAGCTTGTCGTAGCTGCTTCCTGCGAAGACCACCTCATCCCGCGGTTCGAGAGTGAAGAGGTCAAGACAGGCATGTAAGAGAGCCCCGGCGACGACTGTGTCGGGACCACGATGTTCGCGTTTCGCTAACGCGCTGAGATGCCGAATCTCACCTTCCAAAAACGGGTGACGCTGTGAATAACCGTCGTCCGCACACCTTGAAATACTGCGTCGTTTCGTTCACTCCATAAGTGAGTTAAACAGACGCTACACATAATAAACCATATGCGATTCCAAACCATGACCCCTGCTTCCAAGTCGTCTTGTAAATGTTCATGTAGGCGTTGTCGCTGCCTTGCCGGTAATGCAGGAGCCTGACGATTCACACTGCCAAAATACCAGGTCTCATCAACAGACCTCACATCTCGGAGACCCGTCCAGTGACAGATAAGTCGCCTCCAGCAGGCGCGCGCCTTTGGACATTCCCAAAAGATGTGAGCCGACGTTTCTTTACGCCCCCAACACTCCATCAGCGCTCGACAGCTGTTGTCAGCGCGACGACCATCATGGTAGAGGTTAAGTTGATTAGTGGCGATTCTGTAGCAAGTCCAGACTTGAAAATCCGAAAGGCCATTAGTATGGTTCCAAACTTGAGACGGGCGTTGATTAGCTGCTGCACGCAACCAGCCATCCTTGCTGATGACTTGTTTCAACCGTTGGATCAGCCCTTTCAAAGGGACAGCAAGCAGTCGTTTGTGAAGTCTGAACGCTAGCCGGGCAATTGTCGCCCTAATCGAAACGTTCGCCACCGTGTTGGCCACAGCCCAGGGAAATCGATGATGATCAGGATGTGAATAAAACACGACACCATGTAACCGCAGTCGGCTCATCCAAATGTCCCTCTCAGCGACAGTTTCAGTAACCAACTCAGGTAATGATGTGGTAAAAAACCATCTAAATCCGTCGGCACTTTGCCGCAATTTGACGTGCTCACACCCGTTATCCGCAGACTCCCGTCTATTCCCGACGACGTAACCATGTCGCACCGTCGAAAAGTCAAAATGATACCGAAACGGAGGCGCATGACGAAGTGCTAACTTCGGTTCCAGCGCTAGTTCCGACCCAATTCGAATAGAAGGCGACGCGAGCAAGATAGATGTAGCCCAGCGCCTTAACTTCGGCTGATAGTGATGCTTAGAGGCAGATCCAGCCAGTGAGATATTGAAGATAAACAATTTCGGTCCGGTTCTGCGAATGTGCAAGTCCGAGATGGAGCAGTCAGCTATCCGGTCGTATTTGGAGCGTACAAGCTGCCTACCCTGCCCGTCGCGAATCCACGAATTGTTACTCCATCCGAACGTTCCCCAAAAGCGGTGCAGTGCCAGTACTTGGACGTCGTTGGATGCTAATGCTTCCGGAAAAGGGTGATGGTAAGATAATACCCATTCATCTTCTTCCCACCAGCTACTGGCTCCTTCGAGCAAAGTCGAATAGTGCATGCGGACGCGATCTCGAATAAAATTCAATTGCTCTGTCGTGGGTTGCAAAAGCTTGTCCATGTCTTGTATCCATGCTGGTTTCGACGGCTTCGAAGTGCAAGAAGATGTTATCCCTGGTATACCCCTTCCATACAGGACCAGGGATGAGGAAGTTGGCCTACCTTGATAAGCCCAGTGACACCAAGAGGCAAAATACTTGTCCTGGGCTTGCGTCAGCCACCGCAGTGCATGTTTCGTGTGCTGAGTTTTGATTGCGACCTCGAATGAAGCCAGCCCTACTCCGCCTGCGTGTTTCGGAGTGAAAAGCAGTCCTGGGTTGATCTTGTGCCTGATAGCTTCTGTCGAAGTGGCATGAGCCCACAAAAATTGTTTGCACAAATTTTGGATTGCCTGCCTCGCCCATTCTGGGATGTCAAATACCGCTGCCGTGAATAAAATGGATGGAAGAATGATGGAGTTTAGAATCAACACTCGATTCTCCACACTAGTCGCGACCCTGGAAGCTGTAATTAGCCGCCGTTGAAGCCTTCGAATCCTTAAAGCCCAATTGCGGTTATGTAAGGCACCAAGACCAACCTCATAGCCCAGGTACCTTACTGGTTCTGTCTGGTGTAGCACCGAAATGCCAACCATTCTCGCATCTGCACCCCTGTGTTCAAGAGTATGATTTTGCTCTTCGACGGCTGGGCTTCCAGTCCAGATAAGGCTCCAAAGCGTGATACGAGGGCAAGAGCCGGTGCCAGCTGATTCGCTTGCTCGAGAAAAATCGTGGAGTCGTCGACAAACGCTGAGAAGCGGTGCGTTTGAGTACGGCTACCTGGGACCGGGTGTCCTTTCAAGGTGGGAGACTGCTGAACTGCAATTCCCAACAACTCGACCACCACGAGGAATAGCAAAGGGGCCAGAGGGCAGCCTTGCCGAATTCCTGACACGACGGATATTGGACTGGACCGTTCCCCATTTACGAGGAATGTAGCCGTAGTCCCTTCATGCAGCCGAGTAATTAGCTGAATATATCGTTCCTCAAATCCAAATTGTCGAAGCGCCTCGTAAAGAAAGCTTCTGTCCACAGTATCATATGCCTTTCGAAAATCAAGTAGAAGGATGACCCTGCTATTAATCGCGTCGAGAGTTGAATCAGAAGAAGCCGTTGCCAGTTGGGAGAGCATCATCAGGACAGACTTCAACATCTGCCTGCCATGGACGAAACCTTGTTGTAAGTCACCAATGACTTTAGGTAATACAACTTGTAACCTAGTCGCCAGCACCTTCGCGAAGATTTTGTAACTGGTCTGAAGTAGCGAAATAGGCCTGTAATCCATAGCATCCGCTGAGTCACCTTTCTTCCGCAAAGGTATGATCAGCGCTTCCAGAAAAGAAGGTGGAGGATCTGAGCCCGCCAATATTTGATTACTGATTCGCACCAGGGCTGGAACCAAAAGCGCCGGCGTATCCTTGTAAAAGTCGTTGTTTAAACCATCAGATCCAGCCGATTTATGTCGACATAGGCCCGTGATGGCTGTAATAACCTCATCTTCAGTGAAATCGGCCATAAAGACCGATTCTCGCTCGAAGAAAGTACCCGTTGGGTGGGAACTTGAACAAAATGACGAATGGTGGCTGGTAAGGCTTCCAAAGGGGTACTGCGATGTACCACGCCTAAAACAGTGGACCACTCTAAGGCAAATTTATCTGCCGTCGACATGGTGCGACTAAAAACCGGTCCATGAAGCTGCTTAATACCGGTGACGGTTTGCTCGCGCTCCCAGTCGGCTATTTTGCGATAAAAAAACCGTAACCGATCTGTTGTCTTGACCAGCTGTTGACCTAGTTGCACAATATGTTCCTGACGCAATTATTCCATCTTACAGGATATCCATTGTGGCCTGGTAAGCAAGTGCTGCTGTGACCGTCTCTGAATGTTATGGCGAAATCGAGCCCTGCGCTGCTTTACCCTCTTACTGACACGCTGAATACAGCGTACACACTCAGCAACGTCTAGATCCCAAGTCCTGGTAGATAAAGCTTGACCAACAGCCATGCCATCCATTTCCTCGACAAGTTCTGCTATAATGTCATCGGGGTTCGATGCTTTGATGGGATACACCACCCTATCACGTCGAATATGAGGGCGACGCCTGGTTGGTTTTCGCAGGTGTAGAACTACCTCCTGATGGTCCGACAAATTTGAAGGTAAGCGCGTCTCAACCCACAGGACGCGGTCCACCCAGCCTTCCGGTACATGAAATCTGTCAATACGACTAGCCCTATCCCCTTCCCAGTGTGTGAAATGGTCCACAAAAGTATCCATTGAGTCGTCGTCTGCGTGTTCGCGAAGCCATCTTGCATCAGCCAATCCTATCGTAGACACAACGTGGTCCAGGGCCGGGCTTTCTGACCGGTTGGAGCGATGCTTCCCAAATCGATCCAGAAGGGGACTCTGGACGCAATTAAAGTCGCCGACGATCATCGTATTTGAGGGGTCTAGATTTAAGGTCAGCAGGGAGGTAAAAAAAGCCTCTCGCTCGGACCGCAAAGTAGGAGCGTACACATTCACAAGGACTTCCCCCCATAGATACAGCGATCGCGCGTGTGGTCCAGAAATCCGGTAACCAGGCCGTCGTATGTGTTGCAATTTGTGGAGTGAGTAGAATAGCAACTCCTGCCCGTTTTGACGAGCCAATACTCCAGTACGATAGGACAGGGGAAGTCGGGTTAAGATGCTGACCCCATAGTCGAGCCCACTGATATCGCAGCCGAGTTGCCTCTGCTTCTGTGTGCACATGTGTGTCCTGGATGCACCGAGCCCCTGTTCTGTGTCGATTTGTCTTAGCCCGCCAACCCGACATCCAACTGTCGCGCACGCTGTCCTTGAATCCTCGTACATTTTGAGATATGTAAAGCATGTCACCCATCCAGCCTTGGAGCCGAGATGTAACTGGCTCAAAAGAATGGGTCCATTCCTTAAGCAAGAGATGGCGGCCATAGGCGTCCGATGCGTCGAGTGTTGCACCACCGGGCCTGAAGGCCTCGTTGCTCCGTAAGCTGCCCTTAGTACTCAAGTAGAAACTGCTGCTCTGCAGGAGCCAACGCAGTATTAAAGAAGCAAACCAGCTTGCGCCAATCCACCTTGGATCCCCCGTCAGCGTAATACACCTCCTTGTAGTGACTGTTGTTCCGAAGTAAGCGTAGGTGCCCTCGAAGTTGCTCGGGAGGCTCAAGTGGTTTTTCCCCATCCCCGGTCAGCGCAAAAATCTCAGCGTCGAACAATACCGCACATAGTAGGTGATAACTCAGGCGTATACGTCGGTGAGGGTCACAAAGACGCAAAATATCATCGGTAGCGTAGTCTACCTCCCTCAGCTTGACCCAATCGTCGGTATTGTCGATTAATGGGGCCAGCCGGGAGGAAGGCAATCGCTGCTGTGTTCGCACGATCCATTGATCTAGCCACAGTGATTGTATAGAATCTTGCACTCGACGCCTGTACTCAAGTAGACCAGACAGCAAGCACGCCTGTCGCCACTGAGCCGTCCACATCCCGAGAACGTGATCCCCTAGGCTAGCCAGCAATTCACCCGGGAAAACAAAGCGTCGCACGTGATGGAGCAGCAGCTCTGGCTCGACCTGGGCAGTTTTCAGCCACGCCTCAGGGTTACCATACACTAGTGGATATGGCGTAGAAGCCGTTACTGGCCATTCAACGCCCAGAGCCTGCCAGAGATCCGGCCAGTCGTCGGTATCCATTCGTTCCTCCATCCGAGTGATACAGGGTTGAGGAGAAGCAACGCTGATCCTGCCTTTTTTCTGTTTGGAGCTCTCAAGTCCACTCCAGTTCTCCCCTTCGCTGACCTCGATGGTCTCCGACGTGCTGACGTGCCCACGTTTTCGAGCCGATAGCGAACTGCCCTGATTGGCCCCCCTGATCTGCGACGGAACAAGAGCCAATTGCTGCGATGACGCTTTGGCAAGACCACAGTTCCTTGAAGAGTGGATGATTATCGAAGTGTTGTCATCCACAACCGACAGATGATCCCTGATAGAAGATAAAATATGGGAGGCTTCTCTTCTAGCTGCACAGCTAAAGTATCCACAATTTGCGAGTCCTGACCTTGCTGCAGCGCTGAGCCTGTTCCGTCCGAGACGTCAGTTAGGCTGAGCCGATCTGCCGCCCTGGCAGTGTGCAGAAAAGCCGAATAATGCCGGCCCCAGAATCTAAGCACCAGTGGTGGAGCGCGAGGCGCCTCTATTTTTGCCGCTTGCAGCTCGTCTATACACGCCAAGAGAGTGAGTGGAAATTCTTTGGCAGTTTCCACTACTCGACCGTGTCTGATGATCGTAGTAGGACAATACTTGCGACCACTCCAGTTACCCGTTCCGCGGCCACAGTTCAACACATAGATAGTGCGATGCAAAAAATTGGCTGCCATTCCAAGAGTGTCACTTCCACCCCAGCTATACTCCTCAACCAGGGCTTCTCTGTTGGAAGGGGAGGCTGCATAGTCATGCAAAAACCACCGTAGTTGGGACGCAGACTCCCCCCTGGTCATCGTCGTCCAACCTCTGCCAACGTTCTTTAAAGCATGAACCCGTACGTCATGAGCCATTTGATCCTCCAAATTTAGTAGTCCGGCGTTGGAGATTCCCCGTTTAATACTAGCCGTTAAAATCTCAAGGTCCTTGGTAGGGTTGTCCAAAGCAGATTCTGCGAGATCTTGAGCTATGGCTATCGCCAAACAATTGCCCGTGGCCGGTGTGGCGACTTCACGGAGCCCCAAAATCTGTACCAAATCTGTCACATGCATGGGTTCAGCATGAGGCATTGGTTCCATGGGGATCTCGTGACTTGTCCCTGGTGACAACTGTTTAATTAGCCGCTCACATGTTGAACGCTCCCGGCGTTTATTGGCCAAAAGCGTTGGGCCCGCAACAACAGACACCTGTCCTCTCCTGGCGGCTGCTGTTTGTCGTGCTAGATCCTCAGGTGTCAACGTGGGTGGTCCGTTCTTGGAAGACGCATCCCGATCCGTCATCTTACTTGATGCTTGCCTTGGCAGATCATGGGTATCGCTATTAACAGAATTCGAGGACGTTTCGGTCTCATCCAGCTCGTCCTCTTGGAGCACGTGATAACTACCGCTGCTAACCTTGAGATCGCCTTTCGAGGCCTGCAGGGGTGACCATATCCTCCTCCCTCCCCGTACAGGCCGGGTCAGCCATGGTTGCGCTGGTCGGCATTTTGGGGCCGGTGGTGGTGGCCCCTCGTGCGTGCCTGGTGGAGTATATACCGGTTGGAGAGGTATGCCAGTTCTAGGGGGTTCTGCCACTGGCGACGGACTGGGGGCAACTGTCAATGCCACCGGCGTCACTGCAGCCTGCGCTGCCGCATCCTCCGATTGTTGGACTTGTAGACGTCTCATTGCCATCTGCCTCATTTCGTCTGGACTGCTAAAAGGCTTGGCGAGGTCTTCAAGAGCTTGAAGATCTGCTTCGATAACTTCTACGCCACCCGGCCCGCGTAATTGCGCATCTGTGAATTGACATCTGCCCGCCGGGTGTCCCAAAGTTCCACACTGCAGACATTGGAGGCGACGGCCCACATCTGGATGCCTGATGATAATTGGTGTTCCAAACCAAAGTAATCGTACTATACCCTGAAGGAATTTCGGGCAGCCCGCTAGATGAAAGGTTACCTTCCACGCTGTTGATGTTCTTGAATTTGGTGTGCATGTGTCCATGTCCTCCAGCTCAAATTCTGTTTGAATCTTCGAGCGCAAGTAAGCTGCTATGCGTCCAATGTCGTCGAATCTGGTAAGATTATAGAGGATAATCGTATAAGCGGATCTTGGGTACCCCGACCGACCATCTGGACCCCGCTGGTTCAGCCATACCGATCCCCTTACCGGCTGATGGGCGTTCTCCAGCGTATAAACTCGACCTTGAAAAGGCACTTGAACGTCCTGGAGCTTCTTTGCCTTGTCCCGCGAAAAAAAGAAAAAGTGAATCGACCGGGTTGATCGATTGTAACTGATCGTTTTCGTTGATCCCAGCAGGCGATGGAGATCGGGCAAACTGACCCTCAACAGCTCGGCTGATTCCAGAATCTTCTCCGTGATGGCCTTCGTTGTCTGACGACTTAGAGGAATGTCACGCCCACCGCTGATATGGAGAACTAATTGACCCTCCACCTGCGCCTGAACGGTACTGTACAGCCGAAGACGTTCCTTGCTGTCCAGAACCGATCGTAGAAAGTCTGGCATCCGGCGACAGACTATATGCTCTTCGGCAATACCCACAATTATGCGCCATTCGTCATCAGACCCCTCACGTAGCCGTTGGAAGCCCGTGTTACCTAGCCGGGCCACACATATGGCCTTTAGTGTAATCGAGTCTTCCAACGAGAATTTCGCCGGGTCAAACATAAAATCTTCATAGGTTATGCTCCCTTTGTTCTCCCCGTCCATTTGGCGAGCCGTATTACCCGCCCGCACGACTTCTGCCCATTGATTGGGGACAGGAGCAGTTGCCCACTTTTGCTGACTGACTAATTTTCTTATGATCTCCTTGAATGCCCACTTCGTCAGGAGGAGTTCTTTGCTGATCTGATGAGCCAGTCGTTTTTAGTCGGCGAAACTTTCAGAAGCTGACACATAATAGCGTCGAAAAAGATCTAGCAAGCTATCCGCCTCAGGTCCCTTAAGCTTGGGAAACCTTGTGCGTCCGGCCGGTAACGCGTCGACGCTTACCGGTATCCGAACATATTCCGCTGTAAATAGGTCCTGGATGGACAGACGCCAGACATCAACGTTGGTTGGGCCTGGTGAGGCTTTCATCGACTCAATTAGAGCCTTAAAAAGCTCCTTAGGAGGTACGTGCTCCACGGCCGGCGTGGATGAAGTCGTCTTTACCCCCTCAGGTAATCGGGGTTGTGATACCGCTGTCTGACGCGTCGACGCTCCGTCGCCGCCGCCAGGCGTTGACGAGTTTAAACCGTGATCGACCGAGGCTCCGACCGTGTCTGGCCCGTGGCTCGATACGGGAACCGCCTGCTGGTCGTCTGCCATGATGGTGTCAACTACGATATCTCCACCTGCCGTCTGGGTAACGAGTGGTCTTTTGACGCCAGGAGAGGCAGGGGAATCGTCCTGCCCGCCCTGAACCGCTACCATCCCGCGAGCCATTCCTGTGTGGCTCTGCCTATCGGGTAGCGCGTCGAATTGGGTGCTGTTCCCCTCCTCCCCATCGGGGGGGAGGCGCGGAGGTGGCTTGATGGCCGTCGTTCGAGTATCTGGCTGATGCCAGTACTGGTCCTGTTTATACTCCTCCTCCAAATAACGCTGATTGAAGAGTGGCGTCTGTCTGGCTGTTCAAGCAACAGTTGTACCTCCTCCTCCTCGAACGACAGCGTCTTCTGACTAGGTTTCTACGTCTGACTTTTGGTCTGTTGTTGTTGATTGCAGATGGTCCATTTACACGGATTTACAATGTGCATGATCTATGGTACTGCCTTAGCCAAGATGTTAGCGCCGGAGGATCCGGGGGCTGACCGTGGCTGGGCCCAGGTAAGCCTGGTGACCCTGTCGGTTCGTGCTCGAGTAGCTCGATGCATGCATATAGCAGGGCACCCCTAATAGTCGTCGACACGTGTCTATGCTTTCTTGTCGCGATTGCGCGAAGTTGGCGGATGCATGTAGCCCAAAAACAGGTCGTGGTGCTGGTAATGTCTTTCTTGAGTGACTGGTAGACCGCGGCGTTCTGGTCAGTCCACAGCGTGGTTTGACAGATCGTCGCGAGAATGTGCCATATTCGCTTCCACATCCGTTCGGCCGCTTCCACATCCTCCGGAGATCGGTCCGCATGGAGTGCCTTCCTGTGCACGGATATGCTGGAGACTTGTCTGCAGGCACACGCGCCGAAGTAGTGTTTGAGTACCTGGGGAGAAGCAAGCTCCCCCGTCCAGTGTCCGACCAGTTTGGTCCATCCCGCGACAGCATAGGAGCAGTCCCAAAACAAGTGCGCCAAAGTCTCTACTCCCCCCGTACAGCCTGGAAGCTTTGGACAGGTGTTGCTCTCAAAACTTCTGGCCTGTTGTAAAGAATGGTGCACATGCACCTTCTACAAATCTCGATCAGGTGAAGCGCCGTCAACTTTACAATCTCGTGCATTCCCTGAAGACGAGACAAACCACCACACGTCATTGATATACTGTAGCTCAAACTTGACGCTTCGCACGCAGAACATGAAGCTCAAACGGAGTGGCCGCGCACGTGCTACGAAGCTCTGCAAGTAGTAGGCTTACTGCACTTGTCCTGCCGTATCAATCATGATGCAAGCATGATCAAATTCGCACCAAGACGGAAGTTTGAGGAGCGTGTAGCCTCATCAGTAGCGTTGCACACTGTTCGAAATCTTCAGATGAGAGTCAGAGCTCGTTTTTACACCTCCGAAATGTATCTTTGCTCGAATTACAAAGGACAGACTCTGTACGGAAGGGATCAGTCCTCACCGAATACCATCTGGTGGAATGTATACTCAGACCAGCTTTAGACTGCATCAACACTTACTCGATTTTGTTGTAAGTGCATGATGCACTGGATTCGACTCCAGAGATTCGACCCATGATAGGGTATGTCTAGAATGTTCTTTAGGGTTCTATGCATTATTATTGGTCGTACGGCAGCTAGACGTATGGATAGTTCTCACTTGTAGATTGACAAACCACTGATGAGGCCCCCGGCGGGGGGCCGAAACGCGTCTGGTGCGCGGTAATATACAAGTCATTTACTTTACTTAACTCTTACTTCTTACAGGTTATGAGCCCAAGTGCTCGCTGCAGACACCTCACCAAGGACCAACTTGTGCGAGGGACACCCCGTCAGAGAAGGCGCTCGATGCACGAGTAAGGCGCCGAAGAATTCATCGACAGGGATCGTTGACGGTGCGCGTGCAGTCGAAAAGGGTTTGTGCAAGGGTGGTGACGCGAGATGGTCTGAATGCGCGAGTGCTATCGAAGGAAGAGTCAAGTCAAGTGGTGACAAGTGTATTTGTGGTCAAGAAGAAGTGGAAACTACATGCAAGGCGAACGACGACTACGAGATGTCAAGATGTGACATGGTGCTGGACGATGGGGGAGCTGGAATACCTGGAACGCTCGGTATCATCGAGGTTGGCTGGAGCGCAGGGGCAAGACTCAATCAAGATCCCCATGGTGCACGGATGCAGCAGTGAGGATTACAGGCGGGTCGATACCAAAGTGGTCTGCATCTCATGTCGTCGAGGGGGAGTGTTGTAAGTGCATGATGCACTGGATTCGACTCCAGAGATTCGACCCATGATAGGGTATGTCTAGAATGTTCTTTAGGGTTCTATGCATTATTATTGGTCGTACGGCAGCTAGACGTATGGATAGTTCTCACTTGTAGATTGACAAACCACTGATGAGGCCCCCGGCGGGGGGCCGAAACGCGTCTGGTGCGCGGTAATATACAAGTCATTTACTTTACTTAACTCTTACTTCTTACAGATTTGTCCTGCGACCACTTCCAGTGATTCATCCGTACCTGTGACAATACAAAAACACACGCGAACAGACCCCATCACTTCGATGCGACAAGTTGGCTTCGACAATTAGACAACAATTGGTACCTGAAGATAGGTGGTGGCACGTCTAGTCCTCGCCGAGCGGAGGTTTGACAAGAGTGTTCATTATCAAACTTCCTGCCTACCGGCGCAGTCCCAAGCTCCGAAGCACTCCACCTCAAGCTCAACTACCTGCTCTCTCATCCAATGTGGACAAGCTGGTCAGCTGCTGTTAGCTTAGCTGTTGCGGTGACGTATGCGAGTCGTCCCGGCGCAGCGGTCGCCCAGAATGCCTTCGACGCCAGAGCCCAGGCGATTGTCGACAAGTTCACCGTTACGCAAGTGCTTGGACAGATGACCCAAATCGAAGTCAGCAATGTCATAAATTCCACCACCAAGACGCTGAACGAGACCAGCGTCCGCGCCTACGCTCGACAGCACGTGGGGTCGTACTTCAGCTCGCTATTTGCTGGACGTCAAGGAAGTGCCCCATACGGGTGGAGCGCTACTGAGTTCCGTGCCTTGATCAAGCGTATTCAAGAGATCACCATGGAGGAGAATGGTGGGCACCCGATCTTGTACGGTCTGGATTCGGTGCACGGTGCCAACTACGTCGATGGAGCCGTCATGTTTCCGCACCAAATCAACATGGGTGCAAGTTTCGATCCCGAGCTCGTGTACGAGGCAGGACAAATCGCTGCTCGCGACATGCTAGCTGCCGGTATTCCGTGGATCCTCGGACCGATTCTGGAGATCTCGTACAATCCGTTGTGGGCCCGCACGTACGAGACCTTCAGTGAGGACCCCTATGTGGTGTCTGTGATGGGTGATGCTATTATTCGCGGTCTGCAGAGCTACAACCAAACGGCAGCCTGCATGAAGCACTTTCTCGGATCCTCCAGGACCGAGAGGGACCACGACCGTGACAGCACCCACATCTCCGACTTCGACCTGCTCAACTACTACATGCCGTCGTCAAAGCAGCTGTAGACGCCGGTGTCATGACGGCGATGGCGAGTTTCACCCCGATTAATGGTAAGCCAATCGTTGCTAGCACTCGCATCCTGGACGATCTGCTTCGAATGGGCCTCGGGTTCAAAGGCCTGCTCGTGACCGACTATGCCGAGATTAACAATCTCAAGGACTGGCACCGGGTTGCCAAGACCTACGACGATGCTGTAGCTATAGCGGTAATGCAGACATCGATCGACATGAGCATGGTGCCGAATGACGCGAAATTTATCAATCAAACGCTGAGAGTGCTGGAGAAGCACCCGGAACAGGAAGCTCGTCTGCGAGAATCGGCGAAGCGTGTTGTGAAGACGAAGTTGAAGCTGGGCTTGTACGAGAACCCCATCCCTGGGGATCAGTATGTCTCGATGGTGGGCAACGACGACGACGTGCAGACAGCGTTGGCAATCGCTCGCGAATCGATTGTGCTCATGAAGAATGCGGAAAACGTCCTACCGCTGCCAAATACAGCTTCCGTCTTTCTCACGGGTCATTCTGCTGACAATGTTGGCTACCAGTGCGGTGGATGGAGCAAGGCGTGGCAAGGGTACTCGGGGAATGTGATGTTTCCCAACGGCGTGAGCGTTCGCCAGGGCTTCGAAGGCCTTGTTGGTAACAGCTCGTTCACTTACTTCAACGGCTTGCAAGCGAACGGCAGTATTTCGGACGCGGACTTGGCAACAGCTGTGAAGCAAGCTAGCGAGCACGAGTACACGGTTGCTGTGATCGGTGAGGGAACCTACGCTGAAAAGCAAGGAGACATCAATGACTTGGCACTGCCTGCCGGTCAGGTGAGGTACATTGAGGCTCTCAGTAAGACGAGCACCAAGGTGATCGTTGTGTTGTTTGGAGGCCGCCCTCGTCTACTTGGTTCGATCCCTGATAACTCGATGGCCATCATTAACGGTATGCTGGCTTGTGAGCTCGGTGGCAAGGCAATGGCTGAGATCATTTATGGTGACGTGAACCCGAGCGGTCGACTGCCGCTCACGTACCCGAAGAACCCGGCAAACATTGCCATTCCGTACAACCACCTCGTCAGTACCCGCTGTGCCAACGACAGCTGCGAGATGGAATTTGACTTCGGAACGGGTCTCAGTTACACGCAGTTCAACTACACTGGTTTGAGTCTGGACACGACTCGGCTGACTAGTGCATCCGCAACCGTCACTGCGACAGTGACGGTGACGAACACGGGAAGCCGTGCTGGTAAGGAGACGGTGATGCTGTTTGTGATCCAACCGTACCGCTTGATCTCAGTGCCGGAGATGAAGCTTCTGAAGAAATTCAAGAAGATTGAGCTGCAGCCTGGTCAGTCGATGGACGTCTCGTTCACGCTGACAACGGACGACTTGAGTGTCTATGACCCGCAGATCGGCAAAGGTTTGAAACGCGTGTTTGAGGACAGCGACTATGTCGTGGCCATCAAGCCCGAGACGAATTGTGACGTATACAACAACGTCACAAACCCGTTGTGTGCAGAGTTCAGCATTGACACTAGCGGTGAACCAGCGGCCGTCGAGCCCAGCAATGAAGCAGCGCCCGACCAGACAAACACTGTGCCCGCATCGCCCGTCATCAATGATGTGATGCCTCCTATGTAAGTGAACAATGCGAAGAATCCACACCAGGAGAGACTTTTGTTTTGAATACACGTTCAGCCCTTTGCGATTAGCAACACGTCGCCTTTTACTCAAGTCTATCGTGTTTCGCTGTGTATTCACATTTGGTCGGATATCGATTTATCGCGATCACGAAGGGTGAAGCTATCAGTGATTGGTCGCAAAGTTAAGGCTCAGCATTTATCGCGACCACGAAAGATGAATGTATTAGTAACTGGGTGCAAGATTAAGGCTGATTTTATAGACCCACTTTTAGTGGGTATGTATCTGTATAAATGTAGCGCTAGATGTACCGTTCACGCCGTACTAAGTGCGACGTAGCTTGTCCCTTTCACATTAGTAGACGTGTGTTTTTAGCTGTCATTCTTTCAAGGTCACTAACTGCGACCACGTGGGGAGTGTAAGTCACACATGTAACCGGGTGAATCGTTACATAACAATTTATAAGAAATTGTTAATAGAATATAACTATAAGAGTTATATTCTCAGAATATTGTCATAAGGACAAATATTCTGTAGCACTTACGGGTAGTTCCTAATTGGTTGATATAGGCCATTATATCAACCAACGAAGACGCGCCACGACAGACGCACGCAATGAGTGGTGAGCAGATAACTGATTTACACATTTGTATTTAGACATAGTTAGATGAAGATAAATAGTGATTTATTGCAGACATTAACTATACAAAATACAGTTCTACTTTTTACTTTAACCAAGTACTCGCTTCTTCTTACCGTCTTCCTCTGCACGTACGAGTGTACGTGAAGTTCCAAGGCACCGCCTTATTCTGTCATCAGAATAAGTAGCTTGTACTGTCACCAGTACAAGCTTCAGGGTGCCCCGTTACACCTGGTAGCACTTTGTAGTCCGTCCAAGGACCACGTTCACATCCAACATGAATATGTTGGATGATGAAGATGACCAAAGCTTTCACGCTACGCGTGACGGCTACTCCCATTTGAGCGATGTCGAAAGGGATGCGGTTGAACGAATGGGTTCGATCATGGGCATCCATGCTGTTAGCGTCATGCTAGAGGCTCTCAATAGAGATGCCCAACATGCTACTATCGCCAAGTTCATTCAAAATGAACTTGACGCTGAACGCGAGAAAGTAGCCTTGCTTCACCAACAAGGTTCTCAACAAGCAGAGTTGTTGAGAGAACAAGGTGCTCAACAGTTTGAACTGTTGAGACAGCAGCAGGCTGCTGCTGGTGGGTCGATGCACTCGCGTCGACCCGAAACCTTGAAGATTGACATCTCCAAGTATAGGGGAGTCGAAGAAGACTCCCTCTTGAGATGGTTCGTCGAATTGGATGACGCCATAAGGGCGCGTCGCATCGACGACGGGGATATGCAAGTTGCATTTGCCCAGTCAAATCTGGCAGGACGTGCCAAGACTTGGGCACTGGGGCTCAAGTTGCACGACCCATATGCGTTTGGGTCGTTGGAAGTCTTCAAGTCGCGGCTCAGACAAACGTTTGAACCGCCTAGAGCTGAGTTCAGAGCTCGAACCGAACTCTTGAAGCTCAAGCAGGGTAAGCGTGATGTGCACGCTTACGCGCAACATATACGACATCTCACGAGTTGTATAAGTTCCAACCCGGTTGATGAACACACGTTGGTTTCGGTGTTCATGCAGGGTCTTGCGGATGGTCCCGTCAAGACTCACCTGTTCCGGCTTGAACTAGATTCACTAGAACAAGCCATTTCCATTGCGGAGCAGGAAGACTTCAGTCTGAGACAGGCTCGCGCCAGCTCGACATCATTTCGTCAACCAAGACGATATGACAACGGAGGTCCAGAGCCGATGGAACTCTGTTATGTAGAGAGCGAGAAGGCTCGCTCTACAGGCTACAAGAAGTTGCAGAGATGCAACAGATGTCAAAAGACAGGACACTACGCTTACGAGTGTAGTGCCCCTCGTCCAGTGTCTCGCGACACTGGGCGTAGTGACCGTCCACCCATGAGAAAGGGGCAGGGACGAGGGTCCGCTGTTGGTGCAAAGACGCAACAACGGGATGGACCGTCAAAAAACGGACAGGATCAGTAGGTGCGGAGCACCCTACTGATCCAGCAACGTCAAGAGAATTTAAAGGCCTCTTGATGAAGGTTGCTCCCAACACACAAACGTTGTGCGTTGCTGCTCTAGGTAATGAGGTCTCACTCATTACCTTGAAACTCGAAGTGACGAATAAGTTGTCCCTTCGAGCTCTAGTCGATTGTGGGGCGTCCAACAATTTTGTGCGACGCCAATCGCTAGAAGATGGTCACTTTAAGTTCAGTGAATGTGACACACCTCCTACGAGGATGACGGTACGTCTTGCGACAGGCGCATCCGTAACCGTCATGAAGCGTATAGTGAAGATCCACTATACGCTAGAAGATACCCAATATGACGATGACTTTATCGTATTGGATTTGGATGACAAATTTGATGTCATCCTTGGAATACCGTGGCTCAGAAGGTACGAACCACGGGTAAACTGGCAACATCGGACAGTAACGATGCCTGCCGCTTGTTCATCAGATGGCCATCTGATGAACGTTTTGGAGCGTCCACAAGCGTGTGGATGTACTACGAGTGAGTGCGATGGCCTCACTTGTGGTACGATCGTTAGTACGACTGCACAAAACCTTAGTGTACCAAACGGTTACACTTCGGAGCAAAGTTCCGGCGGCTGTGAGGAAACACAGGCTGCGCCGAAGGTCCACCACTCGAATAAGTCGGGTGGACTGGGACAAAGATGTATCCCTAGCGGGGAACATCTAGAAGAGAAACAATCGATCGCTCAGGTTAAGCGAAACGATAATCCTAGATCGACTGGAGAGTCTTTCGTAGAGGATCTCGCTGTGGTTGCGCAACCCCAGCTAGAGGAAGTAAAGGGAATAAGTCCCAAGATTACAAATACGGCGGAAATAAGTTACCCGAAACCCGAGGGAATAAGTCCCTGGGAAGACGAAGGAATAAGTCCTTCGAAGCCTGAGGAAATAAGTCCCCAGGAAATGACAGAGACATTGAATGTCATAGTCAATAACGGATCAAGTGTAGGCGCTTATACACTTGATCTGATTGCGCCTTCGAAGTTAACTTCGGAGATCACTCAGTTGCCAACGCTCGAACATAAAAGGTTCTTGCGTGATCTGCGTAGTGGCAAAGTCAAGCAGATCTGCGTACTCGTCGCTGACGACGAGTGTGTAACCGACATAAGGTCAGCAACAGTGTTCACTGAGAACGAGAGAGTTCTCAGTAGTTCATCTATGGACGAGAGTGTCCTAGATGAAAAGACACGAACTGAGCGATATGACTCCCAATCATGGGAATCGCTCAAGACAAATCCTCTCTATGAAGATTTGGTTTAATTCAAGGATGTATTCCCTGAAACTGTTCCGTGCGAATTACCGAAGGATAAAGGTATTCGACACGAGGTCGAGCTTAAACCAGGCTCGAAGTACTGTGTCATGAGGCAGTGGCCACTGCCTCGTGAACAAGCACTTGCTATCGACAAGTTCTTTGCCGATCGTTTAGCTGCGGGCCATGTGAGGGAATCGGCTTCCCCACATAGCTCTCCGACCTTCTGTGTGCGAAAAGCAACAGGAGGGTGGCGGATAGTGCACGCGTTCAACAAATTGAACGCTGCAACGGTACCGGCTCAGACGCCGATACCGAGGAAGGACGTAATCATTGATGGTATGTCAAAGAGTACCATCTTTTCGTCCATGGATTTGATGGATGGCTTCTATCAAATCCTTATGCGGGAACGGGATATACCCTATACCGCAGTTAGCACGCCTAGCGGCATGCTCTGGGAATGGCTAGTAATGCCACAAGGGCTCAGTAATGCCCCTGCCACGTTCAACAGATGTGTATCACATCTGTTGAGACCAGTACGAGAATTCGCGCCGAGTTATTTCGATAACGTATTCATCCATAGTCGAGCTATGGATGGAAAGTCGGACGTTGAGGTTCACAGGTACCACGTCCGACAGGTTCTTACAATCATGCGAAAGCATCAATTGTATGCAAACCTCAAGAAGTGTATATTTGCCGCAAGCGAGATACCACTTCTTGGGTGCATCGTTGGTAAGAACGGTGTACGTCCTGATCCCGAAAAGATCAAGGCGATCACCGACTGGCCTGTGCCGGTTGATGTCAAAGGTCTTCGAAAATTCCTTGGGCTAGCGGCGTATTTGCATAAGTATTCACGCAATTACGCCGAGATGACTGTGCACCTCTCTCGTTTGTTGAAAAAGAACGAGAGGTGGTTATGGAACGCTGAATGTCAACGCTCCTTTGATGGTATCAAGCAGAGCTTGATACAATCCCCAGTCCTAGCAATAGCCGATCAAGACAGGCCATTTCATGTGGTCTGTGATGCCAGCGATTTCGCAATCGGCTGTGCATTAATGCAGTACGATCTTGAAGGCGTTGAACGCGTCGTCTGCTATCAGTCGCGTCAGCTGCAACCAGCTGAGCGGAACTATCCAGTGCATGACAAGGAACTCCTTGCCATGAAGTATGCACTCGCGAAGTTCAGAGTCTATCTATTAGGAGATAGACCCTTCGTTGTTTACACTGACCATGCGTCATTACGCACGGCAGTGAACAGCCCGCACCTTTCACAACGAATGGCGCGGTGGTTGTCATTCTTTGCGGAATACAACTTTACGGTCGCGTACAAACCAGGACGACTTAATGTCGTTGCTGATGCACTCTCACGTCGTCCCGACTTTGAAACAGTCGCGAAACCCAACAGTGAGACAGTCACTGTTGCGGTTATGACGTCCTCAGTCCCATCTACAACGTTGTATGATGATGTGAGGCGGGCATACGCCCAAGATGGTGAGATAGTGAAGTTGTTGACACATCTCTCCCAACCATCTCGAGAATCGTTGAACTGATTGTCGTCTGCGTATCGATCTGCATCAGATCGATACACTACTCGCAACGGTTTACTGTATTATACAGCCGTTTCTGGTT